GTGAGACGATGTGCCTTCACTATAAGACCTGCGTGGTCTGTTCTCTATGTCATGCAGTGAGACGATGTGCCTCCACTATAAGACCTTCATGGTCTGTGTTCTTTGTCAAGCAGTGAGACGATGTGCCTCCACTATAAGACCTTCATGGTCTGTGTTCTTTGTCAAGCAGTGAGACCATGTGCCTCCACTATTAGACCTGCGTGGTCTATGGTCCATGTCATGCAGTGAGACTATGTGCCTCCACTATTAGACCTGCATGGTCTATGGTCCATGTCACGCAGTGAGACTATGTGCCTCCACTATTAGACCTGCATGGTCTATGGTCCATGTCATGCAGTGAGACTATGTGATCAAATTGATTATGACGGAGGTGATAACGAGAAGCATCCAGATCATAGGTTCATCACTCCGCGCAGGGTTGTAGAAAATACGCAGAGTAGGAAGTTGTGGGTGGCTTCGAGGTAGAGGTGTTCTCGTCCCTTAAATAGCGCAATTTTCCATGCGCAACAGACAACAAGCACCAGTATGACCTTCCCATCGGTGACGTCGGCGACAATAAAGTGCCACTGACGGTATATAGTACATTCCTACTTCGTGTATACTGGTTCTCGACCCGGGCCGTATTCACATCACAAGTAGCCCGGAATCTGTATACCACTTTGCAACGATCGGTGGCTCCTAACAACGTCTCAATGGGCAAGCAATGCACGGAGTGTTTTGTGAAGACTCCGTGGATTGGCGACCTTCAGTGTCGGCCAGGGACAATGTGGCGCTGATGGCCCGACTTCGGTGAATGGCGATCTATTGAACGTCGATCAGAGCAGATACTTCTCAACAAGACCCGTGTTTAAGCGTTGTACTTTGTACATAATAAGTTGTTTACAGTTATAGTTGATTGTCCCCGCTGCGTTGCTACAATACAGTGAGCTGACACTATCGTGAGTTGGGTCTATTGCAGTGTGAGTGAGTAGGTGCTTTGGTGGGTGGGTCTTCGTCATGAGCGAGTGAGTATCTGGAGACACAATACTGCAGATGATTTAGAGACTTCGTGAAAGTGTCCTTATAGTGATGGACCCCCCTACAACCCACCCTCACTCACTCCACCCTCACACACTCACTCCATCCTCACACACACCACTCTCGTACATACCAGCCCCATACACCCCACCCTCACACACCCCACCCACACTCACTCCACCCTCACACACACCACTCTCGTACATAAAAGCCCCATACAGCCCACCCTCACACACCCCACCCACACTCACTCCACCCTCACACACACCACTCTCGTACATACAAGTCCCATACACCCCACCCACACTCACTCCACCCTCACACACACCACTCTCGTACATACAAGCCCCATACAGCCCACCCTCACACACCCTACCCACACTCACTCCACCCTCACACACACCACTCTCGTACATACAAGCCCCATACAGCCCACCCTCACACACCCCACCCACACTCACTCCACCCTCACACACACCACTCTCGTACATACAAGTCCCATACACCCCACCGACATTCACTCCACCCTCACACACACCACTCTCGTACATACAAGCCCCATACACCCCACCCTCACACACCCCACCCACACTCACTCCATCCTCACACACACCACTCTCGTACATACAAGTCCCATACACCCCACCGACATTCACTCCACCCTCACACACACCACTCTCGTACATACAAGCCCCATACACCCCACCCTCACACACCCCACCCACACTCACTCCATCCTCACACACACCACTCTCGTACATACAAGCCCCATACACCCCACCCTCACACACCCCACCCACACTCACTCCATCCTCACACACACCACTCTCGTACATACCAGCCCCATACACCCCACCCTCACACACCCCACTCACACTCACTCCACCCTCACACAAACCACTCTCGTACATACAAGCCCCATACACCCCATCCTTACACACTCCACCCTCACACACACCACTCTCGTAAATACCAGCCCCATACACCCCATCCCCACTCACCCCACCCACACTCACTCCACCCTCACACACACCACTCTCGTACATACCAGCCCCATACACCCCGCCCACACTCACTCCACCATCACACACACCACTCTCGTACATACCAGCCCCATACACCCCACCCTAACACACCCCACCCACACTCACTCCACCCTCACACACACCACTCTCGTACATACCAGTCCCATACACCCCACCCTCACACACCCCACCCACACTCACACCACCTTCACACACACCACTCTCGTACATACAAGCCCCATACACCCCACCCTCACACACCCCAACCACACTCACACCACCTTCACACACACCACTCTCGTACATACCAGCCCCATACACCCCACCCTCACACACCCCGCCCACACTCACTTCACCCTCACACACACCACTCTCGTACATACCAGCCCCATACACCCCACCCTCACACACCCCACCCACACTCACTCCACCCTCACACACACCACTCTCGTACATACCAGCCCCATACACCCCACCCTCACACACCCCGCCCACACTCACTCCACCCTCACACACACCACTCTCGTACATACCAGCCCCATACACCCCACCCTCACACACCCCACCCACACTCACTCCACCCTCACACAAACCACTCTCGTACATACAAGCCACATACACCCCACCCACATTCACTCCACCCTCACACACTCCACTCTCGTACATACAAGCACCATACACCCCACCCACACTCACTCCGTCCTCACACACACCACTCTCGTACATACAAGCCCCATACACCCCACCCACATTCACTCCACCCTCACACACTCCACTCTCGTACATACAAGCACCATACACCCCACCCACACTCACTCCACCCTCACACAAACCACTCTCGTACATACAAGCCCCATACACCCCATCCTCACACACTCCACCCTCACACACACCACTCTCGTACATACTAGCCACATACACCCCACCCTCATACACCCCACCCACACTCACTCCACTCTCGTACATACAAGCCCCATACACCCCACGCTCACACAACCCACCCCATCCTTATACAGTGAAAGTGGCCTTATAGTGATGGACCCCCTACAACCCACCCTCATACACTCCACCAGCACACACACAGCACCCTCACCCTCCACACTCAAACGCCCCACTCTCGTACATACCAGCCCCCCAAACCCCACCCTCACACACCCCACTCTCGTACATACCAGCCCCATACACTCCACACTCACACACCCCACTCTCGTACATACCAGCCCCATACACACCACCCTCACTCACTCCACCCTCACACCCCCAACACTCGTACACACATCCCTCACACACTCTACCCCCAGACACCCCACCCCCACATTCCCACCGTAACACACACACACACACAAATTCTCACTCTAAGATTCCACCCTCACACACCCCACCCCACCCTCATACACCCCATCCCCATATACCCTAGCCTTATACACCCCACCCCCACACCCCACACCCTCACACACTCGACCTTCAAACACCCCACCCTCAAACACACAACTCTCACACACCAAACCCTCACACTCCACCCTCACACACCCTACTCTCACATCCCCACCCCAATACACCCTGCGCTCCTACACCCAAACAACACACATTTACACCACCCCCATACACCATACACTCCACCCCCGTACATCCCACCCTCACACATCCCGACCCACCCTCACAGACCCCACCCTCACTCACCCTACCCTGGATTGTCTGGTCCAGACTCGATAACTTACAGACTGCCGTCATATAGCTCGAATATTGCTGAGTGCGCACCCGCACACACCCACACCCTCTTACACCTCACCCCAACCTCACCAACAGTTGTGTGTGACGTCAGGTCATGATCTTTGTGTCTGCTCGCAAGAACAAAAGAATAGAATACAATACTGTGTGTACTTTCCTACTTTCGGTTTTCGGTTTTCTAGTTGTTTGTGTCAGCCACAGACCCCAAAAAGAGAGTGTTCTGAACGCTATATTTGCTATCCTGTTGACAAGGCGAGACAAGGTGATATTTACACACAACTATAGACACACACGCTAAATTGACATGCACCTTACTCTCATACACCCCACCCCGTACACCCCACCCTCGTACACACGACCCTCACACATGACACCTCCCTACAAACCACCCTCCCCACCCTAACACAACCCCCCTCACACACCCCACCCTCACACATCCGACCCTAAAAAAAACCACCCTCTTATACCCCACCCCAATACACCGCACCCTAACACAACCCACTCTCGTACAACCGTCCCTCATACATCACACCTCCCTACACCCCGCCCTCCCCACCCTAACACAACCCCCATCATACACCCACCCTCACACACCCCACCCTAACACAACCCCCCTCATACAACCCACCCTCACATACCCCACCCTCAAACACCCCACCCTCATACAACCCCCCTCACACACCCCCACCCCTATACACCCCGCCCTCATACACCCACCCTCACACACCCCACCCTCACACACCCCACCCTCATACAACCCCCCTCATACAACCCCCTCACACACCCCACCCTCACACACCCCACCCTCATACAACCCCTCTCACACACCCCACCCTCACACACCCCACACTCATACAACCCCCCTCACACACCCTCACCCTCACACACCCCACCCTCATACAACCCCCCTCATACAACCCCCCTCACACACCCCACCCTAACACAACCCCCTTCATACAACCCACCCTCACATACCCCACCCTCAAACACTTCCCCCTTACACACTCCACACTGATACAAACTAACTATCGCTCAATCTACCAACAGTTCTGGGAAACATTGACACCGTCCAACCTCACTAATGGAACGTGCCGCGTCAACAGGTATCAACAGTAGTTGTGGGGAAGTCCACTCTATTTCCACAGTATTGATCCGCTGCAGAAACTAGCCTGTGGGACTTCCCACTTTCGTTTTACTTCGTGTGTGACGTCAGAACATGATCTATGGGTTTGCTCACAGAACAAAGGAACAGAATACCAACACTGTGTGTACTTTCCTACTTTCGGTTTTTCGTTTTCGGTTTTCTAGTGGCTATTTGTGTCAGCCACAGACCCCGAGAAGACAGCAACTTGAAAACTACATTTGCAATCCTGTTGACAAGGTGAGACTTTAGTTACTACACACAAACTACACTCACACTTCCGCACACACACGTGTTGTGTGGTGGTTTGTAGATGTGTTGTATGTTGGTGTGTGGATGTGTTCTTGTGTGGATGTGTTGTGTGTTGGAGTATGGATGTGTCAATCTTTATTTCACATACTGAAGAGGCCACAGGCCTATAGTACAATTTGAAGAATATTCAATTTTATACAATTTATGTACATATCTCACCAAATCACCTCACGTCATTCCACCTCGCATCTCAACGCAGTCACATAATTTCACACATACAGTACAATACCATACCCTGTAATTTCATAATTTCTATTTTACCATATCACAACTTGTTATATCATACAACATATTCTATAACATCATATCATATTGTATCATTATTATAAGATCATACTATATAGTATTATTTCATATACCATTATCATATCATAACATACCATACATACCATCGTACCATATATCATTCCTATATTATATCACATTTCAACATGTCATATCACACAACACATTAGCAATTGCATAGCTTATCCCATCATATCTTATCATATCATACCATATAATGCCATGTCATTCCATGCCAATTTATTTCATATAAATCAATCAATATTTATTCAACACTGGAAGACCGCAAGCCATAAAATATGTACACTAAAAAAAAAAAAGTATTTACACAATTTCTATAATACGAATAACATATTGCATCATATCCCCTCATGTATCATATCACACCACAACACTTATCATATCATATCACATCATGTCATGTCACATCATATCATTTCATATACATATAACTATACTAAACCATTTGTAATATCACATCCCACAATATCATATGACAGCCTAGTAGTTTAATACCATTTCTAACTCTTTTGTTTGTAGTTTATTCATAAGGCAAATATCTATAAATATGTACTTAATGTATATACACAATAGTTTCCTAATACCAAGCAGATAAGATTATTCTTTCATAAGGATCTGTCGGTATAAAGAGGCAAAATATATGTACATGGAAACATTTTGTAAGATACTTCTTTTTGTGTTTGACAGCAGTGTAACAAATTTATTAATATTAGGGTACCTGTAATAATAAGCTTGCAGGTATTTTTCTCTAAGGTGTAAATACACTGGACATACTAGTAAGAAATGAAATTCATCTTCTACTGAGTTTAAACTACATAGATTACAGATTCTTTCTTCACGAGGAATGTTTACATAGCACCCTGTTTCTATTAACATGAGGTCGTGAGAAGAACATCTAAAACGTGAAAGAGCCGTTCGAATTTTTTTAACATTAACTTTTGATAAATAATCTTTCATAATTATTTCTGATTTAAACATTTTGTAATAAAAGCACTTGTTTGTTAGAGTCAATGATGCTGTCCAAGATTGTAAATAAATATCCTTTAATCTCTGGGTTAATGAAAGTATAAACATTGATTTGGAATACACATTTTGGTTTTGCCAAATATCACCAAAGCCACAACTGAAAAGTAATTCTCTAACACCTGTAACCCAGTTTCTTTTCCCATTATTATCATAAACTATCATCATATTATAACACTTTTTTGGCAATCTATATGAGGGCATGTCAATAAGTCTCAGCCAGTGTTTAATAACTTTTATATTTGAATATACATAGAGAGGGAATCTTCCACATTCTCCATACACCACCAAGCTGGAAGTGTTTATTTTAACACCTAAATACTTTTTGCAAACAAATAAATGAATCTTTTCTATGGCACCAAAGTATGGATGTGTTGTGTGTTGGAGTCTGGATGTGTTGTGTGTTGGTGTGTGGATGTGTTGTATGTTGGTGTGTGGATGTGTTGTGTGTTGGTGTGTCGATGTGTTGTGTGTTTGGGTGTGGATGTGTTGTGTGTTGGAGTGTTGATGTGTTGTCTGTTGGTGTGTGGATGTGCTGTGTGTTGGTGTGTGAATGTGTTGTGTGTTGGAGTTTGGATGTGTTGTGTGTTGGTGTGTGGATGTGTTGGAGTGTGGATGTGCTGTGTGTTGGAGTGTGGATGTGTTGGAGTGTGGATGTGCTGTGTGTTGGATTGTGGATGTGTTGTCTGTTGGTGTGAGGCTGTGTTGTGTCTTGGTGTGTGGATGTGTTGTGTTGGAGTGTGGATGTGTTTTGTGTTGGTGTGTGGATGTGTTGTGTGTTGGTGTGTGGATGTGTTGTGTGTTTGGGTGTGGATGTGCTGTGTGTTGGATTGTGGATGTGTTGTCTGTTGGTGTGAGGCTGTGTTGTGTCTTGGTGTGTGGATGTGTTGTGTTGGAGTGTGGATGTGTTGTGTGTTGGTGTGTGGATGTGCTGTGTGTTGGAGTGTGGATGTCTTGTGTGTTTGTTTGTGAATGTGTTCCTGCGTAGATGTGTTGTGTACTGTGTATATAAGTGTGTTGTGTGCTTCCAAGCCACTCACTTACTCACTCACCCTATGAAACATAACACTAAGCCTATGTTTATCTCTTGTTTCTGAATTTAACCTTATTCTTACTTACGGGCACTTAGAATCTGCCATCACAAACATTGTATGGAAACCCTCGTCCACATAATGTTATACCCTGAATCGAACAGAGAATTTTGTCATGTTTTATCTGGGTTTTTTATCAAGAATGTGGATTCATTTTTGGTTTTTTTTCTCCCCCATAACAGAAGCACACACACACAGACATCTTTTGTATTCCATCTCGTCTTTTATAATCAGTAGAACCTTCGTTTGACAGACTGATATCTGAACAAATAGGTGGGGTAAGCATTATATTTTAAACATCGATTTCTGGTACGGATATGTGTTTCAAGCTGAGCACGCTTTGGTTTGTTTGTTAAACTCCGGACTGATGGTGGAGATCTAGGGGAGACTGTGGAGATCTAGGGGAGATTGTGGAGATCTAGGGGGAGATTGCAAATATCTAAGATTGTAGAGATCTTGGGGGAGATTGCAAAGATCTAGGATTGTAGAGATCTAGGAGGAGATTGTGGAGATCTATGGGAGATTGTAGAGATCTATGGGGAGATTGTGGAGATCTAGGGGAGATTGTGGAGATCTAGGGGAGATTGTGGAGATCTAGGGGAGATTGTGGGGATCTAGGGGGAGATTGTGGAGATCTAGGGGAGATTGTGGAGATCTAGTAGGAGATTGTGGAGATCTAGGGGAGATTGTGGAGATCTAGGGGAGATTGTGGGGATCTAGGGGGAGATTGTGGAGATCTAGGGGGAGATTGTGGAGATCTAGGGGAGATTGTGGAGATCTAGGGGAGATTGTGGAGATCTAGGGGGAGCTTGTGGAGATCTAGGGGAGATTGTGGAGGCAAGGCAATATTCTGGAGATGTTTGTGGGAACATTGTGGAAGTGTTGGAATCTCAACAGGTTCTCTATGATCTCTATGATGTTGCCGTTTCGACTGAAGTGATGCGGACGGCAGGATCACGATATCAGCAGATTTCTCATCTTTACACAAAGAACCTGCTTGTCACATTGCACAGGTCATTAAATAAAGACAGATTAAAGGTTTGTTTGTTTGTTTGTTTATTGTTTAACACCGCACTCAGCAATATTCCAGCTATATGAAGGCGGTCTGTAAATAATCGAGTCTGGACCAGACAATCCAGTGATTGACATTGATGTGCATCGACATTGAGCATCGATCCATGCAACTGGGATACAATGACATGCAACCAAGTCAGCGATCCCGTTAGTCGCCTCTTACGAGGCGCGACTATGCTTGTCGTAAGCATGGGTTGCTGAAGACCTATCCCCCCCCCCCCCCGACCTTCACGGTCGCTGCGGTGATAAGAGAGATGGTAGTGAGGCCACTTTTGAAAAGAAGTTTGCGTGGCGAATGGGGTCTGGGTGTTTATCGTAACGGGGATACAATGGACACTCTAGGATAGGAAAGAAGATCGAGACATCTGCGATGTGACGAATAAATACAAAAAATTCTACGGCCGAAGACAAGCAACTTGTCAAAGACATTTGGATAGATATGTGTGTTGTGCATCTGCAACATTTATAATTTAATTGCCTGTTATGAGTCACGTCGTTGGTCCGTCACTCCACAGAATGAACTTGCACCAGTAAATCTTATAGCATGAGGGGGCACGGATGGCCCAGTCGTCTAAGGCGTTAAACCCAACTCACTCATGACCCGTGAAGATTCCGGGTTAGAATAGGTCTTCAAGAAACCATGCTTGCCGTAAAAGGTGACTATACTTGTCGTAAAAGGCGACTAACGGGATCGGGTGGTCTGGCTCGCTGACTTGGTTGATGCATGTCATCGATCCCAATTGCGTGGAAATATGCTCATGAGGTTAATCACTGGATTGTCTGGTCCAGACTCGATTATTTACAGACCGCCGTCATATAGCTGGAATATTGCTGAGTGCGGCGTTAAACAACAAACCAACCAACCACTCACTCACTTATAGCATGACTCAAATCGACTTCTTTCTGACAGCTCACACCTTCCTTCCTGTGTCCGAACCAATCCTGCAACGATGTCAAGAAACAACGGGCAGGATCTGTTGGCGGATTTCAATGACTACAGCAGCTTGGATCCAGACCTGGGCGTTCATCTCCGTCACCAGCAGGGTAGACAGATGTGGCAGGAGAGATTTGTCAGGCTTTGCCAGGAGAACAGTGGAGACAGACCGCTGACTGTCGCCATCATGGGTACACATGTCCTTACATTCATTCAACATTCGTGACCAACTCGTGTTATTCCGGGACAAGCCGAATAGCGACTCGTGCCCCTCTCGTGGCCATTTTTGCGACCGGGTTCCGTCTTAGCGCAAACGGGCATACCTAAAACAATTGTCAGTTCGTTGCGTAATTGTTCACATATATTTCCCCATATATTATATTATTTCAGATGCAATTTAAAGCATATCGGGACGTGCGGAATTATACAGTTTAATTGAACACATTTAACTGTGTCTTGGGTATATTTTTAAATGCAAGACATATGTAAAATCAAAAATTATTTATGAGGGATTCTTTGACGAAGTACTTGAAATCATACGCGCATTCTGATTGGTTTGTCGTATTTTCGCACATAACATTCATCGACAGGGGGTCGAGTCTTCTTGCAGGTTACGGAAAGGGGCGAGTGGTGACGAATGATTCATTCAAATGATCCGGTCTACGCAGTTTAGTTGCTCCAGTGAGGCGCCGACCTTTCAGGATTCATGCGAATGTCTTTAGTTTTTGGTTTGTTGTTTAACGTCGCACTCAACAATATTCCAGCAATATGACGGCTGTCTGTAAATAATCAAGTATGGACCAGACAGTCCAGTGATTGATATCATGAGCATCGATTCACGCAATTGAGATACGATGACATGCATCAACCAAGTCAGCGAGCCTGACCCCCCGATCCCCTTGGTTGCCTCTTACGACAAGCATAGTCACCTTTTACGGCAAGCCTGGATTGCTGAAGGTATATTTTTCCCCGGAATCTTCACGGGTACATGTTTCAGCCAGGCATCTTACCCCGAGGCATGGTCATCTATCACATGATATGCTTCAGTTTAAATATCCCGTGTTTACATCACCTCGTAACATTCGTCTATTTAACATCACGTGTTTACATCACCTCATAAAATCCGTCTATTTAACATCGGGTGTTTACATCACCTTGTAAAACCCGTTTATTTAACATCATGTGTTTACATTACCTCATAATATCCGTCTATTTAACATCGCGTGTTTATATCACCCCTTAACATCCGTCTATTTAACATCACGTGTTAACATCACCTCATAACATACGTCTATTTAACATCACGTGTTTACATCACCTCATAACATCCGTCTATTTAACATCACGTGTTTACATCACGTGTTTACATTACCTCATAACATCCGTCAATGTAATATCACGTGTTTACATCACCTCATAATATCCATCTATTTAACATCACGTGCTTACATCACCTTATAAAATCCGTCTATTTAACATCGCGTGTTTACATCACCTCGTAACATCCGTCTATTTAACATCACGTGTTTACATCACCTCGTAATATCCGTCTATTTAACATCACGTGTTTACATCACCTCATAATATCCGTCTAATTAGCATCACGTGTTTACATCACCTCATAACATCCGTCTATTTAACATCACGTGTTTACATCACCTCATAATATCCTTCTATTTAACATCACGTGCTTACATCACCTCATAAAATCCGTCTATTTAACATCGCGTGTTTACATCACCTCATAACATCCGTTTATTTAACATCACGTGTTTACATCACCTCATAACATCCGTCTATTTAACATCACGTGTTTACATCACCTCATAATATCCGTCTAATTAGCATCACGTGTTTACATCACCTCATAACATCCGTCTATTTCATGACACGTGTTAACATCCCCTAGTGATCTCCTTCTTTTTGATATCACGTGTTTACATCACCTAATACTATCCTTCTTTTTAATATCACGTGTTTACATCACCTCATAAAATCCGTCAATGTAATATCATGTGTTTACATCACCTCGTAACATCCGTCTATTTAACATCACGCGTTTACATCACCTAATAACATCCGTCTATTTAACATCGCGTGTTTACATCACCTCGTAACATCCGTCTATTTAACATCACGTGTTTACATCACCTCGTAACATCCTTCTTTTTAACATCACGTGTTTACATCACCTCATAACATCCGTCTATTTAACATCACGTGTTTACATCACCTCGTAACATCCGTCTATTTAACATCACGTGTTTACATCACCTCGTAACATCCGTTTATTTAACATCATGTGTTTACATTACCTCATAATATCCGTCTATTTAACATCGCGTGTTTACATCACCTCGTAACATCCGTCTATTTAACATCACGTGTTTACATTACCTCATAAAATCCGTCAATGTAATATCACGTGTTTACATCACCTCATAAAATCCGTCTATTTAACATCACGTGTTTACATCACCTCATAATATCCGTCTATTTAACATCACGTGCTTACATCACCTTATAAAATCCGTCTATTTAACATCGCGTGTTTACATCACCTCATAACATCCGTTTATTTAAAATCACGTGCTTACATCACCTTATAAAATCCGTCTATTTAACATCGCGTGTTTACATCACCTCGTAACATCCGTCTATTTAACATCACGTGTTTACATCACCTCGTAACATCCTTCTTTTTAACATCACGTGTTTACATCACCTCATAACATCCGTCTATTTAACATCACGTGTTTACATCACCTCGTAACATCCGTCTACTTAACATCACGTGTTTACATCACCTCGTAACATCCGTTTATTTAACATCATGTGTTTACATTACCTCATAATATCCGTCTATTTAACATCGCGTGTTTACATCACCTCGTAACATCCGTCTATTTAACATCACGTGTTTACATTACCTCATAAAATCCGTCAATGTAATATCACGTGTTTACATCACCTCATAAAATCCGTCTATTTAACATCACGTGTTTACATCACCTCATAATATCCGTCTATTTAACATCACGTGCTTACATCACCTTATAAAATCCGTCTATTTAACATCGCGTGTTTACATCACCTCATAACATCCGTTTATTTAAAATCACGTGCTTACATCACCTTATAAAATCCGTCTATTTAACATCGCGTGTTTACATCACCTCGTAACATCCGTCTATTTAACATCACGTGTTTACATTACCTCATAAAATCCGTCAATGTAATATCACGTGTTTACATCACCTCATAACATCCGTCTATTTAACATCACGTGTTTACATCACCTCATAATATCCGTCTAATTAGCATCACGTGTTTACATCACCTCATAACATCCGTCTATTTCATGACACGTGTTAACATTCCCTAGTGATCTCCTTCTTTTTGATATCACGTGTTTACATCACCTAATACTATCCTTCTTTTTAATATCACGTTTTTTACATTTCCCCATAACAGTTTATAAAAACATCATCATCATCATCATTACAGGTGCCCCGGGAGCTGGCAAGTCCTCTCTAGTCAACACAATCGCTGCATCACTCTCGGATGACACGTGGAGCGATTATGCACACTCTGCAGCTGCTGATTCCAGGATGGTTTACGTGAAAGGGTGAGTGAGTGAGTGAGTGAACGCCCTTTGAACAGTACGTCTGTTATATCACGGCATGTAAGCCTGATGGACCCGTGAAGATCCGGGGTAGAATAGGTCTTCAGCAACCCATGCTTACCGTAAAAGGCGACTATGCTTGTCGTAAGAGAAGACTAACGGGAGGGTGGTCAGGCTCGCTGACTTGGTTGATGCATGTCATCGATCCCAATTGCGTACGCGTGGATCGATGCTCATGATGTCAATCACTGGATTGTCTGGTCCAGACTCGATTATTTACAGACCGCCGTCATACAGCTGGAATATTGCTGAGTGCGGCGTTAAATAACAAACCAACCAACCAACAAACAAACCAACTAACAAACCAACCTGATGTGGGAGAAAGGCCTGTAGTGGTTCAGGCCTCACACGTGGTACATGTACGTGGTACATGGTACTTGGTACAAAATCATGTCGACTCCAGGCTAGGTACCCACGACCATCGGATCCCGCCACCCCAAAGGGCCGCAACTCAGCACACCGAGTTTTACAGGAGCGTGGAATGAGTCCTTTATGGCCAACTTGAAACCTGAGATAGGGAACACTACATAGGATGCTGTAATAGCGAGCCCTTTGTGGAGCTCCACGCGGAGACGGTTTTCTAGATAGAAACTCGGCAAGGAGAGCTCTTTACACAGTCACGTGAGGAGCTGCAGTTAACTTTCAAACTTGCGCCCCTTTGATATTGCGGAAACTATAGACGGTGAGACTTACCCTGGTTAAGTTTTCGAGGTTTGTCAACGCCATCTCCTTCAAACAGCACCTGAGGTCAATGATGGTCAATAATACAAATATCCTTTTAGAAATACATTATTTTAAAACTGTGTAGGGAGAGTTCCTTTACAGAACACTTTATACAGAAAACCAGAGAGAGCTCTCCGAGATGAAGCTGCTGCAACCGTTGCTTACATTACCCTGCATTCAACCAAATCGAAGAGCTTAGAGACGTAATGACCAATATCATGTGGAGTCCGTTATGAGAAAAGTGATGAAAGCAATAACCATATGCATGTTAATGAAGATTTTTTATTCATTGATATATTCCTAAAGTTTAACACATTCTGACAGCGGACTTATAAATGTTGCTATAAAAAACATTCAAAAAAACGAAATAAACTTACGTTTTTAATTTGTTTGTCCATTGAAATAAGGAATCTCTTGGTATTCATGCGACTGTAAATCCATTCTCAAAAATAAAAAAATGTGATTTTTGAAAAAAAAGAAGAAAAAAAAAGGTAGGAAAGGGCCAATGTCTGTATTTTAGCCCTTTTTACCCTCAGGCATTTGCATGGGATTTAACATGTGAGATTGATAAACAACTACTGAAAGTACAAACACATACTATTGAAGCTCTTTTAATTGATTTGTTGAAATAGTTGAAACATAATAATAATGTTTCCAAACTTTCAAAATCTCTTGATCAACCAGTCTTAACCACACACGGAAATGAGAGCTAAAAGGACCAAAATCTAGCAAACTTTGGCCCTTTCGGAACTTGACTTTGGCCCTATAACAGAATTTTAAGTAGCTACATTTCAAAAACTTATCTATGAAAACATACGATATTTTTACTACAAGAAGACAAGAACTCATAAATGTATTTTATGCAATGATATGCAAAAAGGGCCAAAATGCATTTTGGTCCCTTTAGGCTCTAAGCTATTCATTAATTTATTTTAGTAGACAAGAACTCATAGATATTATTTATGCAATAATATGCAAAAAGGGCCAAAGTGCATTTTGGTCCCTTTGGGCATAAAGCTCCTCAACCGTCCTTTCAGCTTCCCAAAGTGTTGTCACGGGTCCAGCACAAGATACCGGGATGTCAACCTCCCAACCTTGCTGGAAATAACCGGTTTTGATGACGTGCACTCAGAACGCCAGAGAGAACACCTTCGCATCATCTGCAATGGCCGACTCCCTGTCGACGGACCGGTCACGGCTGTGAACTACCGTGACGGTGGCCCGGCGCGCCCAGACAGATATCGAGAGCAAGGCCACGGGGTGAAGGTCGACCGAGTCCTGCTCGTGACCGCTGCTACATCCGAGATTCCAGTCAATCTGATCAGCTGCCTGGTGGATGTTGCAGGCCGCGCAGGTAGGCATGAGATGGGCGAGTTGGGTTTAACGGCGCTTTTAACAGTATTCCAGTTATATCATGGCGTGTCAGCTTAATGTGGGAGGAAAGCCCGAAGTGATGCAGGTCTTAGACTTTAACCACTTCGGTGAAACCCACGAGCATGGGTATAGTGCTGATAAACCTAGAAACATAATCGGGGCGAACCGGGATTCGAACCCACAATCACAGGTTTCTGGTGTCCCCAAGGGACGCAACTCTGCACAGCCAATTGCGGCGCCTTAGACGACTGGGCCACCCATGTCCCCAGAAAGCCGAGGGAGTGATAATATATACCTCAGTTACATCCTTGGGTATCTCAGATGAACTAACGCAGGGCTTCGGGTGGCCTTGTCGTCTAAGGCGCCGCGATTCTCTGTGCAAAGTTGCGTCCCTTGGACACGCGCCAGAAACCTGTGATTGTGGGTTCGAATCCCGGTTCACCGCGATTTTGTTTCTAGGTTTGTCAGCACCATACCCGTGCTCGTGGGTTGCACCGAAGTGGTAAACGTGTGAGACCTGCATCACTTCGGGCTTTCCTCCCACATCAAGCTGACATGCCGTGATGTAACTGTAATACTGTTAAAAGCGGCGTTAAACCCAACTCACTCACTCCCTTGGATTCCTTGCGAATCAACCAAAATCCCAGTTTTCCATATAAAGATATACGGGTATATCTTCCCATTTAGATGATTGCATACTGGTGTAGCTTCACCTTTAGTTTTGGGTGTGTTTTTTTGTTTAACGCCGCGCTCAGCAACATTAATATTCCTGCTATTGCGGTATGTAAATAAATCAAGTCTGGACCAGAGATTAACTTCATGAGCATCGATCCACGCAATTAGGATACGATGACGTGCATCAACCAAGTCAGCGAGTCTGACCACCCGGTCCCATTAGTCGCCTCTTACTTGGTTTGTTGTTTAACGCCGCACTCAGCAATATTCCATCTATAGTCGCCTCTTACTACAAGCATGGGTTGCTAAGACCGGATCTTCACGGATTTTTAATAAATGATATGCTGTTATATTTTCCTGTTTATATGATGATATATAGAGAATCTCACCCGAGTGTCTTTTGATATCAAATATATCAACACGTGTTGATAAAAGTGGAAAAATTCCAAGGCTTGCCGAGGATTTTTGCCACTTTTATCAACGAGTGTTGATATATTTGATATCAAAAGACACGAGGGTGAGATTTTATTTATCATCCAACATCATTCTTTCAACTTTTTCAATTTGTAGACAGTAATTAGCAGTGTCTTCGGTGTAAAAAGTACTGCAAACAGCTTCAGTAGCAGAGCCATTAGCGATGTCATTTGATTGTGACGTCATGGTAACCAGTGATGTCACAATGGTCTGCAAAGCATTGTGATGTAATTTCATTGCAGCGATATCTACAGTGTAGATATCGCTTGATCTCATCCAAGCGATATCTCCGGTGGGAGCCAGTTTTGGATGATAAACAGGTACTGGTATAGCTTTAACTTTAGATAATATGCTTGTACATCTTCCCATTTAGATGATGACACACTGCTATATTTTACCATTTTCTTCTAACAATGACCTTGAGTAAGTTATTCTTTCTTTAGGAATACCTGTGTTCGGCGTGATGTCAAAGATGGATAAGGTTACAGAAAAGCAATTAAAAGAAAGAGAAAGACAGTTTTTCGAGGCCCTTCAGCTCAACGGCAATCACCGACTGCTCCGCTGCAGCAACTACTGCGACGATGTGGACCCCGCATGTCGACGGACCGAGACGTTCATTGCGGAGCTTGACATTCCTATTTTGAAGTTCATGAGCCAGATGGTGAAAGTCAGACGACATAACGAAGATGCGTCTGGCTGTGATGCAGGTAATGTACACAGTTTTGAACAGACACAGACAGCACATCTTGCCGAGGCAAGAGAGTTAACTGACTATAAAAGTCCAGTTTCCACCCTTGCCGAACTAGGCTGGGATTATGGAGTTACATTTTGGCTGGACTAACGAGTCTATGCATAGTCCAATCAAAATCGCGCACCGAAATCGAAATCCGGTTCGTAAACTGCCATGCAGAATTCGGTCGATTGCAGGATTTGCAAGGCGTGTGCATCGCCAACTCGTTGTCAACAGATATTTTCCAAATCTTTTCATGTTTCTAATCAAGGTGCTCACTTGATTTCATGTACTTCGCGAAGTAAGAACCGTTTTATCACAAAATAGATCTTGATGGTCGATCAGCGCCACCATTTTGTTTGAAGCAAATGCATGTTATACAAGAGTTGGAATCTGATTGGTCCATATGGGAGAGGCATAGAATGGACATAACTCGTAATAACCACTGGTGGCGCTACGATCGAACCCAGGAATTCCAGCCTAGTTCGGGTGGAAACTGGACTTGTAAAGTCAGTTAACGCTCTTGCCTCGGGAAGATGCAGACAGCAATATTGCGACAATGTATGTCGAGGACATCATGAATTGGAAGCACGTGGCACTGCTCTCACATGAACATCACGTGTCACCATGGAGACGGTGTATCCAATCAGAAAGTACCTTTGGCATGAGTTTAAACGACTTAAGTTGAATTCATGCAATCTTCATGAGACTCAAAAACTAGAAGAGCCCGTCACACTTTATTTTGTTCTAATATTTTACCAATCGAATGTTTTGCCGTAATCACATCAAACCATGCATCTGACCTCGCGGCATGGTGTAGCTGACATCACTCTTACTTGATACACAATCCTTGAACACACAGTGATAGAGACATTTAACTGACGTCTCTATTTCACTTTTCAGCTGAAGAAAGTCAACCTTCAACGTCACCTTCTTTGCGACATCGTCAACGCCAGACAGACACACCTGGGAGACAAGCGGCGCCTCCAGCGCCCAGAGCGGAGAATCCTCAATCGTGGAACGGAAGTCAGCTAACTTTTATCGCTAAAGTTTTTTTTGAGATACTTGTGGTTTTGGCATTTTATTATTTTATGAAACCAAACATTGACATGAAGAAGGTGAGTGACACTTGCAGATACATCAAGTCCCGCCCAGAGATCAACAGTTTCACCTCGGTGAGGAGCTTGTGTAAACACCTTGTCACCAGCAGCTCTCTTGGCCCCGCCCTGCTGTTGCTGGTGTATGCTGGGGTAAGGGCTGTGTTGGTCTCACTAGAATATCGACACAACCCTGACTGGCGAATCTGAAGCATCACAGACCTAGATTCATCCTCTTCATCATCTTGGTCACCTTGAAAACCATGCTCGATTATCCAGAGTGAGTGAGTATGGTTTTACGCCGCCTTTAGCAATATTCCAGCAATATCACGGAGGGGGACACCGGAAAATGGGCTTCACACACGTGGGGAATCGAACCGGGTCTTCGGCGTGACGAGCCAACGCTTTAAACCACTAGGCTACCCCACCGCCCTCGAAAATCCAGAACATTGTGTCCTATAAAGAGAAAAACTCTGAACCTCTTCCAGAACTTAGAGTCGTCGTAAACCGTTTTCGAATGACACGGAGATAGAATTTTTTTTAGTTACACCCATCAGTAAGAGGCAACCCATGCTGAGAATTGTTTGTTTGTTTTTTAAAGCCTCGGGTAGCAGTATCATGAGCGAGATACTTCCGGGTAGCGGTATCATGAGCGAGATACTTCCGGGTAGCGGTATCGTGGGCGAGATACTTCCGGGTAGCGGTATCATGAGCGAGATGCTTCCGGGGAGTGGTAATTACGCAGGGGAGATACTCCCAGGTAGGCATACTGGTAACATGCACAAGATATGTTTCGCAATACCTCCCAATTTGTACCGTGAGCAAATTGGTGGCAGTTAATTCACGGTGTATCAATCTTTGCTCTTTGCATGTCTCAAGCTTTTCTTGTTAATTCGTCAGTTTTAAATATCTGCGTAGCGGTCATCATATTTTTCAGTACCAGCAGTCATGTTCATTGTTAGTGCATATTTGTATTTGTATTTTGGGATAGCAGTGTGTTTTCAATTAAATAAATGCTTGAGTGTTTGTCACTGTACATTACTGTCAATAAATCTATACCTTCTGACCTCCTTACTCTGTCTGATATCATTCTGTGTGGAGATCTGAGGACGCTTTCCATCTAATCGGCCAATCAGTGTCGAGACTTTTAAAACAATAACAGGGAAGGAGCCATCCATGCAATGACGGGTCCAGGGGAGGGGCCACCTAAACAATGACGGTCCTGAGTGAGGTGAGGTGAAATGGGGTTTAACGTCGCGTCCAATATTATTGCACTTATACAGCGACGTGCTTGTACGTGTGTGTGTTTGTGTGGCTGCTTGTACTAGTCTGGACTGATGCCAATTTATTGTGCTAGCTCACTGGGATACCATGCCGCAGTTTAACATGAATACCCCACTCAGACACAGTATACTGATTCCGAGCCGACCAGTCCTTGTTTTAGCCCCTTAATGCCGAGCACCAGACAGGGTAACAACAAGTACCATCGTTTAACGTCTTTTGGTATGACGCGACCGGGGATCGAACCCCGGACCTTCCGCTCTCCGGGCGGAGGCTCTACCACTAGACCACAGTGGCCGCGACAGACCTGGAGAGGAGCTGTGGAGGAGACACACAAGCAATGATGGGTCCAGGGGAGGAGCCATCCAAGTATTGATGGGTCCAGGGGAGGAGCAACCCAAGCAATGATGGGTCCAGGGGAGGAGCCACCCAAGTACTGATGGGTCCAGGGGAGGAGCAACCCAAGCAATGATGGGTCCAGGGGAGAGCCACCCAAGTATTGATGGGTCCAGGGGAGGAGCCATAAAGCAGTAATGGGTCCAGGGGAGGAACCACTTAAGGAATGACAGGGTCAGGGGGAGGAGCCACCTAAGGAATGACAGGGTAAGGGGGAGGGGCCACTCAAGCAATAATGGGTCTAGGGGAGGAACCACCCAAGCAATAATGGGTCCAGGGGAGGAGCCATCCAAGCAATGACAGGTCTAGGGGAGGAGCCATCCCAGCAATGACAGGTCCAGGGGAGGAACCATAAAGCAATAATGGGTCCAGGGGAGGAGCCATCCAAGCAATGACAGGTCCAGGGGAGGAGCCATCCAAGCAATGACAGGTCTAGGGGAGGAGCCATCCAAGCAATGACATGGCCTATGGGAGGAGGCACCAAGCAATGATGTGGCCTGGGGGAGGAGCCACGAAAGGAATGACAGGGTCAGGGGGAGTAGCCACCAAAGGTATGACAGGGTCCGGTGGAGGGGCCACTCAAACAATGACAGGGTCAGGTGGAGGGGCCACTCAAGCAATGACAGGGTCAGGGGGAGGAGCCACCCAAGCAGTGACAGGGTCAGGGGGAGGAGCCACCCAAGCAGTGACAGGGTCAGGGGGAGGAGCCACCCAAGCAGTGACAGGGTCAGGGGGAGGAGCCAACCAAGCAGGACACTTGTTGGCAAGTGGGTGTGATGTAAGGAACACCAGTTCACTCAATGCAGGGTGAAGGCTAAAACTTTGAAATAGTAAAAAAATTCGAATGTATGAAATAGCAGATCAACTTACATGAATTTATTTATCAGTTCATTTCTCAACATCGACATGTCCATTCATGGTGAGATCAAAAACAAAGCAGGAATAACATTCATTCCATAACAAAGTAACAGTTTATCCTAACTTCAGCATGACAGGTGGTCTCAGCCGTGACATCACACTGGAACAAAAGACATAACCCTCCCATCCAGACTCCCACACACCAGGGTAGGCTGAGCAGGATGGAAGGTGACGTCCGTGACAACATCGGTGTTCCCTCGCAGTCTGACGCAGTAGGTCCCTGCCCGCAGGTCAAACACGTACACCAGCCTGTCCTCGGATCCCGTGGCCAGGTACTTGCCACACGGACTCAGGGCAAGTCCACAAGCGTGGGCCTGGTTCAAATGTCCCTCCAGCCTCTGCACACAGCGCTGGGCCCGCATGTCCCACAGCTTGATGCAATCAGCAGCAGCAGCTGATGCAAAGATGTTGTAGGCGGACGACGGCTGGGAGGCGTAGCTGGACCCCTTGTTGAGACAAATAGAGTGTGCTGGACGGGTGTGAGTGTCCTGTATCACTGTGGCCAGGGTGCCTTGGTTGAGGTCAAACACCTCGATGTCACGGTTGGAGCCTGCACAGATGACGAGGTGGGAGTGGAAGGCGTTGATGGCGGTCATGGAGGTTATTGTCTGACTCTGTGTAGCCCAGCTCTGGACTAGCTTGTACCTGGAACAGACAGAGTGATAATCAACTCACCTGTTGTAGTGACTGACAGTGACAATCAACTCACCTGTTGCATTGATTAACATAGATAATCAACTCACTTTTTGTAGTGATTGACAGTGTTAACCCACTCACCTGTTGCATTGATTAACATAGATAATCATCTTACCTGTTGTTGTGATTGACAGTGATAATCAACTCACCTGTTGTAGTGACTGACAGTGATAACCAACTCAGCTGTTGCATTGATTAACATAGATAATCAACTCACCTGTTGTAGTGATTAACATAGATAATCAACTCACCTGTTGTAGTGAGGATTGACAATGACAATCAACTCACCTGTTGCATTGATTAACATAGATAATCAACTCACCTGTTGTAGTGACTGACGGTGATAACCAACTCACCTGTTGTAGTGAGGATTGACAACGACAATCAACTCACCTGTTGTAGTGATTGACAGTGACAATCAACTCACCTGTTGCAGTCATGATTGACAGTGATAATCAACTCACCTGTTGTAGAGATGATTGACAGTAATAATCAACTCACCTGTTGCAGTCATGATTGACAGTGATAATCAACTCACCTGTTGTAGAGATGATTGACAGTAATAATCAACTCACCTGTTGCAGTCATGATTGACAGTGACAATCAACTCACCTGTTGTAGTGATGATTGACAGTGACAATCAACTCACCTGTTGTAGTGATGATTGACAGTGACAATCAACTCACCTGTTGTAGTGATTGACAGTGACAATCAACTCACCTGTTGTAGTGATTGACAGTGACAATCAACTCACCTGTTGTAATGATGATTGACAGTGACAATCAACTCACCTGTTGCAGTCATGATTGACAGTGACAATCAACTCACCTGTTGTAGTGATGACTGACATTGACAACCAACTAACCTGTTGTAGTGATGATTGACATTGAAAATCAACTCACCTGTTGTAGTGATGATTGACAGTGACAATCAACTCACCTGTTGTGGAGATTGACAGTGATAATCAACTCACCTGCTGTAGTGATTGACATTGAAAATCAACTCACCTGTTGTAGTGATGATTGACAGTGACAATCAACTCACCTGTTGTAGTGATGACTGACATTGACAACCAACTAACCTGTTGTAGTGATGATTGACATTGAAAATCAACTCACCTGTTGTAGTGATGATTGACAGTGATTATCAACTCACCTGTCTTAGCGACAGTGATAATGAATTCACTCGTTGTATTGACTGACAACATACCTGCTTTTTGTCAGGTATCTCTTGATCTCGTCTCGGGCTGCGTCCAGGTAGTACTTGTAGAGGTGGAGAGAGCTGCCACACGTCAGCAGAACAAACCTGTCCATGTAGAAGAACTGGCCATGTCGAACTTCCCGGGGGAACAACGTGTTGCTCTTGTCTGCCTTCACCTGTGCATACCGGGAATATGCCGTGCGTCAGTCACTCACCAGTGTTGGGGCAACGTATTTCATTAATGATTATTCTTCTACCTATGCATCATGCTTTTACACCTTAAGACATGACATTCAGTCCCCCCATACAAGTTTTCATACCTTACAATAAAATATACAGTACCCCCGTACAAGTATTTACAGATCACAAAATCACATACAGTACCCCCGTACAAGTATTTACAGATCACAAAATGACATACAGTACTCCCATACAAGTATTTACAGATTACAAAATGACATACAGTACTCCCATACAAGTATTTACAGATTACAAAATGACATACAGTACTCCCATACAAGTATTTACAGATTACAAAATGACATACAGTACTCCCATACAAGTATTTACAGATTACAAAATGACATACAGTACTCCCATACAAGTATTTACAGATCACAAAATGACATACAGTACCCCCATACAAGTATTTACAGATTACAAAATCACATACAGTACCCCCTTACAAGTGATTACAGATCACAAAATGACATACAGTACTCCCATACAAGTTTTCATACCTTACAATAAGATATACAGTACCCCCATACAAGTATTTACAGATCACAAAATCACATACAGTACCCCCGTACAAGTATTTACAGATCACAAAATGACATACAGTACCCCATAAAAGTATTTACAGATCACAAAATGACATGCAGTGCAAGTACAGTCAAGTCTTGTTAATCCGGGGCATTCAGGTAGCCTAGTGGTTATAGCGGTTGCTCGTCATGCCGAAGACCCGGGTTCGATTCCCAACATAGGTACATTGTGTGGAGCCCCCTTCTGGTGTCCCCCGCCGAGATATTGCTGGAATATTGCTGAAAGCGGCGTAAAGCCATACTCACTTGTTAATCCAACACTTGTTTATCTAACAGTGAGTGAGTTGGGTTTAACGCCGCTTTTAACATTATTCCAGTCATATCACGGCGTGTCAGCTTAATGTGGGAGGAAAGCCCGAAGTGATGCAGGTCTCAGAGGTTTACCACTTTGGTGAAACCCACGAGCACGGGCATGGTGCTGACAAACCTAGAAACATAATCGGGGCGAACCGGGATTCGAACCCACAATCATAGGTTTCTGGCGTGCCCAAGTGACGCAACTCTGCACAGCGAATCGCGGCACCTTAGACGACTGGGCCACCCGTGCTCCCTTTTTTTTTGGATCTAACAGTCGGCTTAATGATGGTAAACGTCTGAGACCTGCATCACTTTGTGCTTCCTCCCACATGAAGCTGACACGCCGTGATATAACTTGAATAGTGCTAAAAGTGGCATTAAACCCAACTTACTCACTCCTTCACTAGAATCAATGTTCGACCCATATTGAGTTACCTGCTCCTTATTGACGGACATATTGTCGGAAATCATGTCAAACTTCAGCAGAGGGTCACTTGATCCTCGGGTCCAGATGGAGGCCGTCTTGTCATCTGACGAGGTGATGACCAGGGTCCCGCTGTGATTCCAGGCAACAGAATTGACACTGCTATTGTGGCCCACATACACTCGGCCCACATTCTGACCAATGGGAAACTTGAATATTGAGGCTGTTTTGTTCGCAAGGGCACAAGCTACACTATGACCATCGTCCGAGAAGGTGACCCTATTGACCGGAGTAGGTCTCTCGGCTACATTGATCCTGTCTTGAAGTTCTGTCGGGGGAGCACTGTCAAGGGGGTATTCTACATCAAACACTTTATTTTCTGACGATGGTTTTTTTAAAACTGATTTCATGGGTTTATTGATTTTTGGTTTAAACATGGTTGTCCGTGGAGTTTGAGTGTAACCGGATGATTTGACCTTGGGTTTAAAGGTCAAAGGTTGGTTCATTGGGTCAGATTTTCTCCGTTTATCATAACCTGGGGTTTTAACTGTTTTTGATTTGGGGGTCTCGGGTTTTGACTGTGGAATCAGCTCGGATTTCAGTGGAGATTTCTCACATAGAGAATTCACAGCTACCACACACAAACCTGAGTCATCGTGCTCGTCTTCACCAGCTTCAAGATCCATCAGACCGGATAAAACATAGGTCAAGGAGGAATCTAAATCCACATTTTTCTTACACAAACCCGAATCAGACAATCCAAAATGAACCACATTTAGTTCGTTATCAAACATGGTGCCCAGGAGTGCCCACAGAGAGGCGGCGCCAGGACTCTGAGCGATGGCGGCAACATCTGCAGTATTGATACACCTCGACTCTCCTTCCGGACCAACACTGGACAGAGGATTGTGCAGATCTGTGAAGTCTAAAATCTCCAGGTTTTTAGCATTGAGCTGAAGTGCAGCACCTGTGGTGACAACAACCAACACAGGAGGCTGTGACGCCAGGAGGTCATTGGCAGCTGATTTCTCAAACTGCGGCGCCACTTCGGTCGTCTCCTTCTGGGTGGGGGGATAGGAGAAGCACACACACAGCACAGCCTGGCCCTGCTCTGTTGCAGTTTCAACCTCCACATCCTTCGAATTTGGTTTTTTCCAAGTCCCTCTTTTTGTGACAGTCATTGTGCCTTTTTCTTCTGATTTACTTTTCAAAATTGCAATTCTTTCCCGTTGTTTCAACACAGCTTTAGAGATATCGACTTGATGTAAGCTACGAAAGTTGTTGCCGTCGGTGAGATCATAGGTTCTTAGAATCCCGTCAGAAGAGCCGAGCGTAACGTGGGGATCGGACCAGTTCATAGCCAGGCTGATCAGGGAGGATGACGTGATGATGGCAGATTCGTACACAAGCGATAACATCCTAGTATCCCACACCTTGAACGTGCGATCATCCGATATTGTAACAAGCGTGGATGTATAATGGGGGCAAAATTCGGCTCGAGTGATGCGGCCATTATGTCCTTCTAGTTCTGCGATTACAGATTGGAAGTTGGACGTGAGAATAAAAACTTTGTTATCAACACACGCGGCAACCAGGGTATCGTCAACGTTGAAACAACAGAACTGCACCTCGCCGAGTGTTGTCCCGATAATCTGACCAGTGACGCGGTCACCCTTCATAAATTTCTCACGTGCACTGTGGATATTCCAAACAATCACGTAATCACCAGCTGCCGAGCAAAGAAGTTTAGGACTTGCATTAAATCCGAAACATAACGAGGTGATAGGTTGACGGTGTCCCGTTAGTATCAGTGGATCTGAGTGTAAACTTTGGAAGCTCCATATCCCGACGTGTGTTCTCTCTGTCGGCAGAGCGAAGTAAACTCCGTCGTTTGCAGGTTCGATGCGATCCTTATTGTAGCCCCTGGGCACACTAAACCTGTGAGTTGCTGTCATAGCGTCTAATTGAATTTAGTGGGTTGTTTTGCACTTTCTTAATTCATATTCACATCGATTCACTCGTTGCGAATCACGCTTTCTGGTTACTGTGCACACAGCGCCATCTACAATCTTCAAATATATTTAGAGTTATCTCCCCTTAACAGTATTCTCTTACTACTAAACACTATCCGGAATCGACCATTTGAATGGAAGGGGAGTGGTGTGGGTGGGTGAAGATATTTTTTCAGGTACATCTGCAAAAACAGATATGTATATTTTTTTAATTAAAACAATGTATTTATTTGGTGGCAAACAAACTAAATGTTATCAACTGACTGAAGCATATTTTTTCTTTCAATAGGAGAGATGAATAGGGAAAGTGGATTTTTTAAATAGATTTTTTCTCAAGAATTTTTTTTTTCCTTTCTTTTCTTAAACTTCTCTAGAATAACTGATAAGATTTTTGGTCTTTGGTCAAAGGGCAAGGTCATGAGAAGGCGGCTGCTTCGCTCAGCTCAGCTTCAACAGTTTCCGATGTCCGATGACACTGGTCGTTTCATCGTGTGTGGGAAGGGGTGGTGGGGTAGCCTTGTGGTGGTTAAGCGTTCGCTCGTCACGCCGAAGACCCGGGTTCGATTCTCCACAAGGGTACAATGCGTGCAGCCTATTCTTGGTGTCTTCCGCCCTGATATTGCTGGAATATTGCTAAAAGCGGCGTACATCCAGACCGAACAAAGTTGATATTTTTTATGACTTTTGAGATACCCTATGCTCTACACATACGTAAACTGATGGAAATAAATGAGAGAGCATTGTCACGGGTGGCCCAGTCGTCTGAGGCGCCGCGATTCGCTGTGCAGAGTTGCGTCCCTTGGGCACGCCAGAAACCTATGATTGTGGGTTCGAATCCCGGTTCGCACCGATTATGTTTCTAGGTTTGTCAGCACCAAACCCGTGCTCGTGGGTTTCACCGAAGTGGTAAACGTCTGAGACCTGCATCACTTCAGGCTTTCCTCCCACATTAAGCTGACACGCCGTGATATAACTGGAATACTGTTAAAAGCGGCGTTAAACACAACTCACCCACTCACTCACTCATTCATCGTGTGTGGGAAGGGGCGGTGTGGTAGCCAAGGTGGTTAAGGTGGTTAAGCGTTCGATAAGGCGCCGCGATTCGCTGTGCAGAGTTGTGTCCCTTGGGTACGCCAGAAACCTATGATTGTGGGTTCGAAACCCGGTTCGCCGAAGTGGTAAACGTCTGAGACCTGCATCACTTCAGGCTTTCCTTCCACATTAAGCTGACACGCCGTGATATGATTGGAATACTGTTAAAAGCGGCGTTAAACCCAACTCACTCACTCACTCACCCACCCATGCACCCACCCACTCACTCACTCGTCAACTAAATACGCGCCTGAAACAAACACATCTAAACATTTGATTCCAACATGTATTGGATTTGTATGCGCGCTAATTCCAGTGTATTGACAGTAAATCTCATTTCCCTATATTTTTTATTGTTCCCTTATTCTTCAATCAGTATATTTTGGGGTTATATCGTATAACTTCGTTTGTTTACTGTAATTGGGGAAGGTGAGGTGAAATTTGGTTGAACATCGCGTCCAAGAATTATTGCACTTGTATGCACGTGTGTGTGTGGCTGCTTGTACTAGTCCGGACTGATGCCGATGAATCGTGCTAGCCCACTGACTCCGAGCTGGACTTTGTTTTAGCCAATTGGCCAGACAGGGTATCAACAAGTACCAGTCTTTTAGTATGACGCGGGCAGGGACCGAACCCCGGACCTTCCGCTCTCCGGGCGGACGCTCTTCCACTAGACCACGTAACTGCAATTAGGTGTTTAGCAAAATGTTCACTATAAACTATGAAATACCTGAGTACGCTACGTTTTCATCTGCGGATGATTTCAGAGACAAATCTAGACAGTTAATGACAAGTTGCATGGAAAACAATTCTGTGACCGAAACTAGAATTTAACTGTATTTCATTTTCAAAACTTCCTGTGAAGCGACATACCTTGTTTTGGAAGTGAACACTCTTCGCCCGATGACGAAAGTATCCATTCATTCATTCATAAACGAAGGCTTTAGCTTAGACATGTGTTAATGCCAGTGAATGCACTGTTAATATCTCATTATTGATGATGTTGTTGTTTGTTGTTTAACGCCGCACTCAGCAATATTCCAGCTTTATGGCGGCGGTCTGTAAATAATCGTCGAGTCAGGACCAGACAATGCACTCAATTGGGATGCGTCAACCAAGTCAGCGAGCCTGACCACCCGACAAGATCATTCTTTCATGCTCTTAATGAAGGTGCTCAAGTGATATGATGCACGACTGGGCGACTGGGCGCCGCCATTTTGTTTGAAGCAAATGCAAGTGATATGAGAGACTGAATCTGATTGGTCAATAAGAGGAGCATAGAAGGGACATAACTAGTAATAGCCACTGGTGGCGCTACGATCGAGCCTGGAAATTCCATCCTAGTTCGGCAAGGGTGGAAACTGAAGTTTTTTGCTAGATACCGGCCTTGCCTCGGGAAGATGGACGAGAATTGGCTCCAACTCTTCCGAATTGATGAGGTGAGGTGAAATGGGGTTCAACGTCGCGTCCAAGATTATTGCACTTATATAGCGACGTGCATGCACGTGTATGTGTGTTGCTGCTTGTACTAGGCCGGACTGATGCCGATTTATAGTGCTAGCCCACTGAGATACCATGCCGCAGTTTAACATGAATACCCCACTCAGACACAGTATACTGACTCCGAGCTGATCAGTCCTTGTTTTAGCCCCTTCATGCCGAGCGCCAGACAGGGTAACAACAAGTACCATCTTTTAACGTTTTTTTGGTATGACGAGGTCGGGGATCGAACCCCGGACCTTCCGCTCTCCGGTCGGACGCTCTACCATTAGACCACGGAGGCGGTTTCAGAATTGATGAGAGAATGAGAGTATGTCTCCAACGAGGGATGTCCGTCGTTGTGTTCAGGGGGTCGGGCTGTATGGTCGAGGTAGCGTCATGGTTTTGGGAGAAATCCGTCTTGACGTTTATACAGATGTGCTCGTTTTTCGATGCCAGTATGATTGTCCAACAGGTACCTAGTCTCACTGCTCTGCCATTCATGCAGTAGAACCCACACGCCTTGGTCCAACACGACAACGCTAGACCGCACACGGACAGGATTACAACCATATTTCTGCACGATAACGTCTTGCCAAGATTCACGGCCATGTCCGGTACAGAGCATCCGTAGGTCTTTCTGGATCGCCGGGTCAGAACAGCCAGTTCCTCCACTCACAAGACAAGGCTTTGTTCAGACACGGGCTCAGGAATGGTGCCGGGTTGTTGTCAAAACGGCCACACAAAAAATCATAATGGCCCCAACAACATATTAGATGTCGTTATCAATAATAAATGGATATTCAATATGAGCAGTATGTGAACAGAGTAGACATGTTAGATGTCGTTATTAATTATAAATGTCCGTTTTGACTTTACCTTTTGAGGCCATCCTGACAAGAAGCTGTCCTGACATGAGGCCGTGCTGACAAGAGGCCGTCCTGACATGAGGCTGTGCTGACAAGAGGCTGTGCTGACAAGAGGCCGTGCTGACAAGAAGCCGTGCTGACATGAGGCCGTCCTGACATGAGGCCGTGTTGACATGAGGCCGTGCTGACAAGAGGCTGTCCTGACATGAGGCCGTGCTGACAAGAGGCCGTCCTGACATGAGGCTTTGCTGACAAGAGGCCGTGCTGACAAGAGGCCGTGCTGACACGAAGCCGTGCTGACAAGAGGCCGTGCTGACAAGAGGCCGTGCTGACAAGAGGCCGTGCTGACACGAAGCCGTGCTGACAAGAGGCCGTGCTGACAAGAGGCCGTTCTGACAAGAGGCCGTGCTGACATGAGGCCGTGCTGACAAGAGGCCGTTGTTATGTATGGTAACATGTTATGTATGGTAACATTTGTTTTCCTCATCACTTTACGTGAGGATACGTCAGTTTGAATGCATGAATGAATGCACCCTGGCGGAATATACTTTAACATTACTTATATTACGAAGTGGAGACATTTATTTCTATTGTTGTATATTATACTCACACGCAAAAGAAACGCAAGTGGTTTAAGCAAATAGGTAACAAACACGGAACCATAAATTGATACGCGTTTTAGCATGTGTTATCAATAGTTTTGGTTGCATTTTGGAAGCCCCGAGTAAAAACGCAACATAAAAAACGAATTGCCAAAATGCACCATTTCAATGAATATGAGGGTATCATGCACCCATTTCTCGCGAAATCGAAAATGCACGAACTGTCACGAACTGTAGTGGGTATAAAACTGTGGCCGATTCTTGGACCTACCACTCCTTAGTCAACAATGCCACGCCTAACCCAAATTCAGAGAAACCAGGCTATCGGACGTTTGGAAGCTGGAGAGTCTGTCCAAGATGTTGCCCGTCATTTTAACGTTAACATAACCACAATTTACGTCTCTTGCATCGATACAATGCTACACAGACCACAGATGATCTTCCTCGGAGCGGTCGTCCTAGGGTCACCACACCTCGACAAGATCGGCAGATTACCCGTCAACACCAGCGACATCTGTTCCTAACTGCAGGTGAAAGTGCTCGACAGACCATAGGAACACATAATCAACACATTAGCCGGGACACTGTGATCCGACGTCTCCGTTCCAACAACCTCAGATGTCGCCGACCAGCACGACTTCAGTGGGCACAGGGTCATCGCAATTGGCGTCATCGTGAGTGGAGGCGTGTCATCTTCTCTGATGAGAGTCGCTTTTGTGTCTCCAATGCAGACGGAATTTGGCGGCGTCGAGGTGATCGTTTCGCTGACAGAAACGTTGTGGAAAGGGATCCATGGGGTGGACCTAGCATCATGATATGGGCAGGGATTGGACTTAATGCGAGACAACGACCCATGTGATTTCTGCATGTTGGTCAAGGTCGGGGACACGGCGTCACTGCTCAGCGGTATATCGACCAAGTGATCAGACCCCACGTTGTTCCATTTTTTGCACAACATCAACAACACATTTTCCAGCCGGACAACACTCGTCCCTATGGTGCCAGAGCTACCCTGGCCTTTCTGCAACAACACAACATCCGTGTTCTACCGTGGCCAGCCCTCAGCCCTGATCTGAATCCCATCGAACACTTGTTGGATGAGGTTCAAAGGCGTCTGCACAATGTGCGCCCAGTCCCTACAACTGCCGATGAACTACGCACAGCTGCTCTGGATGTGTGCAGGAGGATCCCTAGGGCCTTCACAAATCGTCTGATCGACTCAATTTACAGATGTGTGGCAGTGATCAATGTTAATGGTGGTCACACCAGGTATTGACTGACATTTTGGGTTTTGACCCGAAACTGCGTAAGCCCATAACATTTGAAAAAACCCAATTATGTCATCTGCCTTTTAATCCATTAAACTGTCTTCAGTCAAATTTGTGTCAGTCTTGCCCTTGTCTTTAGTGTTGAAAGTAAATAACATGTATACTGCTTACTCGACTAGCTATTCGTTTGCGTGTGAGTATATATTGACCTATTGGCGCGCCCATGCCTGTATCCAAAGCTGACTGACAAATTGTGTGATTGGCAACTGGTTTGATCGACATAATGTGTGCTTCACAACTGGTTTGATTGACAGACGTTGCGGCTGACAGGTGTGATCGGCGGACAGTATGAATGGCTAGTGGTAAATGATGGCTTGCTTGGCAAATGGTTTACTGTGGTTGAGCTTCCTTCTCGAGTGGGCCATGTGTCACATGAGGTGAGGTGAAATTGGGTTTAACGTCGCGTCCAAGATTATTGCACTTATATAGCGACGTGCATGTACGTGTGTGTGTTTGTGTGGCTGCTTGTACTAGTCCGGACTGATGCCGATTTATAGTGCTAGCTCACTGAGATACCATGCCGCAGTTTAACATGAATACCCCACTCAGACACAGTATACTGACTCCGAGCCGACCAGTCCTTGTTTTAGCCCCTTAATGCCGAGCGCCAGACAGGGTAACAACAAGTACCATCTTTTAACGTCTTTTGGTATGACGCGGCCGGGGATCGAACCCCGGACCTTCCGCTCTACCACAAGACCACGGAGGCGGTCTGTGTCACATGAACAAGTTACCTAGACGTGTGAAGATCCAGGGTAGAATAGGTCTTCAGCAACTCATGCTTGCCCTAAAAAACAACTATGAGTGTTGTAAGAGGTGACTAACGGGATCGGTTGGTCAGACTTGCTGACTTGGTTGATGCATGTCATCGTATTCCAAGTGCGTGGATCAATGCTCATGATGTCAATCACTGGACTGTCTGGTCCAGCCTCGATTATTTACAGACCGCCTTCATATAGCTGGAATATTGCTGAGTGCGGTGTTAAACAACAAACAAACAAACCTCCAGTCTGTCTTCTTTTAATGACCTGTGCAATGTGACAAGCAGGTTCTTTTGTATAAGGATGAGAAATCTGCAGATATCGTGGTCCTGCAGTCCTCTTCACTTCAGTCGAAAAGGCAACAAACACCAAGAACCAGATTGTTTTTCGACAGTTTTATTCTAATGTGCACTGTTGTCAGACTGATGTAACACTGCCTACAGATCTCCAAAACATCGCGGAATTCTCACACACATTGGAATTCCCCGTCAGACCTTAACAGAATCCACACACGATCACTTCAGAATTCCGATGTGATCATAGAGAACCTGTTGAGATTCCAACACTTCCACAATGTGCCCACAAACATCTCCAGAATATTGCCTTGCCTCCACAATCTCCCCTAGATCTCCACAATCTCCCCTAGATCTCCACCTAGATCTCTACAATCCTAGATCTTTGCAATCTCCCCCAAGATCTCTACAATCTTAGATCTTTGCAGTCTCCCCCTAGATCTCCCTTAGACCTCTACAAGCTCCCCTTAGATCTCCACAACTCCCCATGAGATCTTCATTAAGGTGGATATCTTGATTATCCAGACTACAGCACCTGGTGCATCTAGTTGTCTCTAACTTTCGGTACCGGCCAGCTAGTGCCACTGCTGGCTCTGCCCAGCAACCACTGTCTACCCGCGGCAACCACTGGCACGATCAGAAAAACATGAAAAGCCAGACGATGAGGATTTTGCTATTTTTTTGTAACAGGGAGAAATATTTCTTTCGAAAATGTGAAGTGTCTTTGACAAAGGAGTGACACTTCGACGAAAGAAGTTTTGATCTATGAAGGTTAAACACAATCGGCAGCTGCTGTTTGATTGGTGTAGAAAATATTCAGTGTTGCCAAGGAAACGATGACGTCCTCTTGCATAGATTAATTTTCATCAAATGTTCAGCATTTAACAAACACAGAGGAGCAAGTTCAGCTTTGCGATCACAGATTGATTACCATGGATCTAGTGGTAGGTTAGTTCTTTAGTGAGTGAGTGAGTACGGTTTTACGCCGCTTTTAGAATTATTCCAGAACGTCTTTGGCGTGACGAGCAAATGCTTTAACCACTAGGCCCGTTAGTTCTTAAACATAAACACGTTACATCCCTTTTATTGAAAGAAATGTAACCAAACGTGGCAATATTATTCATCAACATTTTCATAGACGGTCACCTAAAAATCCAAATATGATAGAGGGAGATTTTCAGATTTCAAAATTTGAAATTTCAAATAGTTTCAATCAAAACTGAAATTGCACCTTTGAACATATTCTTCAACATAACAGCATTTATGACATATTTTCACATAACACTCCCAGCAAACAGTGTTAGAGGCAGCAGGGTCAAGCAGAAATGGACTGCTCAGTGCACACAAGACGTCCACGTCCCTTTAGTAATACAAAAAAAGTCACAAAGTCATTTAACAATATTGTACCAAATAGCTATCTACAATAATTAATATCACACTGCCACTAGTACAGCCGTACAAACTTGACATTAAGCATTCCATCTAGACACTACACTTGTATAAATATAAATATCACACCGTCATGTTAAAAGTCTATATTGCACTTGTATTTTGGCTTTGTAATACTGGGGGTCCATTCAAATTGACAATTTTGCTGTCTGTCCCAAAATATGTATATTTTGCAAGAAAAATTTTCAAAATAAAATTAAATAATTTATGTATTTTTTGACAGATTTTGGAGTTTTGAATTGATTTCAATAACCAGTAGTATATGGACAAGACAGCCAGATGATAATGAGGACGATGTTTTCCCGAGCCTTTCGCTACAGTTCACTTCCAGTTGTCTCCCTTGATGGAATGAAAGCATCAACTTATTGTGTAAATATTGTCATTTTCTAAATTGCTTACTTATGATTTTTTATCATTTTTCTTCAAAACTTTACATAGTGATACATTTAACTCTTAACTTTCCAAAACAACAAAAGATAACGTTTATCACATGACCTTGAAATGGGGTACATGTGACCTCGTAATGGGGTACACGTGACCTCAAAATGGGGTACATTGCGAACTTGTAATGGGGTACGCGTGACCTCGTAATTGGGTACACGTGACCTCAAAATGGGGTACATGTGACCTCGTTAGGGGTACGTGTGACCTCATAATGGATTACATGTGACCTCGTAATGGGGTACACGTGACCTCAAAATGGGGTACATGTGACCTCGTAATGGGGTAAACGTGACCTCGTAATGGATTACATGTGACCTCGTAATGGGGTACGTGGGACCTCGTAATGGATTACATGTGACCCCATAATGTGGTACATACGACCTCGTAATGGGGTACATACGACCTCATAATGGGGTCTTCTCTTTCATTTGAGAAGCAGGTACTAGTTTGCCCTTCCCTGTCTCATGTACGTACGTCTCACAGTTCCCCTGTGTATTCCTCACTGATCACCAGCTACTCCCATCTCACACAACATTCAAAAGTAAAGTAAAATTCATAAAAAAGAGCTAACAAGCACTTTTCTCACATTCCTATTTCCTTCAAAACTGAATACGATGTCTTAAAAACATCATACAAAATGATCGCCATGGAAACAGCAAGGTAACCATGGAAACAGAATGACGATGTCCCAGCTGCTGAAGCTCTGTATTCTCAGACAACCCCAACCAGTTTCTTTTCAGCCTCATCAGTCTCTACAGTTTATCTCCGGGAAATCAGATGGTGAGAAAACATGCTTGGTTTTAGTGCTATTCTATATTTTAAAAAAAGAATAAAAAAACAACACAGAGAAGTGCACAATTCCAAAAAGCGTAAAAATCAAAATTGAGCATTTGAACACAATGGTCAAATCGTGGGTAGATCCCTAACATCAATGGAGGATCGTCAGACAGCCATTCATCTCACACTCGTACAGCTTCCTCAGTCTTATATCTTCAAATCAGTACCACACATAATCAAATGCCAAGATATTGATACAGAAAAAAGGAAAATTGAACGATTCAAACTTTTGTAAACAAATTGCACGCAGAAGTCTTTGGTTGGCATTAAGAAGTTGGTAGAATACCAAGACATGAAACATCTTCAAATTTGATCTTCTAGCATGTCAAACATTTTCAATTTTCAACAAGAATTGAACTCTGTTCTCTTGTTCCAGACTGTCACGAGAAAGACGACGACACGCTATGAATGGTGACTTTTGGGATCGAATGTAGGAAGGAAGAGGCTAACAGGGGGCCAACACATGTCCAACTTCGGCCACAAAATCACCCAGTTCATAGTACCTCGCACAATCGTCAAATTTTCAATTTCCTTTTTCTTGTGAGGTTTAAGATGCTGATTGTGACGGACTAGAATTTCTTCAATACTGGCATCATGCGTAACGGTTTACTAAGAAGGAGTCTAAAGCCTACCATATACCTTCCAGGGTCATGTACAGCGCTCAAGGGTTCCACACAGCCTCAAACACAGGCTGACTACAGCCAGCCTTCTATCACATCACACCAGGTGGCGCTTACCCCTGCCTAAATAACACAGCTCTTGCAGAAAATAACAGTGTTACTACTGACAATGACATCGCTCTTGCAGGAAATAACATTATGACTGACAATAACTTGCCTCTTGCAGGAAATAACAATGTTATTACTGACAATAACATGCCTCTTGCAGGAAATAACAATGTTATTACTGACAATAACATGCCTCTTGCAGGAAATAACAATGTTATTACTGACAATAACTTGCCTCTTGCAGGAAATAACAATGTTATTACTGACAATAACATGCCTCTTGCAGGAAATAACATTATGACTGACAATAACATGCCTCTTGCAGGAAATAACATTATTACTGACAATACCATAGCTCTTGCAGGAAATAACATTATTACTGACAATGACATGCCTCTTGCAGGAAATAACAATGTTATTACTGACAATACCATAGCTCTTGCAGGAAATAACATTATTACTGACAATGACATGCCTCTTGCAGGAAATAACAATGTTATTACTGACAATACCATAGCTCTTGCAGGAAATAACAATGTTATTACTGACAGTAACATGGTTGCTACTGTCCCTGACATTGTTATTATGTTGCAAGATGAGTCATTGTGACCGTCGCATGAAGCATTCAACTAAATAACAGTGTTCTTGCAAATGATATCATTTTGCCATAAAGTACATTAACTGACACCATAGTTCTGAAGAAGGATAACATAGATCCTGTACTACACAGCACTGTAGTGAGACTGTCAGCACAATGAGATGATGACACAGCTACAGCTACAGCTACAGCTACACTATGGCAACATGGACAACACTACAGAGAGTGCGACATGAGGGACGAAGACGAAGACTTTCAACTCAAAGCTGTAAGAATCAATACCCCAAAACTTGAATATTGTGAGTGAGTGAGTGAGTGAGTTCTAACAGAACATGCCAGGACTCCTGGTCCAAGCTCCCCTGCCATGGTGTTCTATGACCAGTATGTTTCAAAACTGGGGGCAAATGTAGAAAAGTGTAAAAGCCTAAAAACAGTGTCTAGTTCCCTTAGTAATTAGAATTACCAATCGTATCACTTGTGCTCCGAAATGTCAATGACTAGTTGTCAGGAAACCTACTCCGATCTACTGACACACGTCTGAAACTATTTGTTAGGACACCTACTCCGATCTAGTGACACACGTCTGTAACTAGTTGTCAGGAAACCTACTCCGATCCAGTGACACACGTCTGTAACTAGTTGTCAGGAAACCTACTCCGATCTAGTGACACACGTCTGTAACTAGTTGTCAGGCAACCTACTCCGATCCAGTGACACACGTCTGTAACTAGTTATCAGGCAACCTACTCCGATCTACTGACACACATTTATAACTAGTTATCAGGAAACCTACTCCCATCTAGTGACACACGTCTGTAACTAGTTGTCAGGAAACCTACTCAGTTCTACTAACACATGCCTGTAACTAGTTGTCAGGAAATCTGCTCAGTTCTACTAACACAAGTCTGTAACTAGTTATCAGGAAATCTACTCAGTTCTACTAACACACGTCTGTAACTAGTTATCAGGAAACCTACTCAGTTCTACTAACACACGCCTGTAACTTGTCAAGACACTCCTGATCCACATCTGTGAGAGAATGTAGCATCGACCCAATTGAACTAGTTGCGTAGCACTTTACTGAGAGGTCTCCATTTTCTTGATTTGGGTAAAATAGACATGACCGAAAGGCATCCATAACTGTCTCTGATCACAATATTCAGGTTTGACGGCGACACAAAGCTTGACATGTCTGTCCATGTTTCATGTTTCAGCTCAGCTAGGAAGGAAGAAGCAAGTGTTTCAGAGGTAAGACTTCCTACCCAGGGTTTTTACGCAAATACGGCTGCAACTGATTGTGAGAGCAGTAAAACTGGAATCATAAAGCTATATGAAATGCACATACTACACAAGACAGTCTGTACATATTATTTCCACACATCTACAAGAGTCTTTCTGGCAAATGACCAATCAGAAACAGCATTAAGTGGCACATGACCTATCAGAAACACTATTACGTGACATGATATTAATTTCCATAAACACATGACCAGATAGTATGCATCTGACCTTAAAGGTCGTTTGAGCATTTTGATAGAATGAGGTCATTGGGAATATCACAAGGCCATTCAAGGTCGAAAAAGACAAGCAAGGATCACCTTGAAAATATTACTTTTGACATTATAACAAAAGGTCAATGAAATATGACCTTGAACCTCTAAGGTCAAGGCTGTTGAAAACTTGTAACAGCATCCTTGAAAGGTCATGCAGCCAATTTGTGCTTAGCATTAATTCAGGTTTTTTTGTACAAAATATATTAATATTAAAATTAGATTTGGAGGGGGTGTGGCTTCAGGAAGTAGAGGCGGCCCTTTGATGCGCTGAATGTCTGTTTAACGAACTATCCCTGGAAGGATTTTGAGAGCCTGCTCGGCGATCAGATGACCTTGAAAAAGAGCTATCACGTGATGACTCTCCACGAGACTTTGACCTTTTTCTGCTGCGCCGGAAAAGTTTCTTTAAGCTACCTCCTAGTGAGCGGGACTTCTTCAAGTTGGGTGATTTTGCGGGGTCCTGGGACCGCACGAGTTCCATATCATCTGTAAACACAGTAGCATCAGTGTCAGTATTCTCCACGATTTCTGTAACTTCGATAACATTATAGTAAAACAATAATCACGCTTTCTGAAACAGAATACTCTATCATACACAAAACATACTCTACCACACACAAAACATACTCTACCACACACAAAACCATCATCGCTATATAGAAAACCTTAACCCCTGATAATATTTACATGATATCTGAAACAGAAAACTTTACTTTACTTTAACAGTGAAACAGCTGGATGTACAGATGTATTTAAGTCCAAGTAAAGTGTCACTTCCTATTGCTTTTTGGCTTACCTGAGTACAGGTTAATGGTAACCATGACAACGTAGAAACAAACACAGCATGCTGGCAACATCCAAAGGGGAATTTAGCAGAATCAGAAAAAAAGGAGTCAAACTTTATTTGCAACTTTGTGTTCAACAAATATGTGCCATTCAAACCTCATACATAGGATTTTGTAGATGTGTAACGATTTGACCCTTAATGAGAACAACATACAGTCTTACAAATATCTTTTATGTTAAAATCAAGCTATTGGAAGCTAACCATGTGATCAGGTATCTAGAGTGCGAGGTGTTTCATGGAACAGCATCTTAGCCGTGTATGCCGAGTCAGCACTATTTCACTCCCTGAACACCAATGGTTGATGACAAGACACAATGTGTGTGCTGCAATCTGATTGGCTGAAATGTTAAATGGGACAGGATACCAGAAAATACCTGGTCTTTATCCTGTATGAATATTTTTCTTGATACATTTTTTCTCAATCCCAAATATGACGAAAAAAAGAATACCATTTTATGTTGCAAAATAGATAGCACATTTTTGGTCAAAACATTTCAGAACAATTTTGATTTACTTGTTTGTTTCTCCTTGGGCTGCGAGTCAAGCAGTTTCAATTAGCACAGAAGCATGTGATGTCATTCATTATATGTAACACAATATTTGTATTTTGTGCTTGTTTTGTTTGTTGTTAAAGGCCGCACTCAGCAATATTCCAGCTGTATGACAGCGGTCTGTAAAAAATCGAGTCTGGTCCAGACAATCCAGTGATTGACATCATGAGCATCGATCCACACAATTGGGATACGATGACATGCATCAACAAAGTCAGTGAGCCTCAGCACCCGATCCCGTCAGTCGCCTCTTACGGCAAGCATTGGTTGCTGAAGACCAATTCTAACCGGGGTCTTCTCGGGTAGACACAATATTTAACAGTGATTCCTAATAGTCAATGTCACCAGGAGTGAGTGAGTGAGTGAGTGAGTGAGTGAATGAGTCGGTAAGCTTTTATGCCGCTTTTAGCAATATTCCAGCAATATCACAGGTAATTTGTGACACAGCATACACTGACAGGAAATATATATGACACAATATACACTGACAGGTAATTTGTGACACTATATACACTGATTGGTAATTTCTGACACAATATACACTGACAGGTAATTTGTGACACAATATACACTGACAGGTAATTTGTGACACAATATACACTGATTGGTAATTTGTGACACAATATACACTGATTGGTAATTTGTGACACAGTATACACTGACAGGTAATATGTGACACAATATACACTGACAGGTAATTTGTGACACAATATACACTGACATGTAATCTGTGACACAATATACACTGATTGGTAATTTATGACACAGTATACACTGACAGGTAATTTGTGACACTATATACACTGACAGGTAGTTTGTGACACTATATACACTGACAGGTAATTTGTGACACAATATACAATGACAGGTAATTTGTGACACAATATACACTGATTGGTAATTTGTGACACAGTATACACTGACAGGTAATATGTGACACAATATACACTGACAGGTAATTTGTGACACAATATACACTGATTGGTAATTTGTGACACAATATACACTGACATGTAATCTGTGACACAATATACACTGATTGGTAATTTATGACACAGTATACACTGACAGGTAATTTGTGACACTATATACACTGACAGGTAATTTGTGACACAATATACAATGACAGGTAATTTGTGACACAATATACACTGATTGGTAATTTGTGACACAGTATACACTGACAGGTAATATGTGACACAATAAACACTGACAGGTAATTTGTGACACAATATACACTGATTGGTAATTTGTGACACAGTATACACTAGTACTGACAGGTAATTTGTGACACTATATACACTAACAGGTAATATGTGACTCCTATTAAGGTTTTTCTTGTGGCAATAATTTGGAACACCAAAGATCAATTTTTTTCTGAAATCTGCTTCAAGCAAATCAGTTTGTTTAATTATGAAATAATTCTTTTACTAGCTATTAAGAAAACCTGAAATCAAAACTCACACAACAAATCTGCAAATAAAAGTTGCAATAAAAACGAATTAATAAACATAACAGATGAAAATGAAAAACGTCATAGTGTGGAAGATGGAAACAACATGAGGAGGAATGATGCAGATGAGAGAAAGAAGAATAGAGACTGGAGGAGGAGGAACAGGAACAATACATCGGGATGGAAAGAAGAGTGCATAATGATTACATGATCTGCTGCATGTCCTGCCTGAGGTATTCATACAAAGGGCGTGTCCTATCTGAGGTTTTCCTATAAGGGGCGTGTCCTACCTGAGGTATTCCTACAAGGGGCGTGTCCTATCTGAGGTATTCCTATAAGGGGCATGTCCTATCTGAGGTATTCCAACAAGGGACGTGTCCTACCTACGGTATTCCTATACCATTTTCACAGAATGTTTATTGCGGATGTCACGGTATAGATGTCAAGATATGACACATAGGACAACTGACTTGTTCCCATCAACATGACACTGAGTCAAGTCAACTATTCTGTATGAGAAAATATAAAGAAACAAAGTTTATGTAGTTTTATGACAGGCAGTAAGGAAAAGCCGGTATTGCATCCTAAGGACGACCAAAAAGCTTGTGAGGAATTAAAAATAGTTTGTACTTGCTTATTGATATAGACAATCGATATGGGGTTAAAGGTGAATTGATGTCAATTTAATATATATCGGTTATCGTATCGTGCAAGTTTGTAGACGATGTACCGTGAATCGCGACATCACTAATGTGCATAGGGATTGATGTTTAAATTTTCTGGACAAAAGATCTTCAGACGTGTATTTGTGTGGGTGAGACTTCATGAATGAAAGCTTTGGCAGACTAATAATGGACAAATGTATGACTGCATCAACAGAAACGCCATGCGTACATGGCCACTTCAACAACAACAGTCATCATCAACGAACAACGATGAACAACGATATACAACCACTCAAAGATCTAGAGCCGCGGAATTTCTACAAATGCGCAAACTTTGCTGCTTAAAACAAATGGGAAATACTGCTGCTAAAAACAAGCTAACTACGGTCTGCGTCAAGGGGAGATAACTACTGCAGAAAAGAAGGAAACCAACCAATGATTATATGTTTGCTAATGGTTTACACTCCATGGCTGATTCCACCACAGGGGAACACACAGCGGCCGAACGTAGTCAAGCTCATCAGCACTCCGGAAGTAGTACGTATCAAAATTGTATATATTACGATTAATAATTGTGTATTCGTATACTCCATGTTGACTTCATAAACACTGGATAATATTTACCATGTAATACACCTGTAGATACTGAAATAGCTTGGAATGAATAACTGATATAAGACATAAAAAAAATAAAAAATAAAAATTAATATTTATAAGATAAAACACAGCAGATATTGCGAAGTAAATAATTTATTGTGAGATGTTTGGAAATGAAAAAAAAGAATACAATTTATAAATAATACCGATAAAAGTATAAAAATAAAAAAATCATCTACAGTAGATGACACGGAAGTTTGTCTTGTTAGAAAAACAAATTCGTTGGCAACCTACTTCTCAAATTTCTAGAAACTGACAGTATTAATTTTGATGCGATAAATGCAATGAGTTTCCCGTTACTGAGCGACTAGAGTCGTGCGTCCCTTGTAGTGGTCAGCCATCAATGAAAGATGATGAGTGGTCAGTGCCGGGAGAGAAAGCCACAGCAACATTCGGACAACGCACGGACGGACACCGGACGCCGGACGCCGGCAGCACCACACCCGGTTCCCCCTCACATTACACTACGTCACTGCCAACTTCATAGCGAGCCTGCCTCCATACACAACTTGTTGAATATAGATATTTCTTTAAAAATTTGAAAATGATTGTTTCCATGGGAACAACCTGAAATCATCCAGAAATATTTTCCAACATTTTAATTCAGATGAGAGAATATTTACATTCGGTTGTGCATCATTTCTATAAAAGTCAACCATCACGATAACTGGGATGCTTCCGCCATAACCCTGCTTCTTTACATTTAATTCAACAGATATCAATGGCAACTTGTATGTAACCATGACGATGCCTGTGATGGAGTGTGATGGGGTAGGGATGACCGGGTGTGGAGCTGAGATAGGAACCTTTAGATTGAGGGCCGTAAGTTTGCTCTGGGGGGCGGAGATAGTTTGCGCCTTCTTTCAAACTGGTCGCAGCTCGATCAGCACTTTGCGATCGCTTCTTGCGACCAAAACGCTTCCTTATCGCTTCCCCAAACGAACTTTTCTTCTTTTCTGCAAGAGGTGGATTGTGGAATGAGAGGGAAGTAAGCTGCTGCCTTCAACAATGTTTTAGAATGTTATTTTGGTTGCTTGATGACGGACGGTGTGCTGGTTTTCTGAATGTAAACTGGGATGTGTCTACAGAGGCTTAAGGTGAGCTCATCCGTAGATTAGGGGCAGTGGCTTATGGTGAGCTCATCCGTACATTAAGATACAGGCCAGCGAAATGTGATTTTTATCTGCAAGTATATACAAGGACTGCTAACATATTCCAATTTTTTATTTTTTTAAAAATTCATTGAAAAATGTTTGAGATTGTCCACTCTGCAGTCGAAAGTGAGTGCATGGGTGAGTATGGTTTAACACCACAAAACACTACTTCAATCATGTCAGCTTCAGGAAAGCCAGAAGTGAAGACCCAATACTAGGATCCTGTCAAATGTAAGGGAGACAACTCTGACACCAAATTGCTTTGACTTACTTGACTGGGCTACCAGTGTCAGGTCTAATGTAAATCTTTAAGAGGAGCTTAAGAGGAGAGTTTTGATTGGTTCAACAAGTCACCAATCTTACTGGTTAATTCACGGACACTTGGCTGGGATTGGTTAGTTCAGAAAACAAGCAGCACCTCCCGAGCATCAGCAGTAACAACTACAACGTGTACAACTACTACGCGACAGAAGAGACTCACAGCTGCCTGAACGTGTGGCAGAGCGTAGTGGCGGGGAGCATAGTGCTCGACACCTGCAGAACAGACGCCACTGTGGACCAAGAACATGGCCGTTAATCTCCACCAACAACACGGCCGTTAATCTCCATCAACAACACGGCCATAATCTCAACCTTAAGACTGGTTGGCAAATCTTTACATACAAAGTCTTGTTTTCAAAATACAGAAAAGCGCAAATTTGAAAAAAATATTAATTGCCTGAAACAAGGTTCCTGGACATTGGTGTGTAGGTGGTCATTGATTAATAAAGGCAGAATGATAGGGACATTATTGTATAGACAGAAACATCAGCCGGGCGATGGCAAGGAATATATTGGCATATTTCATATGTGAAACTTCTTACATGTAGAGTTACAGCAAATAGAATGAGCTTCAGGTAAAGATGTTACATCATTCACACACAGATGTATTTAAAAAACAAATCTAAAGAAATTCAGCTTTGCATAAAACTTGATATGCTATAAATTCATCTTCGCATAAAACTAGATATGCTATAAATTCATCTTTGCATAAAACTAGATATGCTATAAATTCATCTTTGCATAAAACTAGATATGCTATAAATTCATCTTTGCATAAAACTGGATATGCTATAAATTCATCTTTGCATAAATTTATGTAATAAAAATCAGTAATTTCAAACATATATAACATAACAAATATGGCTTCAACAGAAATTGAAATATCAATAAAACAATGGTAATACTTCTATACTATTCCTGGAAATAAAGGCATTACTGTCATACAAGGGACGTCTTTTCCACTGACTGCAACTGAAATGTTTGTTAGGTCAATGTCCATTTTCACAAAACCTATGGTTTGATTATTTCTGAGATGCCTCAATCTGAGCTGGAGGTGATTATATGCTGTAGACTGGAACATGTGCAAGACCACCTCAATCTCTAGTCAGCATGTATAAAGGGGCACTACACACAGACTGGAGCACCTCAACCTCGAGTCAGTATGTATAAAGTGGTACTACACACAGACTGGAGCACCTCCACCTCGAGTCAGTATGTATAAAGTGGTACTACACAGACTGGAGCACCTCCACCTCGAGTCAGTATGTATAAAGTGGTACTACACACAGACTGGAGCGCCTCCACCTCGAGTCAGCATGTATAAAGTGGCACAACACACTGACTGGAGCACCTCCACCTCGAGTCAGCATGTATAAAGTGGAACTACACACAGACTGAAGCACCTCAACCTCAAGTCAGCATGTGTAAAGGGGCACTACACACAGAGACTGGAGCACCTCCACCTTGAGTCAGCGTGTATAAAGTGGCACTACACACAGACTGGAGCACCTCCACCTCGAGTCAGCATGTATAAAGAGGCGTTGGAGCTGGGTTTTGGACAATTTACTTCATTTCAAGGACATCACGCTTCACACACTCAATGAACTTCCGACAGTCAATGAATTTCCCACAATCAATGAACTTCACACAGTTGATGGACTTTACACAGTCAATGAACTTCACACAATCAATGGACTTCACACAGTTGATGGACTTCACACAGTCAATGAACTTCACACAATCAATGGACTTCACACAGTTGATGGACTTCACACAGTTGATGGACTTCACACAATCAATGAACTTCACACAATCAATGGACTTCACACAGTTGATGGACTTCACACAATTGTGGACAATCCAGCATCACACATTCTGTGAAATAAATATGTTTAAAACAACTGTGGACCTGGGTGGATGGGATAATGGATAGAGGATAATACAGATAATACATTATAATAATAATACATTGTAATAAATAACCGGCCAACCTTTCTCTACAGCCTTGTCCGGGGCAGCGTTGGTGACGGCGATGTCACCCCCCTCCTCTGTGGGAGAACTCTCTATAGTCTGAAAACACAAACATCAAACCATGAGGAGGGGAAAATCATGAACCTTCACAGGGGTTTTACTCTCCGACTGAGATCATCCTCAGCATCCAAGGGGTTTTACTCTCCGACTGAGATCATCCTCAGCAGGCAAGGGGTTTTACTCTCCGACTGAGATCATCCTCAGCATCCAAGGGGCTTTACTCTCTGACTGAGATCATCCTCAGCAGGAAAGGGGTTTTACTCTCCGACTGAGATCATCCCCAGCAGGAAAGGGGTTTTACTCTCCGACTGAGATCATCCCCAGCAGGAAAGGGGCTTTACTCTCTGACTGAGATCATCCTCAGCAGGCAAGGGGCTTTACTCTCTGACTGAGATCATCCTCAGCAGGCAAGGGGCTTTACTCTCTGACTGAGATCATCCTCAGCAGGAAAGGGGCTTTACTCTCTGACTGAGATCATCCCCAGCAGGCAAGGGGCTTTACTCTCTGACTGAGATCATCCTCAGCAGGCAAGGGGCTTTACTCTCTGACTGAGCTCATCCTCAGCAGGCAAGGGGCTTTACTCTCCGACTGAGCTCATCCTCAGCAGGAAAGGGGCTTTACTCTCTGACTGAGATCATCCTCAGCAGGCAAGGGGCTTTACTCTTAGACAGAGGATCATCCCTGGCAGGGTATTTATATCTCATCCACGTTTGGTTGAGGGCACCTGAAGATAGGCGTGACATCTCGTTGCTCACATAATGGATCTAACTGAATATTATTATAAAAAACATCCTTTTGATTATTCAACCTTACAAATCATCAATTTCTACAAATTTCATAAGAAACTATCAAAACTGTCTTGGATGTTTGATAAACATTGGTTGCATACAACAGTGATCCTGTAAACTAGGCATGCCATCGAGCTGACACACACAACATAACAACTGACCAGCTGTCTCTCTCATTCACTAAATCTAGGATGTGACTGTACTAGATATGTCTAGCTGATGTGTGTGTGTACGCAGCCCATCTTCCTGAGGCAAGGGAGTTAACTAACTATAAAAGTCCAGTTTCCACCCTTGCTGATCTAGGCCGGAATTTCATGGCCTGATTGTAGAGCCACAGTGGCTATTACGAGTTATGTCCCTTCTAGGTCAGGGTCACGGGTGGAACAGTCGTCTAAGGCGCCGCGATTCACTATGTCCCTTCTTTGTCAGGGTCACGGGTGGAACAGTCGTCTAAGGCGCCGCGATTCACTATGTCCCTTCTTTGTCAGGGTCACGGGTGGAACAGTCGTCTAAGGCGCCGCGATTCACTATGTCCCTTCTATGTCAGGGGCACGGGTTGAACAGTCGTCTAAGGCGCCGCGATTCACTATGTCCCTTCTTTCTCAGGGTCACGGGTGGAACAGTCGTCTAAGGCGCCGCGATTCACTATGTCCCTTCTATGTCAGGGGCATGGGTGGAACAGTCGTCTAAGGCGCCGCGATTCACTATGTCCCTTCTTTGTCAGGGTCACGGGTGGAACAGTCGTCTAAGGCGCCGCGATTCACTATGTCCCTTCTATGTCAGGGGCACGGGTGGAACAGTCGTCTAAGGCGCCGCAATTCACTATGTCCCTTCTTTGTCAGGGTCACGGGTGGAACAGTCGTCTAAGGCGCCGCGATTCACTATGTCCCTTCTTTGACAGGGTCACGGGTGGAACAGTCGTCTAAGGCGCCACGATTCACTACGTCCCCTCTATGTCAGGGGCACGGATGGAACAGTCGTCTAAGGCGCCGCGATTCACTATGTCCCTTCTTTGTCAGGGTCACGGGTGGAACAGTCGTCTAAGGCGCCGCGATTCACTACGTCCCCTCTATGTCGGGGGCACGGATGGAACAGTCGTCTAAGGCGCCGCGATTCACTATGTCCCTTCTTTGTCAGGGTCACGGGTGGAACAGTCGTCTAAGGCACCGCGATTCACTATGTCCCTTCTATGTCGGAAACACGGGTGGAACAGTCGTCTAAGGCGCCACGATTCAATATGTCCCTTCTATGTCAGGGGCACGGGTAGAAAAGTCGTCTTAGGCGCCGCGATTCACTATGTCCCTTCTATGTCGGAAACACAGGTGGAACAGTCGTCTAAGGCGCCGCGATTCACTATGTCCCTTCTATGTCAGGGGCACGGGTGAACAGTCGTCTAAGGCGCCGCGATTCACTATGTCCCCTCTATGTCAGGGGCACGGGTGAACAGTCGTCTAAGGCGCTGTGATTCACTATGTCCCTTCTTTGTCAGTGGCACGGGTGGAACAGTCGTCTAAGGCGCAGCGATTCACTACGTCCCCTCTATGTTGGGGGCACGGATGGAACAGTCGTCTAAGGCGCCGCGGTTCACTATGTCCCTTCTATGTCAGGGGCACGGGTGAACAGTCGTCTAAGGCGCCGCGATTCACTATGTCCCTTCTATGTCAGGGGCACGGGTGAACAGTCGTCTAAGGCGCCGCGATTCACTATGTCCCTTCTATGTCGGAAACACGGGTGGAACAGTCGTCTAAGGCGCCACGATTCAATATGTCCCTTCTATGTCAGGGGCACGGGTAGAAAAGTCGTCTTAGGCGCCGCGATTCACTATGTCCCTTCTATGTCGGAAACACAGGTGGAACAGTCGTCTAAGGCGCCGCGATTCACTATGTCCCTTCTATGTCAGGGGCACGGGTGAACAGTCGTCTAAGGCGCCGCGATTCACTATGTCCCCTCTATGTCAGGGGCACGGGTGAACAGTCGTCTAAGGCGCTGTGATTCACTATGTCCCTTCTTTGTCAGTGGCACGGGTGGAACAGTCGTCTAAGGCGCAGCGATTCACTACGTCCCCTCTATGTTGGGGGCACGGATGGAACAGTCGTCTAAGGCGCCGCGGTTCACTATGTCCCTTCTATGTCAGGGGCACGGGTGAACAGTCGTCTAAGGCGCCGCGATTCACTATGTCCCTTCTATGTCAGGGGCACGGGTGAACAGTCGTCTAAGGCGCCGCGATTCACTATGTCCCCTCTATGTCAGGGGCACGGGTGAACAGTCGTCTAAGGCGCCGTGATTCACTATGTCCCTTCTTTGTCAGGGGCACGGGTGGAACAGTCGTCTAAGGCGCCGCGATTCACTACGTCCCCTCTATGTTGGGGGCACGGATGGAACAGTCGTCTAAGGCACCGCGATTCACTATGTCCCTTCTATGTCGGAAACACGGGTGGAACAGTCGTCTAAGGCGCCACGATTCAATATGTCCCTTCTATGTCAGGGGCACGGGTAGAAAAGTCGTCTTAGGCGCCGCGATTCACTATGTCCCTTCTATGTCGGAAACACAGGTGGAACAGTCGTCTAAGGCGCCGCGATTCACTATGTCCCTTCTATGTCAGGGGCACGGGTGAACAGTCGTCTAAGGCGCCGCGATTCACTATGTCCCCTCTATGTCAGGGGCACGGGTGAACAGTCGTCTAAGGCGCTGTGATTCACTATGTCCCTTCTTTGTCAGTGGCACGGGTGGAACAGTCGTCTAAGGCGCAGCGATTCACTACGTCCCCTCTATGTTGGGGGCACGGATGGAACAGTCGTCTAAGGCGCCGCGGTTCACTATGTCCCTTCTATGTCAGGGGCACGGGTGAACAGTCGTCTAAGGCGCCGCGATTCACTATGTCCCTTCTATGTCAGGGGCACGGGTGAACAGTCGTCTAAGGCGCCGCGATTCACTATGTCCCCTCTATGTCAGGGGCACGGGTGAACAGTCGTCTAAGGCGCCGTGATTCACTATGTCCCTTCTTTGTCAGGGGCACGGGTGGAACAGTCGTCTAAGGCGCCGCGATTCACTACGTCCCCTCTATGTTGGGGGCACGGATGGAACAGTCGTCTAAGGCGCCGCGATTCACTATGTCCCTTCTATGTCAGGGGCACGGGTGAACAGTGGTCTAAGGCGCGTGATTCACTATGTCCCTTCTATGTCAGGGGCACGGGTGAACAGTCGTCTAAGGCGCGTGATTCACTATGTCCCTTCTATGTCAGGGGCACGGGTGAACAGTCGTCTAAGGCGCCGGGATTCACTTAGTCCCTTCTATGTTGGGGGCACGGATGGAACAGTCGTCTAAGGTGCTGTGATTCACTATGTCCCTTCTTTGTCAGGGGCACGGGTGGAACAGTCGTCTAAGGCGCCGCGATTCACTACGTCCCCTCTATGTTAGGGGCACGGATGGAACAGTCGTCTAAGGCACTGTGATTCACTATGTCCCTTCTTTGTCAGTGGTACGGGTGGAACAGTCGTCTAAGGCGCCGCGATTCACAACGTCCCTTCTTAGCAGGGGCACGGATGGAACAGTCGTCTAAGGCGCCGCGATTCACTACGTCCCCTCTATATCGGGGGCACAGATGGAACAGTCGTCTAAGGTGCCGCGATTCACTACCTCCCTTCTATATCAGGGGCATGAGTGGAACAGTCGTCAAAGGTGCCGCGATTCACTATGTCCTTCCTATTGACCAATCAGATTCCATCTTTCATATCACCTGCATTTGCTTCAAACAAAATAGTGGCGCCCAGGCAAGACGATCTGATCGTAATCAAGATCTATATTGTAACAAACGGGTCCGACTTCGTGAAATGCATCAAACCACTTCAGCACCTTAATCAAGAACATGAAAAGATTTGGAAAATACAGACACCCAGGTGCCGGTACACACACTTTGCAAATCCTGCAGCTTACTGAAATCAGCACTTGTTTTTCGTTATGTGATTTTGATTGGAATATAAAATAATACACATGTGAGTGCAGTCAAAACATAAAAATTAAAATTTCAGTCTTGTTGGGAGGTGTGGAGACTGGACTTCAAAGTGGGTTAACTCCCTTGCTCGGGAAGATGAAGCTGTCAAACCAGAGTGCAGCACGCAGTGAGATCCAGACAACACAATGCAAAATACCAATAAGGTAACCTGGTTATGTCAAGTTGAATAGCACAATAATTCTTCAAAAACCTGATTGAAAAAGAACTATATGATAAAAAACTAACAGATTGGTTTTCACAAAGATTTAAGGAAATGAAAACAATGTGAAAATATTTAGAGATTTTGTAAGTTTCGTTGATACAATGTTGTCGGGAAACATGTTTCATTCAGTGATCCTGTGGACATGTGCAAATACACGAAAGCTGATTCATGACAATTCCAAGCAGCAGTTCCAAGTAAACAAGATAGTTGTGTTTGGGTTATCTCCCCTCCTGTCTACACAGTCATGCAACATTCGTGACCAACTCATGTTATTCCGTGACAAGCCGAAAAGCCATTTTTGCGACCGGGTTCCGTCTTAGCTGAAACAGGCATACCTAAAACTATTGTCAGTTCGTTGCGTAATGGTTCCCATATATTTCCCCATATATTATATGTATTTCAGATGCAATTTAAAGCACATCGGGACGTACGGAATTATACAGTATGATTGAACACATTTAACTGTGTCTTGGGTATATTTTTAGATGCAAGACATATGTAAAATCAAATATTATTTCTGAGTGATTCTTTGACGAAGTACTTGAAATCATACACGCATTCTGATTGGTTTGTCGTATTTTCGCACATAACATTCATAGATAGGGGACGAGTCTTCTTGCAGGTTACGGAAAGGGGCGAGTGGTGACGAATGAGTCATACAAGGGAGGTAATGCAAAAGGGGTGATCTCCCCTGTCTACAATTGTGGAAATACTGAAGACGGGGTGACCTCCCCTGTCCATAGTTTTTCAAACACTATGGATGGAGTTATCTACCCAGTCAACAGATTCGAAAATACTGCAAAGGTGGTTATCTCCCCTGTTCAAAGAATGAACAGAGTTATCTCCCTGTCGAGGATGCTGCTGTTTGAAAATGACATGTAACAAGCATTAATCAGCCTGGAACTATCTACCTTGATGACAGGGACTACCGGCTCCTGGTAAGCGTGGGATAAAACATATATGACATGAGTTGGTATTGGCATATGAACATGACATTTACAATCTAATACAGTACATAGTATAGCATGTTATGCAACATAATTAGACCTTGGCGTAGATACATCAACAATTAAACAAGCTTCATTAAATCATCAGTCATGGCATGCTAACAGAACGAGAAGATGCAGATTGAAATCTACTATTCCCCCGACAACTAGACAAACAAGCAGAAATAAAATGAGCTAAAGTCTTCCAAGCATGCAACAAATGAAAATGTATAAATAGTAAATATATCTAAGAACAATAATAAGTTTGAGGATGACTAGAATTAAGTTAAGAAACATTTGAAGAAACAACTTGTCATCATTCATGTTGGTGAGTTTTGACAGTCGTCATGCATATGTTATCTGAAAAAAGCACCAAGCTGTTCATGGTTTGTGCAGATGAGGCCTGACCAATGAAACAATGTAACACAAAGTGCTGCTTGTAGTGTGAAAGCTGATTGGCTTATTTCAAAGTGAGAAATGAAAACAATATTTACCTCGGCTACATCCCAGGATGATACCTATTGTTTGTTTTTAGCAAACATATATGTCTATTTCCATTCAAACAAAACAATTTGATGTCTGTTGATAATTTCTAAAGTTGTGTTTACTCAGTGTTGAGGAAAATAAATTAATGTTTTATGTTCAGTGATCTGGAAGCTTTTAAAAACTGTAAAAAATACACCAATGAAAAACAAATCTTGTGTCTTGTTTTCAGGATGAAATTCAGTTTGATTTCTCAGTCTATGTTCGTCAAAGACAAAATTGTTGTACATAAGATGTGCACACAAATCTGCAGCCTGCCAAACACTGAGTGGTTGTGTGTGACAAGTTCACAAGTCAAGGATGTGACACAACAGGGTCAGGCAAACCAGTGGTTGATGGTATGAACACCTCCGCTACACAACAGGTGGGGTGTAGCTGGCAAAAATAAGAGCCACATTAAACATCCGTGTAACATTGTGTTGTTAAGTTACCTTGAACTTGCACCAAGTCTGTTCTACCAGTGTAGGAGATAGCAGCCCACATCATCACACTACCACCTCCAAATCTGTCCACTTCCTGTATGCAGTTTCGGGCATAACGTTCCCCGCGATGTCTGTGACCCTGACACCATTGACGCCACAGGAAGGTCCATCAAAATGATGCCTCAAACTGGTTGTCTAGCGCGAAAACCTTCAGCGCGTAAACAGTTCCTCACTGTCTAGGCTGATATCCTACTCAATCCGGGTATGTACGTAGTTGTAAAGATAGCCGTGGAGGTTCTTTCACTTACCGTAAGTGACGTATGCGTATGAACCTGTCCTGTGCTCTAGTAGTGACACATGGTCGGCCGTGGAGGTTCTTTCACGTAAGAGACATATCCGTATGATCCTGTCCTGTGCTGTAGTAGTGACACATGGTCGGCCGTGGAGGTTCTTTCACGTAAGAGATGTATCCGTATGATCCTGTCCTGTGCTCTAGTAGTGATACACGGTCGGCCGTGGAGGTTCTTTCACGTAAGTGACGTATCCGTATGATCCTGTCCTGTGCTCTAGTAGTGACACATGGTCGGCCGTGGAGGTTCTTTCACGTAAGAGACGTATCCGTATGATCCTGTCCTGTGCTGTAGTAGTGACACATGGTCGGCCGGATCTGGGAAGGTCAGATGTTGTACCCCTGATGATGATGCTTGTTATCGTGCTTAGTGCTTCATAGAAAAACCTGGCTACGTACGGTTGAAGATGATTCGTCTGTATACAGTTGGGCGATGGCATTTTTTCACTGTTTACTTGCTGTAAGATTGTGATGGCATGTAAATGAAAATATTTTTATAGTCCAACAAGTGATGTTGCACGTGCCTGTCATGTTGGAGTGTTTCGGTGCCAGGCTGTTGTTGGTTTTTGGCGATTTTTCCATCTTTACACCAAATTTCTGCAGTACCTCATCCTTTCCACACAAATCAATCCCAATCCAAGCAGAAATGACCACTTCATTTCTGGTATTTATTTTGTATGGATGTCGACAACACTGTCAGATAATTACAATTTTACTACTATTGCGGGTTTTTTTTGGACAGTATATGTAGGAAAGTATGAAGGAATGTATGTAGGAATGTATGAAGGAATGTATGTAGGAATGTATTTCAATATGACATTCAGAGACTTCCAGAGGAATATGTTCGGCTTCCCTCACAGGAGAATACTACAGGTAGCCTTATATCTGTTACAATTCATCTTAACCCAGGCAACCTCTGATGATCTTCAAGAATCTTCACTTCATTGACATGTCTGTTAGAGTTGTCAGCTGATAACACAGTTAGGGAAGTTTGTTTGTTTGTTTGTTTGTTTGTTGTTTAACGCCGCACTCAGCAATATTCCAGCTATATGACGACGGTCTGTAAATAATCGAATCTGGACCAGATAATCAAGTGATTGATAGCATGAGCATCGATCCACGCAATTGGGATCGATGACATGTATCAACCGAGCCTGACCGAGCCTGACCACCCGATCCCGTAAGTCGCCTTTTACGGCAAGTATGGGTTGCTGAAGACCTATTCTACCCCAGAATCTTCACAGGTCGGAAGGGAAGTAACTCATAATATTTTGGGGACATACTGACATTTCCAGGATGATGTTTCTCACATGTCAGGTATATGAAACTGTAACCCCGAGTGAGGAAGAGTACTGCGTAACAGAAGGCTGATCCTGGTGTCTCCTGGGTGTGAAGGGGAACATATTCCCCTGGTTGTCGAGGATGGAGCGAAGAGGCTAAATCTGAGTCAAGACACAAACATTCTGTGAAAACACATGTTAGTAGTTACAAAACATGAGAGGATTTAATAAAAATAACATTTATTGCACAAACATGCTTTTGTTAGTCACAAATATATCACATACATGTAGCATTGTCATACAGTATATCACATATATGTAGCATTGTCATACACTATATTACATACATGTAGCATTGTCATACACTCTATTACATACATGTAGCATTGTCATACACTATATAAGATACATGTAGCATTGTCATACACTATATAACATACATGTAGCATTGTCATACTGTATATCACATACATGTAGCATTGTCATACTGTATATCACATACATGTAGCATTGTCATACTGTATATCACATACATGTAGCATTGTCATACACTATATCACATATATGTAGATATGTGAGGATCTCATTGGAAATCTGGAAAAACTGGGGACAGAATAATGAGATCATTGACAAGATCCTTGAGTGATCAGGACAGGGTTTTGTCATGCTATTGTCATGGTATTGTCATGCTATCATCATGGTATTGTCATACTATCGTCATGGTATTGTCATGCTATCGTCATGGTATTGTCATACTATCGTCATGGTATTGTCATGCTATCGTCATGGTATTGTCATACTATCGTCATGGTATTGTCATGCTATCGTCATGGTATTGTCATACTGTCGTCATGGTATTGTCATGACATTGGCATGCTATCGTCATGGTATTGTCAGGGTATGATATCGGTATAAGGGTGATTCAAGGGTTAGGAGATGACACTGTCGTTGACATTCTCGTCAGGGTATTGTGAGTGTATTGTGAGTGTATTGTGAGTGTATTGTGCATGTATTGTGCGTGTATTGTGAGTGTATTGTGCATGTATTGTGCGTGTATTGTGCATGTATTGTGAGTGTATTGTGCATGTATTGTGAGTGTATTTTGAGTGTATTGTGCATGTATTGTGAGTTTATTGTGAGTGTATTGTGCATGAATTGTGAGTGTATTGTGCATGTATTGTGAGTGTATTGTGCATGTATTGTGAGTGTATTGTGCATGTATTGTGCGTGTATTGTGCATGTATTGTGCATGTATTGTGCATGTATTGTCAGAATATTGTGAGTGTATTGACTCTGTGTGTGTAGGACGGTGTGATGTGATGTAGGACGGTGTGATGTGATTTAGGATGGTGTAGGACGGTGTGATGTGATGTAGGACGGTGTGATGTGATGTAGGATGGTGTAGGACGGTGTGATGTGATGTAGGATGGTGTAGGACGGTGTGATGTGATGTAGGACGGTGTGATGTAGGATGTTGTAGGACGGTGTGATGTGATTTAGGACGGTGTAGGACGGTGTGATGTGATGTAGGATGGTGTAGGACGGTGTGATGTGATGTAGGATGGTGTAGGACGGTGTGATGTGATGTAGGACGGTGTGATGTAGGTCGGAGTGATGTGATGTAGGACGATGTGATGTAGGACGAGTGATGTGATGTAGGATGGTGTGATGTGATGTAGGACGGTGTGATGTAGGATGGTGTAGGACGGTGTGATGTGATGTAGGATGGTGTAGGACGGTGTGACGTGATGTAGGATGGTGTGAGTTGAGTTTAACGCCGCTTTTAACAGAATTCCAGTTATATCGCTGAGTGTCAGCTTAATGTGGGAGGAAAGCCCGAAGTGATGCAGGTCTTAGACGTTTACCACTTCGGTGAAACCCATGAGCATGGGTATGGTGCTGACAAACCTAGAAACATAATCTGGGCAAACCGAGATTCGAACCCACAATCATAGGTTTCTGGTATGCCCAAGGGATGCAACTCTGCACAGCGAATCGTAACGCCTTAGACGACTGGGCCACTCGTGTCCCCGTAGGATAGTGTGATTTGTTGGAAGACGGTGTGATGTGATGTGATGTGATGTACAACAATGTGGGAAGGTGTGATGTGATGTGATGTGATGTAGGACGGTGTGATGTGTTGGAGGATGGTGTGATGTGGGACGGTGAGACTTGTGTGAGAATCACACGGCAGGGTGAGGACATCTAGCACACAAAACACGTGTTTGTTCATAACGAGTGAGATGGCTCAGTAAAGAAATACCCTTTTAAAGCGCTGATGACAAATACGTAACAGACCATAACACAGTTTATAACATGAACATGGTATAACATTGGTTATAACATGAACATGATGTAACATGGGTTAGAACATGAACAGGGTACAACATGGATTATAACATGAACAGGGTATAACATGGGTTTAACATGAACCGGGAATAACATGAACCGGGAATAACCTGAACAGGGCATAACATGGGTTGTAACATGAACAGGGTATAACATAAACAGGGTATAACATGAACAAGGAATAACATGGGTTTAACATGAACAGGGTATAACATGAACAAGGTATAACATGAACAGGGTATAACATATGTCGTACAATGAAGAGGGTATAACATGAACAGGGTATAACACTGTTAATAACATTGGATATGACATGGCCTGGGTATAACATGGGGTATAACAAAAGCATATCATGTTTCCTGTGCTGTAAAACACGTATGGACTACATAGTGGGTTGTGGTATTAATAGGCCATAGCGTCACTTTTGTGGTCATGTTGTGGTCAAGTAGGGTTAAATTGTCTGTGAGTAAGTAGAAAGGGTAAGATGCAGGTCAAAGGGTAAGATGAAGGTCAAAGGGTAAGATGAAGGTCAAAGAGTTAGATGCAGGTCAAAGGGTAAGATGCAGGTCAAAGGGTAAGATGAAGGTCAAACAGTTAGATGAAGGTCAAACAGTTAGATGCAGGTCAAACAGTTAGATGAAGGTCAAACAGTTAGATGAAGGTCAAACAGTTAGATGCAGGTCAAATGGTAAGATGAAGGTCAAAGGGTAAGATGAAGGTCAAACAGTTAGATGCAGGACAAAGGGTAAGATGCAGGTCAAAGGGTAAGATGAAGGTCAAGATGAAGGTCAAAGGGTAAGATGAAGGATGGAGGGGAAGATAAGAGTTGAAGGGCAAGAACAGAAGAAAAGATTGTAGGAATTTGGGAAGAGAAGTGGAGTCTCTATGTGGATGGTTTATTCAGCGGCTGACAGTCTACTCAGATAAGTATGAATATTTCCAGGACTTCATCACAGATATATGTAAATATAACATAAGTAACGCTACAGATGCACAACTAATAGGACATTCAACATCGCTAGACATTCCAAGTTGATGTATAACAGAGAAAGACTACAACCCGCTCACAACAGTAAAATCAGAACAATCTATACAGCAAGAATCAGTCAACTTCTTGACACGGCTGACTGTCCATCTCCACACGTTAGCATGCATCCACACTAAACATGCAGTAGGCCTTTCACTTCTTTTAGTCCTTTCACAAAACATTTTGCCCCAAAATTCGAACATTTTCAGAGAAAGTTGAGGAGAATATCAACCAGTGTGTTGATTGGTATTTTTACTGCATGAAAATTTCTGGCGACATCAGTTTATAAGCGTCTCCCAGACGACTATAAGTAATCCACACATTCCTGGGACGACACCTGATAGTGAAACAGACTGGACTCCTCCAAATTTATCGAAAGTCATTTTTTGTCTGTCTGTTTTGTAAACTAACTACTACAAATGAACGGCCAAGTTTGCATCCAATCATAAGTCGGAGACTGTAAACAGTCTCGTTCAGCTGAACACGCAAGAAACTGAATATAACTCTCTGCAGTACCCAAAACAAAGGTTATGACACACGACTAAACAAACTAACAGACCAGCGCACAGAGCTGATTATATACAAACAATGTCCCCTCCATGCAGTCTTAGGCTGTGATGATGCAGAGGGATTTCATTGAGTGAGTCTGGACTTCCTCATCCAGAACATTGTGTTCAGGAATCTCAAAATCAAAATTAATTACTTTCAAATTTTGACAAACGTGACTTCACAATTACTGAGCACCAATGGGTTTATTGTCACACACTGAAAGAACAGTCTAGCTCTGGACAAGAGTAACCTACAGACATGTGACGGCACGAGGACCGAGCACCAAATGAGGTATTGTTGTAGCCACTTCAAGCTACGCATGGAGGGAATTCAAAACTACCCAAAAACATTATTTGATCCCAAAACACTGCAAAATGATGTTTTTAACAGAATGAAAAGGAAAAAAATAATTCAAATATTCCAAATATGTAATTTTGATCCTTGAAAAGAAATATAACAATGAGAGACAACTTCCACAAATAGTCAATTTTAAATTCCTATTTTCAAACTGATATGATTGCAACATGTTTAATGATGGTTGCTGTTACTTCTAGGAACCAGACTCAGAATTAACAGTATAAAACTAAGATTTGCCGGTTTCGGAACGTGGTATCATGGAATGTGACCTCTGTATCGACCCACCTCACAGGGGGGGCTCTTCACAACAGAACAGTTAAAATAATAATTAATTATTAATGATTAACAGATAAATATAATATAAATAATATACATCATTTGAAGAAAGAATTTTGACCCCCCCCAAAAAATAAAAAAAATTCTTTTCTTCTTTATTCATTTGACCCCAAAAATATAATATATATATATATGACAAATCCCCACACAAATTAATTAATATCCCACATAATCGTGCACGTGTCACTGATAGTCGTAAGGAGACAGGAAGTGGGGGGAAGACCTTACCCGCTTGACGCCGGTTATTATAAGCGTGCTAGTTTTGGTTGGAGTGCGAGGCCTCCGCGACTGATCCTTCAATTCCCTGATGGCTGCCTCTGTCACGGACTCCACTCCATTAATTACAATCAACTCTGTAAAATACCAACCCAGACAGTCAAACAACAACCACATTCCAACTTCATGCAGCAGCAAGCCAACTAGGACCAGGCACCCTGGAACACAATTCAAAATGGCTGCCGTGGGGCACGGCGTCTGCTACTTACGGGTAGGCCGCCTCGATCATCACCTGGGAAGGGAAGCTGGTAATTAGTTCAAAGTATCCCTGATGGACTGAATCTGAATGAGTGAGTGAGTGAGTGAGTATGGTTTTACGCCGCTTTTAGCAATATTCCAGCAATATCACGGCGGGGGACACCAGAAATGGGCTTCACACATTGTACCCATGTCGGGAATCGAACCCGGGTCTTCGGCGTGACGAGCGAACGCTTTAACCACTAGGCTACCCGACCGCCCCGATTCTGAATGAAGCAGAGGTAAGATTGGTTCTTGAGGTGTTTCATTCTTACGTAAGATGAGCAGAGATGTGGCACATCACCCAGGTTGTCGATGTGCTGAGTGAGTGAGTATGGTTTTACGCCGCCTTCCAGCACAACGCCGGGGGACACCAGAAATTGCTTCACACATTTCAACCATGTGGGGAATCAAACCCAGGGTTTCAGTGTGACGAGCGAGCAGTTTAACCACTAGGCTACCCCACTGCCCTCGATGTTCCTAGCCAAAGCTTTAACCACGAGGCTACAAACTAGAGATACCGTATTCGCCCCATATAAGCATCCCCCGACAAACTTCTATATCTCGACACCTCTCACCCCATTACAAAGCGAACTAAAAAGTTAAAACTGATATTTTCTGTTAAATAAATGTAATTTTGACAACCAGGGCCAAAAAAGATAAATACTGAAATATTCCCCACTGTCTGTGTGGTAACACGTGCGGAATGATTCAACTCGTCGGGAATAACAAACAATTGTTTCCTACAGTGGACATCGTCTTCTGTTGAATGTTACACTCTGTAGCAGGTCATGCATGGTAGGTCAGCCTTGACACAACAAACCCAGCAACTAGGACAATGTTACCACATGCAAAAGTCATGGAGAACACTACACCTCCTCTGGATATCCTGGTATAGCAATAGTGGTGTCTGTGTCGACGTGCAGGTGTGGAAATAGGGGTGTGTAGTGGTGTTTAAGTAAACTGGTGTTTAGGTATACTGGTGTTAAGGTTTACTGGTGTTAAAGTGTACTGGTGTTAAAGTATACTGGTGTTTAAGTATACTGGTGTTTAAGTATACTGGTGTTTAAGTATGCTGGTGTTTAAGTTTACTGGTGTTTAAATAATCTGGTGTTTAAGTGCTGGAGTTTAAGTATACTGGTGTTTAAGTATACTGGTGTATAAGTTTACTTGTGTTTAAGTATACTGGTGTTTAAGTATACTGGTGTTTAAGTATACTAGTGTTTAAGTACACTGTTGTTAAAGTATACTGGTGTTTAAGTATACTAGTGTTTAAGTACACTGTTGTTAAAGTATACTGGTGTTTAAGTATACTAGTGTTTAAGTACACTGTTGTTAAAGTATACTGGTGTATAAGTTTACTGGTGTTTAAGTATATTGGTGTTTAAGTATACTGGTGTATAAGTTTACTTGTGTTTAAGTATACTGGTGTTTAAGTATACTGGTGTTTAAGTATACTAGTGTTTAAGTACACTGTTGTTAAAGTATACTGGTGTTTAAGTATACTGGTGTTTAAGTATACTGGTGTTTAAGTATACTGGTGTTTAAGTATGCTGGTGTTGAAGTACACTGTTGTTTAAGTATACTGGTGTTTAAGTACACTGGTGTTTAAGTTTACTGGTGTTAAGTATGCTGGTGTTTAAGTATGCTGGTGTTAAAGTATGCTGGTGTTTAAGTATGCTGGTGTTTAAGTATACTGGTGTGTAAATGCAGGTGTTACCTTGTTTGGTGTAAATCAGACTTGTTTGAGAAGTACACATCTGTGGTGTTTTGGTAACATATTGGACAACACCTTGTACAGTAAACTACGCTTATAACGAACACGCTCATAACGAACACGCTTATAATGAACACGCTCATAACGAACACGCTCATAACGAACACGCTCATAACGAACACGCTAATAACAAACACGCTTATAATGAACACGCTTATAACAAACTACAGTTATTACAAACTAAATTTAGTGGTCCCTTTAAGTTCGTTATAACCATAGTTTACTGTATATAATCTGAGGGTTTGTTGTCGTCAAAGCTAACTACAGAAATTAGAGAGATTCCCATGCAATGAGGAAGCTGAAAATAAAGGAAATTGGTATTTTTGAAGAAAATATACATCACTTTAGAACTGTCATAAAATATGAGTGAGTGAGTGAGTCAGTCGGGTTTAACGCCGCTTTTAACAGTATTCCAGTTATATCGCGGCGTGTCAGCTTAATGTGGGAGGAAAGCCCGAAGTGATGCAGGTTTCAGAAGTTTACCACTTCGGTGAAACCCACAAGCACGGGTATGGTGCTGACAAACCAAGAAACATAATCGGGCCGAACCGGGATTCGAACCCACAATCACAGGTTTCTGGCGTGCCCAAGGGACGCAACTCTGCACAGCGAATCGCGGGGCCTTAGACGACTGGGCCACCGGTTCCCCCTCATAAAATATGATATTTACAGTCCACTCAATTATGAGACTAATGAATTGAAAATCCTTCAAACATGGCAGCAAAAGGGTCACCAGCTCCATATTTGATGGACTTCCAAGTCCTTCCAATATTGTGGCTGTGTCTCATGCAGGGGGATCAGATATCACAGTTAGAACACAGGTCAAGACCTTCTGGTCTTCAGGTAAATCTTTAACATGAAATATGATGCCAAAGTCTGCAGGTACCCACATCCTGCTTACTATCAGAAACCAGAGTTGTCTCCCCTACCACTTGCCGAGCCGAGCGCGTGACACCTTCGTCACACTCTCGGTAGCATCGCTGCCACCAGTCTGGGCTCGGCCATTCCAAGATTCTTGAAATTTGCCCTCTTACCCCAAATGTTGCGACAAATATGTTTATGTTTGTGTGCTTGGAAATGCCATCATTTCGCATTTTGAAAAGCTGTAGAAATGAATGACTATTTTCCAGATAAATTTACGTTTCTTCAATCAGATTGGTTTGAATTAGCAACTAATGGAAAAGCGCCTAATTCCCCTTTACATTCTTACTATACCAATTACATGTTAATAGCAATGAAACAGAAATTCAAATTAATTACTGTAAATCGTGAAATTAATGCGTCTCCAAAAGAATGCGACCGCTGGTCCCTAGCCAAAAATGCGACTCATTATGAATGTGACACCCCCTCCTTTTACAGGCGGTTTACAGGAGAATCCTCACATTAATCCAATCACACACCAAATAGCACCGCTTATTAGCGCTGAGTAGGGTACTTCCGCTAAAACAATACATGCGCGCTGGCTCGTGTCGGCCTTTGACGCAGTCACAAAGAACAAAGACACCGTGTTGGGTGGCGTCTGTCTGGACTTGCAGGTGTGATCAGTGATGACATAAGTGAATAGAACTCTTATCTTGACCCAAGCAGTGACAATTCACCAGATGTAGTTAGTGTTGGAATGACATTGTTTATATACTTGTTACAAGTGCTGCTTAATAAACAGTGATGTGGAATACATAGTTGTTTGTTTTCAGCGTATTTCCAAGTTGGTATTTCTGCTATCCACAAGATTGTTAATATAAATGCGATAATTAATAATGCGAACAAAGACCACTCGCATTTTTCGCATTTAATTCACGCTCGCGTTAATTTCAAGATTTACAGTAATTTGGAGTCACGACAGTCATCGCTTGTTTGCAAACATAACGGCAAGTCGGTTGTGACTTCTGCTTGATGCATGTTTATGGCTACCAATCATAGCAGGGGTAGATTTAACAGAAAATTTGTTTATAGCCAGCAGGGCTTGCTCCTCTTAAAAGTTACTGGCCGCACTCCAAACTAACTGGCCTACAACTAAATGGTGGAGACTGCGAAGTGGCCGAACCTGAGAACGCGTAGCCACCAAGATGGCTCTTAAAAACTCAAGTCTAAAACGTTTTTTTAGAACTCTGGGATTAGATTTTGGCTTCCATTTGCCTCGTTGCGTGATGATTTATGAGCAAATGAAGTTGTTGTAGACAACAATACCACATGGCAGTGGGTTGTCATTCTACAGAGATGATCCAGTTAAAATCATTTAAACATACACGGAGAAGGGGTGAAATTTTGACAAGCCAGATGGGCCATCTACTTTATGCTCCAGCAAGACCTTTGTAATTTTAACTGGTCACGGGCCAACGGACCAACTGTCAAATCGACCCCTGATCACAGTGGAGAGCTTTGACCAGTGGCAGCGATAGTATAGAGAGCTCCGTGACGGACTGTTGGTCGGCAGATCCAGGAGACTTTTCTTGGTACAGTGGAGATGTAGTCATCACCATACATTCAGTCAAGTCAGGGTTGGAGACAGAAAAGTAATATTTGAGAAATGCATAATTGCGTTCTCACATCTGAGGCCTATTCTGAATCAGTCTCAACTTGAGTTTGTTTTGAGGAGTGGGAGCCGCGAGTTACCTGATGACGCAGATGCTGACAATGACTGGTCCCCGGGGAAGTACGGGGAGTCGGCGCTGAGGGTGGACGACGAGTCGAGGTCCGGGTTAGAGTGATGATGCTTCTCCACCAGGCTGGGGGTGTGTCCTGGGGAGACGGAGACGTGCAGTTAGGGGGGGCACCACACCCACACACGTCACACAGGTATATAAGCACACAGGTCACACAGGTATATAAGCACACCGGTCACACAGGTCACACAGGTATATAAGCACACCGGTCACACAGGTATATAAGCACACACGTCACACAGGTATATAAGCACACCGGTCACACAGGTATATAAGCACACAGGTCACACAGGTATATAAGCACACCGGTCACACAGGTATATAAGCACACCGGTCACACAGGTCACACAGGTATATAAGCACACAGGTCACACAGGTATATAAGCACACAGGTCACACAGGTATATAAGCACACCGGTCACACAGGTATATAAGCACACAGGTCACACAGGTATATAAGCACACCGGTCACACAGGTATATAAGCACACACGTCACACAGGTATATAAGCACACAGGTCACACAGGTATGTAAGCACACAGGTCACACAGGTATATAAGCACACAGGTCACACAGGTATATAAGCACACCGTTCACACAGGTATATAAGCACACAGGTCACACAGGTATATAAGCACACCGGTCACACAGGTATATAAGCACACAGGTCACACAGGTATATAAGCACACAGGTCACACAGGTATATAAGCACACAGGTCACACAGGTATATAAGCACACCGGTCACACAGGTATATAAGCACACAGGTCACACAGGTATATAAGCACACCGGTCACACAGGTATATAAGCACACAGGTCACACAGGCATATAAGCACACAGGAATTTGGTCACACAGGAACATGTCTTACATTTAATCAGCTGGAGGATATCAGAGACAGGGACCTACACTCAGGCCAGAATAGAGACAAGCTGGTGTACCCAGGGTTCAGCTAATCATTTTGGGGGGGCCAGGATCAGAAATAGATGCCATACACACAAGCACGCACACACGCAACCACGCACGCACATACAAGCAAACACATACACACACACACACACACATGAACACACACAAGCACACACACACACATACAAGCAAACACACACACACACACACACATGAACACACACAACCACACACACACACACATACACACACACAAGCATGCACACACAGGCACACACACATACACACAAGCGAACACATATACACACAGATAGACACAGGCACACACACATACACACAAGCACGCACACAAGCACGAACACATACACACAAGCGAACACATATACACACAGATACACACACACAAAGCATGCACATATATACACACACACACACACACGCACCTCCACATGCACACAAAAGCAGGTAGTGAGTCAGGAACGTCCACCACACAACAGTCAGTGTTATTAGACAATTAAATATGAAATGCAATGAGCGATATGTGAAATCTGGCTTACTTAGAAGTAGGGAGGATAAGGATTTCTATATTTCTTCTCAGTATACCTCAAGCCTATGTTGACCCAAATGAACTCAATCCCAAATTTTGAAATCTGAGAAGAGTTATCCCCCTTGCAATGATAAAAAGGGCCACTCTTCACCAATCGCCCCTTCCCGTAACCTGCAACTTATCCCGGAATAACACAAGTTGGTCACAAATGATGAAGGGTTTTTCCTACAGATGGGCTGGATAGAGCAATCGAGTTCAGTACGGGATTAATATGACAGTCTTCCACAATAAATAATTAGTATCAAAAGACACACTCCGACACAAATATATATGTTACACATTGCAAACATTCCAACACTGGTCTCTACGTAATAATTCAACACACATGCTGACTTGGGGGTTCTGTAGTTTCACCTCGACACCCTGGCATGTTGACCGCTCCACACCTCACCCTAGGAACCGTACCAGCTGATCAACTCAACCAATCAACAATCTACACCCCAAGGTAAGAAACTGACCGAAAAGGGAGGTAACTCCTCTCTACAACCATCAATAGTTTCTTTGTTTCTTGTGAAGAACGCAGGAGGTATTTCAGCTGTATTTTCTGCCATTAAAAATTAAAAGCTGTTGGCCGATGTTTAACCATGAAATGGCTTCTTGTATGGAGTATATGCAAGACAAGTTGTCATACAATTGTTGAAAAGATTCAATTTTGATGTCAAGAAGTATCTATTACTAACAAGAGGAGTGTTCTGATTGGCTGTTGTGTTTATTACAAGATGCGTGTGATTGGTTAGATCATTTGTGTATTGATGCCAGGGATGTCAGTGTGAAGACAGTACAGACCAGGGACCCGTTCCACAAAGCGATCTACGACTATCGTAAGTCAGTGTTAAAGAATAGGAGTTACGACTGACTTAGCGCTAAGATCGCTTTGTGTAACGGGGCCCAGAACCTCGTGGTACAGGGACCTGTTCCACAAAGCAATCTTAGCGCTACAACTATCATAAGTCAGTGTTGAAGAATAGGAGTTACGACCGACTTAGCGCTAAGATCGCTTTGTGGAACGGGGCCTAGAACCTCGTGGTACAGGGACCTGTTCCACAAAGCAATCTGAGCGCTACGACTATCATAAGTCAGTGTTGAAGAATAGGAGTTACGACCGACTTAGCGCTAAGATCGCTTTGTGTAACGGGGCCCAGAACCCCGTGGTACATATCACACAAGTTATGGAAACAAATCGAAGAAAATGTCCAACTATGTTTATGGAAATCATTCACATGGAACTTAATTTTGAAAAGGATGTATGATAAGAGTATAGACGGAGAAACATCCGCTGATTGAATCACTCCCGCCATGTTACCATCTGGCCCTGGTTGGGGCGGGCCGAACTGAGGTCGATGTGTGGTCGTGGTTGTGGTAGTGATGACAGTACCACCTGGGGTGATGGTGCGCTCCGTCTCGATGCGGCGTTTGGGGGACACCTGGCTATTGGGAGCGGACGACATCCCCATCATCATCTCTGCCTCCGCCGAATCCATGAACAGAAACTGGAAACAGATGGAGAAACATCAGTACTTGACGTCTCTGTACAGACCAGGGACCCGTTCCACGAAGCGATCTTAGCGCTACGACTATCGTAAGTCAGTGTTGAAGAATAGGAGTTACGACCGACTTAGCGCTAAGATCGCTTTGTGGAACGCAGCCCAGATCCTCGGGGTACATATCACACAAGTTATGGAAACATCAGTACTTGACGTCTCTGTACAGACCAGGGACCCGTTCCACGAATCGATCTTAGCGCTACGACTATCGTAAGTCAGTGTTGAAGAATAGGAGTTACGACCGACTTAGCGCTAAGATCGCTTTGTGAAACGGTGCCTAGAACCTCGTTGTACATGGACCTGTTCCACAAAGCGATCTTAGCGCTACGACTATCGTAAGTCAGTGTTAAAGAATAGGAGTTACGACCGACTTAGCGCTAAGATCGCTTTGTGGAACGGTGCCCAGAACCTCGTTGTACAGGGACCTGTTCCACAAAGCGATCTTAGCGCTACGACTATCGTAAGTCAGTGTTAAAGAATAGGAGTTACGACCGACTTAGCGCTAAGATCGCTTTGTGGAACGCGGCCCAGATCCTCGGGGTACATATCACACAAGTTATGGAAACATCAGTACTTGACGTCTCTGTACATCACATCTTCTGCAGGTAGAAAGGTCTTCGGCAACCCATGCTTGCCATAAAAGGCAACTATGCTTGTCGTAAAAGGCGACTAACGGGTTCGGGTGGTCAGGCTCACTGACTTGGTTCATACATGTCATTGTATCCCAATTATGTGGATCGATGCTCATGATGTCAATCACTGGACTGTCTGGTCCATACTTGATAATTTACAGACCGCCATGATATACCTGGAATATTGCTGAGTGCTGCATTAAACAACAATCAAACAAACAATCTTCGGCACACAAAACCTAAACAAGATGTTTGTTTGTTTTGTTTGTTTGTTCTTTAACGCCACATGCAGCAATATTCCAGGTACATGAACGCGGTCTGTAAATAATCAAGTGTGATCCAGACAATCCAGTGATAGATATCATGAGCATAGGTCTAAGCAATTGGGATATGATGACATGCATTAACCAAGAAAGCAAGCCTGACCAGCTGATCCCGGTAGTCGCCTCTTTACGACGAGCATGGGTGTTTGAGGACCAATTGTAACCCAGATCTTCATGATCAAGAGAACACTACACATGACACTGAAATATGACAGATGACATAGTTGTGTCAGAGTTCCGGCTATGAGCGAGTGCATGTTGTTTTATGCCAAACAATATAACCACCTGATTCTCATTAGTATTGACAACAGTGGAGAACTGGGATCTGTTCTGCCCTGGAATCTCAAGGATAAGACACAAACACGGTACTTGTAGCCTATTCTGCCCTGGAATGATGACTGGGTACTGAAGTGATGACGCGGTACTGAAGTGATGACACGGTACTGAAGTGATGACATGGTACTGAAGTGATGACGCGGTACTGAAGTGATGACACGGTACTGAAGTGATGACACGGTATTGAAGTGATTGCGAGATACTGAAGTGATGACTGGGTACTGAAGTGATGACGCGGTACTGAAGTGATGACACGGTATTGAAGTGATGACGCGGTATTGAAGTGATGACACGGTATTGAAGTGATTGCGAGATACTGAAGTGATGACTGGGTACTGAAGTGATGACATGGTATTGAAGTGATTGCGAGATACTGAAGTGATGACTGGGTACTGAAGTGATGATGCGGTACTGAAGTGATGACATGGTATTGAAGTGATGACACGGTATTGAAGTGATTGCGAGATACTGAAGTGATGACTGGGTACTGAAGTGATGACGCGGTACTGAAGTGATGATGCGGTACTGAAGTGATGATGCAGTATTGAAGTGATGACGTGGTATTGAAGTGATTGCGAGATACTGAAGTGATGACTGGGTACTGAAGTGATGACGCGGTACTAAAGTGATGATGCCGTACTGAAGTGATGACGCGGTACTGAAGTGATGATGTGGTAGTAAAGTGATGGTGCGGTACTGAAGTGATGACGGGGTACTGAAGTGATGACGCGGTACTGAAGTGATGACGGGGTACTGAAGTGATGACGCGGTACTGAAGAGATGCACGGTACTGAAGTGATGACGGGGTACTGAAGTGATGACGCGGTACTGAAGAGATGACACGGTACTGAAGAGACGACGCGGTACTGAAGTGATGACGCAGTACTGAAGTGATGACGCGGTACTGAAGTGATGATGCGGTACTGAAGTGATGGCATGGAACTGAAGTGATGGTGCGGCACTGAAGTGATGGCGCGACACTGAAGTGATGACGCGGTACTGAAGTGATGACGGGGTACTGAAGTGCTTGATGGTACTGAAGTGATGATGCGGTACTGATGTGATCGTATGGTACTGAAGTGATGATGCTGTACTGACCTCCACTGTGAGGGAGCCACTGATGGAGTCCAAGTTGCCGGGGCGACTCTGCAGGGCGAGGATCTGGCGACTGCTGGGGGTCAGGCGGAGGTCGCTCATGTACACAGTCGTCTCCCCCAGGAAGTCCTCTGCAGCAGAACACAGAACCATTACCCCCTGGCCTACCTCCACATACATAACACACAATGGAACCTGGCAGCAGAACACAGAACCATTACCCCCAGGCCTACCTCCACGTACATAACACACAATGACACGTGGCAGCAGAACACAGAACCATTACCCCCTGGCCTACCTCCACATATATATAAGTCACAATGACACGTGGCAGCAGAACACAGAACCATTACCCCCCGTGCCTACCTCCACATACATAACACACAATGGAACCTGGCAGCAGAACACAGAACCATTACCCCCAGGCCTACCTCCACGTACATAACACACAATGACACGTGGCAGCAGAACACAGAACCATTACCCCCTGGCCTACCTCCACATATATATAAGTCACAATGACACGTGGCAGCAGAACACAGAACCATTACCCCCTGGCCTACCTCCACATACATAACACACAATGACACATGGCAGCAGAACACAGAACCATTACCCCCTGGCCTACCTCCACATACATATAAGTCACAATGACACGTGGCAGCAGAACACAGAACCATTACCCCCTGGCCTACCTCCACATACATATAAGTCACAATGACACGTGGCAGCAGAACACAGAACCATTACCCCCTGGCCTACCTCCACGTACATAACACACAATGAAACGTGGCAGCAGAACACAGAACCATTACCCCCTGGCCTACCTCCACATACATATAAGTCACAATGACACATGGCAGCAGAACACAGAACCATTACCCCCTGCCTACCTCCACATACATATAAGTCACAATGACACATGGCAGCAGAACACAGAACCATTATCCCCTGGCCTACCTCCACGTACACATAAGTCACAATGACACGTGGCAGCAGAACACAGAACCATTACCCCCTGGCCTACCTCCACATACATAACACACAATGATACGTGGCAGCAGAACACAGAACCATTACCCCCTGGCCTACCTCCACATATATATAAGTCACAATGACACGTGGCAGCAGAACACAGAACCATTACCCCCTGGCCTACCTCCACATACATATAAGTCACAATGACACATGGCAGCAGAACACAGAACCATTTCCCCCTGGCCTACCTCCACATACATATAAGTCACAATGACACGTGGCAGCAGAACACAGAACCATTACCCCCTGGCCTACCTCCACATACATATAAGTCACAATGAAACGTGGCAGCAGAACACAGAACCATTACCCCCTGGCCTACCTCCACATACATATAAGTCACAATGACACATGGCAGCAGAACACAGAACCATTACCCCCTGGCCTACCTCCACGTACATATAAGTCACAATGAAACGTGGCAGCAGAACACAGAACCATTACCCCCTGGCCTACCTCCACATACATATAAGTCACAATGAAACGTGGCAGCAGAACACAGAACCATTACCCCCTGGCCTACCTCCACGTACATATAAGTCACAATGAAACGTGGCAGCAGAACACAGAACCATTACCCCCTGGCCTACCTCCACATACATATAAGTCACAATGACACATTGCAGCAGAACACAGAACCATTACCCCCTGGCCTACCTCCACATACATATAAGTCACAATGACACGTGGCAGCAGAACACAGAACCATTACCCCCTGGCCTACCTCCACGTACATATAAGTCACAATGACACTTGGCAGCAGAACACAGAACCATTACCCCCTGGCCTACCTCCACGTACATATAAGTCACAATGACACATGGCAGCAGAACACAGAACCATTACCCCCTGGCCTACCTCCACGTACATAACACACAATGACACTTGGCAGCAGAACACAGAACCATTACCCCCTGGCCTACCTCCACATACATATAAGTCACAATGACACGTGGCAGCAGAACACAGAACCATTACCCCCTGGCCTACCTCCACATACATATAAGTCACAATGACACGTGGCAGCAGAACACAGAACCATTACCCCCTGGCCTACCTCCACATACATATAAGTCACAATGACACATGGCAGCAGAACACAGAACCATTACCCCCTGGCCTACCTCCACATACATATAAGTCACACTGACACGTGGCAGCAGAACACAGAACCATTACCCCCTGGCCTACCTCCATGTACATAACACACAATGACACGTGGCAGCAGAACACAGAACCATTACCCCCTGGCCTACCACCACGTACATATAAGTCACAATGACACGTGGCAGCAGAACACAGAACCATTACCCCCTGGCCTACCTCCACGTACATATAAGTCACAATGAAACGTGGCCTGATCAGGTCATCGACAATAACACTGCTGACAAGCCCCTGTGAGAGTAAACATGGCCAACACTCAGTCATTGCCTCACCTCCAGGCTGCTTGGTCTTGTCAAACACCTCGAAGCGAAGCTCGTTGCTGTGCTGCGTGACGTCACTGGAACGAAGCAGAATAATAGTCAAAATATAGTGAACAACATTTATAACAAACACGCTTATAACGAACTGATGGATATAACAAACTTTCTTTTGGTCCCGGCCATTTGCTGTATATATGCTGTAAATATGCTTATAACGAACTACGGTTATAACGAACTATAATTATTGGTCCCTTTGAGTTATAACCGTAGTTTACTTTATGCACCCAAAAACATGTCAAGATGCTGGCCCAAGAAATATGTCAAAATAGGAATGAAGACAGGATGGACATGCTGCTTCTTCATCTTTGAAGAAAACTCTCATCCTCTTGTCCCAGAAGTGTTAGGGGCATTCATGACGACAGTGATCAGGAGTAACTATACACGATCTATAAACAAGAGAAGGCTCTTGTCACAGAAGCGTTAGGGGCGTTCATGACGACAGTGATCAGGAGTAACTATACACGATATATAAACAAGAGAAGGCTCTTGTCCCAGAAGCGTTAAAGGGCGTTCATGACGACAGTGATCAAGAGTAACTATACACGATATATAAACAAGAGATGGCTCTTGTCACAGAAGTGTTAGGGGCGTTCATGACGACAGTGATCAGGAGTAACTATACAAGATATATGAACACGAGAAGGCTCTTGTCACAGAAGCGTAAGGGGTGTTCATGACGACAGTGATCAGGAGTAACTATACACGATATATAAACAAGAGAAAGCTCTTGTCCCAGAAGCATTAGGGGCGTTCATGACGACAGTGATCAGGAGTAACTATACACGATATACAAGCAAGAGAAGGCTCTTGTTAAAGAAGAGCGTTAGGGGCATTCATGATGACAGTGATCAGGAGTAACTATACATGATATATAAACAAGAGAAGGCTCTTGTCCCAGAAGCGTTAAAGAGCATTCATGACGACAGTGATCAGGAATTACTATACACGATATACAAGCAAGAGCAAGGTGTTGTCTAAGAAGTGCTTACAAGCGGTTAGGGGCATTCCTCCGATTTCTGAGTGCTGTACTTACAAGAGAAAGCTCTCGTCCCAGAAGGGGTTGCTGGCGTTCCTGACGACGCTGGTGGAGTGGTTCTGGATTGGGTCGTCCATCAGCAGCAACACAACAGGGTTCACTGAACCTAGAAAATTTAAACCACCTAGAAAATGAAAACAACGCAATATGACTTAGACTAGCATCTGATGTCCCTGAACGGTGCTGTGTTGATGTTGACAGGTCAGTGCTAGTCTACGCAGTGTCTCAGAGCTAGTCTACGCAGTGTCTCAGTGCTAGTCTACGCAGTGTCTCAATGCTAGCCTACGCAGTGTCTCAGTGCTAGTCTACGCAGTGTCTCAGTGCTAGTCTAGGTAGTGTCTCGGTGCTAGTCTACACTCATTGCTACCAAGGGTGCTACCGAAGACATGAACTACCAAGGGTGTTGTTTAAATATCAACAGCTGTCAGAGGAGAACTATTAACCAATCACCAAGCAAAACACTTAGAGCAGGGTTACTAGCTCAGCAAAAGAACATGAACGTTATCTTGAAATCATCTTTCATCCTTCCTAACACTCCGACATTATCAAGTGCCCCATGAGCTTAGACAACAAGCAACAAAGTGGAACTTAGACAAGTAACAAAGTGGAACTTAGACAAGCAACAAAATGGAACTTAGACAAGCAACAAAGTGGAACTTAGACAAGTAACAAAGTGGAACTTAGACAAGCAACGAAATGAAACTTAGACAAGCAACGAAATGGAACTTAGACAAGCAACAAAGTGGAACTTAGACAAGCAACAAAGTGGAACTTAGACAAGTAACAAAGTGGAACTTAGACAAGCAGCAAAGTGGAACTTAGACAAGTAACAAAGTGGAACTTAGACAAGTAACAAAGTGGAACCTAGACAAGCAACAAAGTGGAACTTAGACAAGTAACAAAGTAGAACTTAGACAAATAACAAAATGGAACTTAGACAAGTAACAAAGTGGAACTTAGACAAGCAACGAAATGAAACTTAGACAAGCAACGAAATGGAACTTAGACAAGTATCAAAATGGGGCATAGGCACTGTAGCTCACTAGATTTCAATGAAGAAAGCCACTCAACTGAAGTTGCTGTCAGCGTTGATGTTCAAATATGGAAGGGCGGAATAATAACACTAAAATCGAATGATTTGAACAAAATATGATATCCTCACAGCGGGGGACACCAGAAATGGGCTTCAGACATAATACCCATGTGGGGAATAGAACCCGGATCTTTGGCATGACGAGTGAACACTTTAACCAATAGGCTGATCCACCGCCCATCACTGACAGGAGCAAGGGTGTGAAGATGCTGCTTCAAGGGTCGGTCCAGTGGTTTCCCAGAAGATGTTTCTGTTGGACAATGCATAACAAACAAACAGGCCAAGACGTACGCTCACTTGACTTCAAGTCAGGTGAGCTAAACCTGGACACTTATTTAAACCATGATAGTATAATATTTGGATAAAAACAACAACTTCAAATTAAAAAAAATATGAACTGGTCCAAGAATGAGTTACTACGGCAGTGATGAGTACACATTCCATGCATCAGTACCGATTTCCTTGGCGCCGACTCCGTTGGCCTTGATGACCTTGACCAGGAGGCGCTTGTCAGCAGTGGAGCGTGGAGGTTTGGGCGGCACGTCCGTGGCCTGCGACACGGGGGTCTGAAACTGTAGTGAGAAATCGGATAAATTACTTGGTCCATGAACTCACTCAACAAAACATTCAACTGGTCGATGAACTCACTCAACAAAACATTCAACTGGTCCATGGATTCATTCAACAAAACATTCAACTGGTCCATGAACTCACTCAACAAAACATTCAACTGGTCCATGGATTCACTCAACAAAACATTCAACTGGTCCATGGATTCACTCAAGAAAACTTTCAACTGGTCTATGGATTCACTCAACAAAACATTCAACTGGTCTATGGATTCACTCAACAAATCGTCACGATATGGCTGAAATATTGCCGATGTGATGTAAAGCATTAACTCACACACTCACTCAACAAAACATTCAACTGGTCCATGGATTCACTCAACAAAACATTCAACTGGTCCATGGAATCACTCAACAAAACATTCAACTGGTCCATGGATTCACTCAACAAAACATTCAACTGGTCCATGAACTCACTCAACAAAACATTCAACTGGTCCATGAACTCACTCAACAAAACATTCAACTGGTCCATGGATTCACTCAACAAAACATTCAACTGGTCCATGGATTCACTCAACAAAACATTCAACTGGTCCATGAACTCACTCAACAAAACATTCAACTGGTCCATGAACTCACTCAACAAAACATTCAACTGGTCCATGGATTCACTCAACAAAACATTCAACTGGTCCATGAACTCACTCAACAAAACATTCAACTGGTCCATGAACTCACGCAACAAAACATTCAACTGGTCCATGAACTCACGCAACAAAACATTCAACTGGTCCATGGATTCACTCAACAAAACATTCAACTGGTCCATGAACTCACTCAACAAAACATTCAACTGGTCCATGGATTCACTCAACAAAACATTCAACTGGTTCATGAACTCACTCAACAAAACATTCAACTGGTTCATGAACTCACTCAACAAAACATTCAACTGGTTCATGAACTCACTCAACAAAACATTCAACTGGTCCATGGATTCACTCAACAAAACATTCAACTGGTTCATGAACTCACTCAACAAAACATTCAACTGGTCCATGAACTCACTCAACAAAACATTCAACTGGTCCATGAACTCACTCAACAAAACATTCAACTGGTCCATGGATTCACTCAACAAAACATTCAACTGGTTCATGAACTCACTCAACAAAACATTCAACTGGTCCATGAACTCACTCAACAAAACATTCAACTGGTCCATGGATTCACTCAACAAAACATTCAACTGGTTCATGAACTCACTCAACAAAACATTCAACTGGTCCATGAACTCACTCAACAAAACATTCAACTGGTCCATGAACTCACTCAACAAAACATTCAACTGGTCCATGCCCTGATGTTGTTTGTTGTTTAACGCCACAATCAGCAATATTACAGCTATATGGTTTGGAAATAATCGAGTCTAGACCAGACAATCCAGTGATTGACATCATGAGCATCGATCCACGCAATTGGGATACGATGATATGCATCAACCAAGTCAGCGAGTCTGACCACCCGATCCCTTAGTTGCCTCTTATGACAAGCATTGTCGCCATTTACAGCAAGCATGGGTTGCGGAAGACCTATTGTTACTCCATGGCCTGACTCAACAAAACATTGTACAGGAGACTCACAGCACTTTGGTACTGGCTTGCCTCGATGGGCACGAAAAGAGCCTCTGACTTGGGGGGAGAGTGCACAGCAGAGACGGGGGGCTGGGGCGCGGCATGGCGCTTCGGGGAGCTCTGCAGCTGCGTGCTCTGCACGTGCATGCTCTGCATGGGTGCACCACCGTGTGTCTGGGGCATACGGCGCTCAAAGTTGCCCTCGTTCATCTGAGGCATCTGGGAGTAGCCTTGGCTCATGTTGGGCACTTGACCTTGTCCCGAGCCGCGGTCGTGGTCGGAGTGGCGCTTGGACTGTCCCCGGGTGTCCGGGGCGAGGAGGTGGGTGATGGTGAATGTGGTGGTGGTCATACAGATTGCCTGACGCACGAGCTCCTCCACCACGCCGATGTCCACCATGTCCGACGGATCCTGCAACAAGGATTCAGATTCTAGTCAGAAATGAAGGGTCTGTAGTTTCTTCAAGGGTGAGTGAGAGAGTATGGTTCTACGACACTTTTAAGCAATATTCCAGCAATATCACGGCAGGGGACACCGGAAAATGGACTTCACACATTGTACCCATGTGGCGAATCAAACCAGAGTCTTCAGCATGAGGGGCGGTCGGGTAGCCTTGTGGTTAAAGCGTTCGCTCGTCACGCCGAAGACCCGGGTTCGATTCCCGACATGGGGACAATGTGTGAAGCCCATTTCTGGTGTCCCCTGCCGTGATTTTGCTGGAATATTGCTAAAAGCGGCGTAAAACCAAACCCACTCACTCACTCTTCAGCATGACAAGCTGACGCTTTAACCACTAGGCTACCCCACCACCCCTCACAGGCAACTCCTTGGTAATCCGAAACAGGGGGGACAATATCATTTGGACATATATTATCTTATTTGTTGCTTTACCCCGCAATCAGTCATTTTCAAGCCAAATGATGTCGTCCTGTAAATGGACAAGTCTGGACAAGAGAAGCCAGGCAATGATGTTTCTAGCCATGTTCAACGTGAACCACAACAAAATCACAGACAATGACCCCCTGATCCACTGGCCACCCCTCAAGACCAGTTCAGGTTGTTGGGGACCCATTCTAACCCATTTTACAAAATCAACGATCTTTTCGTTTTTTTCAAGGATTAATGACAAATGTGAAATGTTGGTCAATGAAGTTTCCCACTTGGTCCCAGATATCTTGCTAACCACGTACGACCATAACCGTCAACCATTCGGCTTATCTCTTTACCCCAAGGTCATTTTTCATCATATTGTTTGAAAGACTGAAAGACAATATTCTCCCCCGTCATACGCTAATATATCATTACCTGATACATTTATCTAATTCAGCTTTAGAAACTGGCACTAGTCCTGTAGTCCTTGCCAAACTGCTCAAAAGTTAAGGTATCATAAGGACGAGTAGAAATTTGCCATTTTTAAGGGTTTGGCTATATGTTATCATTACAAGGACTAGTGGACTAAAACTGTTAGTTAATAAGAAGTGGGGACAGTAACTTCACCCATTATCTCTCGTCTTCAAATGACATTCTGTACTTCTACAGCATTCCCATTTACTGGTAATTACCAGTTTTTTACCAGTAATTACCAGTTTTTTACCGGTAAAATTAGGCTTGGACCGGTAATTCATGTGACTGTCAGTCCCTGTAGACTGGCAAATAAAGTACCTTATAAATCTTTGTTGTTGAACAAAACATTGGCAATATTCATATAATTACATTTTCCGAACAAAGTCAGCTTGTCTGTTACCATCAGGGTTTCCCCATGTCTATTTCTAGGTTAAATATTCATTTGTAGCGACTTTGTCTCGAAATATTTAAAAAAAGGAGGAAACTTGTGACTGAAGTTTGTGTGAATGATGTATAGATCTAACTAAGTTACTTCAGACATGACATCTTTGCACTGAACATGATGTTGAAAGAATTAAAACCAAATAATTTTCATACGTTTTTTTATTTGTTGAAAGTTGGGACTGGCAAAAGTTAGCAGGAATTGGTCATTTTTAGAGTGGCCAGTCCACAGGGAACAGCGGGAACACTGTTCTAATTTATTTTCCGCTATTTTTTCAATAATCTTCAAAATATGTGGTATGGCTACAGAAGCATTACACACTTAAACACGGACTTTGTATCCACATCCACATTCTTCACGTGACGATGAAACACATTCCAGATATGTCTATAGTCTTACTACGCTAGCATCAATCTTGCATTAACACCAAACAGTTGACGGGAAACATGTATTTCTACAACAGACGAATGCAAGAATACATCTGTAAACCCACAACATACAATATGCACCCCGGACTCGACACACAAACATGATGGACGTCAGAGGTGGCTTTGATGCATAGTTGTGGAATATAGATCTGATAAGCAATCAAAAAACCCAATAATTTTGAGTAACCCAGTGATCTACACAATACCTCTAACATATCTGCTGCCACCCTGTCAATGAGGTAAAGACATGAGGTAAAGACATGAAACATAATTCCGATGAGGCGAGGTGAAGTTGGGTTTAACGTCGCGTCCAAGAATATTGCATATGTATAGCGAAGTGCATGCATGTGTGTGTGTGCGTGTGCGTGTGTGGCTACTTGTACTAGTCCGTGCTGATGCCGATTTAAGTGCTAGCTCACTGAGATGTCATGCCGCAGTTTAACATGAATACCCCACTCAGACACAGTATACTGACTCCGAGCCGACCAGTCCTTGTTTTAGCCCCTTAATGCCTAGCGCCAGACAGGGTAACAACAAGTACCATCTTTTGGTATGACGCGGCCGGGGATTGAACCCTGTACCTTCCACTCTCCAGGCGCATTCTATGCCTCTAGACAACGGAGTCGGTCAAATATAATTCAGGGAACATAACACAGAGGAAACGATGACAGCATAGTAATAAATTTTACTATTGGGCTGATTTATTCATTCATCCTGTAACCATGGCAACCTACATCTGAGGGGAAATGAATCTGTTCTGGCTGAAGCTGTAGTTAGGGATGGTTGGTTTGTTGTTTAACACCGCTCTCAGCAATATTACAGCTATAAGACGGCGATCTGTAAATAATCGAGTCTGGACCAGACAATCCAGTGATTGACATCATGAGCATCGATCCACGCAATTGGGATCAATGACATGCATCAACCAAGTCAGCAAGCCTGACCACCCGATCCCGTTAGTCGCCTTTTATGACAAGCCTAGTCGCCTTTTACGGCAAGCATGGGTTGCTGAAGACCTATTCTACCCCGGAATCTTCGTAGAGCAAGGTGATACAGAAATAGAGCTGACACGAGAAACTACGCGGAGGGTGTGGCGGCAAGGGGGGCAGTGAGGGATTGGGTGGGGCATTGAGAGAGGGGGAGAGGTGTCGGGTTCCACACCACTCATGACAGTTCTTCAGTTACAGAACAGGTTAGTGTGGGTAACACTTTCCACTTTGGTGAAATATATGATTGGTGCTGGCAGACCAAGGACACAGTATTGGGGATTCAAACCCAGAGTCAGCTGCTGTCTAGACCACTGTGGTGGACGGGATGATGGAAAACTGAGGGTCGATGGTGTGAGCACCAAGGGCAAAAGAGGTGGATATCAACTCTGCTGATTTTGTTTCCAACATGCATGGGAACTGAACAGCTTTCTGAGAATGCAAGGTCTGTGTCCACCTTGTGAGTGGGAGGGAGAAGGCAAACAAGAACTATAGAAGGTCGGTGTCCACCTTGTGTGTGGGAGAGAGAAGGCAAACAAGAGCTATAGAAGGTCGGTGTCCACCTTGTGTGTGGAAGAGAGAAGAGAAACAAGAACTATAGAAGGTCGGTGTCCACCTTGTGTGTGGGAGAGAGAAGGTAAACAAGACCTATAGAAGGTCTGTGTCCACCTTGTGTGTGAGAGAGAGAAGGCAAACAAGAACTATAGAATGTCGGTGTCCAACTTGTGTGTGGGAGAGAGAAGGCAAACAAGAACTATAGAAGGTCGGTGTCCACCTTGTGTGTGGGAGAGAGAAGGCAAACAAGAGCTATAGAAGGTCGGTGTCCACCTTGTGTGTGGGAGAGAGAAGGCAAACAAGAACTATAGAAGGTCGGTGTCCACCTTGTGTGTGGGAGAGAGAAGGCAAACAAGAACTATAGAAGGTCGGTGTCCACCTTGTGTGTGGGAGAGAGAAGGCAAACAAGAGCTATAGAAGGTCTGTGTCCACCTTGTGTGTGGGAGAGAGAAGGCAAACAAGAGCTATAGAAGGTCTGTGTCCACCTTGTGTGTGGGAGAGAGAAGGCAAACAAGAGCTATAGAAGGTCGGTGTCCACCTTGTGTGTGGGAGAGAGAAGGCAAACAAGAACTATAGAAGGTCGGTGTCCACCTTGTGTGTGGGAGAGAGAAGGCAAACAAGAACTATAGAAGGTCGGTGTCCACCTTGTGTGTGGGAGAGAGAAGGCAAACAAGAGCTATAGAAGGTCTGTGTCCACCTTGTGTGTGGGAGAGAGAAGGCAAACAAGAGCTATAGAAGGTCTGTGTCCACCTTGTGTGTGGGAGAGAGAAGGCAAACAAGAACTATAGAAGGTCTGTGTCCACCTTGTGTGTGGGAGAGAGAAGGCAAACAAGAGGTATAGAAGGTCTGTGTCCACCTTGTGTGTGGGAGAGAGAAGGTAAACAAGAACTATAGAAGGTGTGTGTCCAACTTGTGTGTGAGAGAGAGAAGGCAAACAAGAACTATAGAAGGTCGGTGTCCACCTTGTGTGTGGGAGAGAGAAGGGAAACAAGAACTATAGAAGGTCTGTGTCCAACTTGTGTGTGGGAGTGAGAAGGCAAACAAGAGCTATAGAAGGTCTGTGTCCACCTTGTTTGTGGGAGAGAGAAGGTAAACAAGAACTATAGAAGGTCGGTGTCCACCTTGTGTGTGGGAGAGAGAAGGCAAACAAGAACAATAGAAGGTCTGTGTCCACCTTGTGCGTGGGAGAGAGAAGGTAAACAAGAACTATAGAAGGTCTGTGTCCATCTTGTGTGTGGGAGAGAGAAGGTAAACAAGAACTATAGAAGGTCTATGTCCACCTTGTGTGTGGGAGAGAGAAGGGAAACAAGAACTATAGAAGGTCGGTGTCCACCTTGTGTGTGGGAGAGAGAAGGTAAACAAGAACTATAGAAGGTCGGTGTCCACCTTGTGTGTGGGAGAGAGAAGGCAAACAAGAACTATAGAAGATCTGTGTCCACCTTGTGTGTGGGAGAGAGAAGGCAAACAAGAACTATAGAAGGTCTGTGTCCACCTTGTGTGTGGGAGAGAGAAGGTAAACAAGAACTATAGAAGGTCTGTGTCTACCTTGTGTGTGGGAGAGAGAAGGTAAACAAGAGCTATAGAAGGTCGGTGTCCACCTTGTGTGTGGGAGAGAGAAGGTAAACAAGAGCTATAGAAGGTCGGTGTCCACCTTGTGTGTGGGAGAGAGAAGGTAAACAAGAACTACAGAAGGTCTGTGTCCATCTTGTGTGTGGGAGAGAGAAGGTAAACAAGAGCTATAGAAGGTCTGTGTCCACCTTGTGTGTGGGAGAGAGAAGGTAAACAAGAACTATAGAAGGTCTATGTCCACCTTGTGTGTGGGAGAGAGAAGGGAAACAAGAACTATAGAAGGTCGGTGTCCACCTTGTGTGTGGGAGAGAGAAGGTAAACAAGAACTATAGAAGGTCGGTGTCCACCTTGTGTGTGGGAGAGAGAAGGCAAACAAGAACTATAGAAGGTCGGTGTCCACCTTGTGTGTGGGAGAGAGAAGGTAAACAAGAACTACAGAAGGTCTGTGTCCACCTTGTGTGGGGGAGAAAGAAGGTAAACAAGAACTATAGAAGGTCTGTGTCCACCTTGTGTGTGGGAGAGAGAAGGCAAACAAGAACTACAGAAGGTCTGTGTCCACCTTGTGTGTGGGAGAGAGAAGGCAAACAAGAGCTATAGAAGGTCTGTGTCCACCTTGTGTGTGGGAGAGAGAAGGGAAACAAGATTTATAGAAGGTCTGTGTCCAACTTGTGTGTGGGAGGGAGAAGGCAAACAAGAGCTATAGAAAGTCTGTGTCCACCATGTGTGTGGGAGAGAGAAGGGAAACAAGATTTATAGAAGGTTTGTGTCCAACTTGTGTGTGAGAGAGAGAAGGCAAACAAGAGCTATAGAAGGTCTGTGTCCACCTTGTGTGTGGGAGAGAGAAGGCAAACAAGAGCTATAGAAGGTCTGTGTCCACCTTGTGTGTGGGAGAGAGAAGGGAAACAAGAACTATAGAAGGTCTGTGCACCTTGTGTGTGGGAGAGAGAAGGCAAACAAGAGCTATAGAAGGTCGGTGTCCACCTTGTGTGTGGGAGAGAGAAGGTAAACAAGAACTATAGAAGGTGTGTGTCCACCTTGTGTGTGGGAGAGAGAAGGTAAACAAGAACTATAGAAGGTCTATGTCCACCTTGTGTGTGGGAGAGAGAAGGTAAACAAGAACTATAGAAGGTGTGTGTCCACCTTGTGTGTGGGAGAGAGAAGGTAAACAAGAACTATAGAAGGTCTATGTCCACCTTGTGTGTGGGAGAGAGAAGGTAAACAAGAGCTATAGAAGGTCTGTGTCCACCTTGTGTGTTGGAGAGAGAAGGCAAACAAGAACTATAGAAGGTCTGTGTCCACCTTGTGTGTGGGAGAGAGAAGGCAAACAAGAGCTATAGAAGGTCTGTGTCCACCTTGTGTGTTGGAGAGAGAAGAGAAACAAGAACTATAGAAGGTCGGTGTCCACCTTGTGTGCGAGATAGAGAAGGCAAACAAGAACTATATAAAGTCCATATACTTCAGTTATTATGATCGTTGTAATAATTTTGACACAAAGTAAAAGGAAATGAGAGCAAGATCAGTGTATCATTTCAAATAGGCAGATGTTCATATCTTTTTATTTATACAAGACACATAATATTGAATTTAAAACAAGGCTTCTTGTCTCTGATAACATTGTCGGTACAAGGCAGGAGCAACAAGCACAGTATAGGAGCAAGAAACACAAGGCTAACATGATGTGTGGAAGCACGGACACACGGCACACGGCAAACATTCACTTACGTCATCGTCCTGGCAGCATGGAAAAACAGCAGAGTGTTAAAAACTCAAACAAAACATGATATTACATAGACCTGTCACTTCTCAATACCGTTTTTGTCATCAGAAAAAAAATTAAAGTCTTGAAATGTTGTATGCTGCAGTATGCAATGTTCTGGCTGGATGACAGCAGATCAGATCTGAACCAGTGGCTGATAGCATGAACACCAAAGATGCCAGAGAATACATTGTTACTACTCACTTAATCAAGTTTTCAACAAGTAGTGGTATTGGGGACCTATTCTGCCCTAGGCCCCCACAAGGAGATAGATATCAGGTACTGGGGACCTATTCTGCCCCAGACTCCCCACAAGGAGACAGCCATCAGGTACTGGGGACCTATTCTGCCCCAGACTCCCCACAAGGAGACAGACATCAGGTACTGGGGGCCAATTCTGCCCTAGACCCCCACAAGGAGACAGACATCAGGTACTGGGGAACTATTCTGCCCCGGACTCCCCACAAGGAGACAGACATCAGGTAATGGGGACCTATTCTGCCCTGAACCCCCAACAAGGAGACAGCCATCAGGTACTGGGGACCTATTCTGCCCTACACACCCAACAAGGAGACAGCCATCAGGTACTAGGGAACTATTCTGCCCTACACACCCCGCAAGGAGACAGCCATCAGGTACTGGGGACCTATTCTGCCCCGGATTCCCCACACGAAGAGAGACATCAGGTAGTTGGGACCTACCCCATCCTAGACTTGCCACAAGTAGCCAAACATACTCTGGACTCAGGTCAATGACAGGTCCACACTACATATACAGACAGTCAACATAATCCTAGCTACGTTAGTACAGACAGAAGAACCAGACTTCAACTGTAGTAACAGAAATCATAGTAAAGACAATGTTGTTCCTTCGTATTTCATATTTTTATTAGTAAGAGCAAAAAAGTAAAAAACTACATTAACTACAGGTGAGCTATAGTTATAGTATGAAAATATTACATGGATTAAAATGCGAAATTGATGTCATTTCCACAGAGATGAATTTGCATCCAACCTTCTTGTGGAACCTCAATGAGATCTACAACATCGACTCAGAGTGGATGCATGTGTTATGTTCTAGTCTACAGCGTATTTAGGTGTGTTACATTCACCAGTCTATTTCAAGTTGCAATTAACCACATTTGAACATGAAGATGTGAAATTAGTATGAATTTAACGATGTGGTGAAGTTGGCATCTGCTTACCTGATATGGGTTGGTTGGTTTGACATTGACCTTGATGTCGGGACGCCCGTCAAATGCAACGTTGACCTTCACCTCTCCCGCATCCTTGAACGATTGAACCAGCAGCTGTGCAAGACAGAGTGATGAGTGAGTGAGTGAGGGGTTTTATCAGCAGTGGCTGATGGTGAAATACATGATCCATTGTCTGGCAAAAAACTTATTTGACATGAATTTGGGTTTAACTCTGCAATCAGCTATATGATGGTGGCCAGTATACAAACATAGTTTCTCGGAGCAGGAAGACTATGGCAGTGTATATATTTACCATTCCTCAGAGCTGGAAGACTAGCGGTGTGTATTTTTACCGTTTGTTGGAGCTGGAAGACTGTGGTAGCGTATATATTTACCATTCCTCGGATCTGTAGGACTGTGGTGGTGTATATATTTACCATTCCTCAGAGCACGAGGACTGTGGTGGTGTATATATTTACTGTTTCTTGGAGCAGGAGGACTGTGGTGGTGTATATATTTACCATTCCTCTGAGCAGGAGGAGTGTGGTAGGTATATATTTACCATTCCTCTGAGCAGGAGGAGTGTGGCTGTGTATATATTTACCATTCCTCGGAGCAGGAGGAGTTTGGCGATGTATATATTTACCATTCCTCGGAGAGGAGGACTTTGGTGGTGTATATATTTACCATTCCTCGGAGCAGGAGGACTGTGGCGGTGCATATATTTACCATTCCTCGGAGCAGGAGGACTTTGGTGGTGTATGTATTTACCATTCCTCGGAGCAGGAGGACTGTGGCGGTGCATATATTTACCATTCCTCGGAGCAGGAGGACTTTGGCGGTGTATATATTTATCATTCCTCGGAGCAGGAGGACTGTTGGTGGTGTATTTACCATTCCTCGGAGCTGTAGGACTGTCGTGGTGTGTATATTTACCATTCCTCGGAGCAGGAGGACTGTGGCAGTGTATATATTTACCATTCCTCGGAGCTGTAGGACTGTGGTGGTGTATATATTTATCATTCCTCGGAGCAGGAGGATTTTGGCGGTGTATATATTAACCATTCCTCGGAGAGGAGGACTGTGGTGGTGTATATATTTACCATTCCTCAGAGCAGGAGGACTGTGGTGGTGTATATATTTACTGTTTCTTGGAGCAGGAGGACTGTGGTGGTGTATATATTTACCATTCCTCTGAGCAGGAGGAGTGTGGTAGGTATATATTTACCATTCCTCTGAGCAGGAGGAGTGTGGCCGTGTATATATTTACCATTCCTCGGAGCAGGAGGAGTTTGGCGATGTATATATTTACCATTCCTCGGAGAGGAGGACTTTGGTGGTGTATATATTTACCATTCCTCGGAGCAGGAGGACTGTGGCGGTGCATATATTTACCATTCCTCGGAGCAGGAGGACTTTGGTGGTGTATATATTTACCATTCCTCGGAGCAGGAGGACTGTGGCGGTGCATATATTTACCATTCCTCGGAGCAGGAGGACTTTGGCGGTGTATATATTTATCATTCCTCGGAGCAGGAGGACTGTTGGTGGTGTATTTACCATTCCTCGGAGCTGTAGGACTGTCGTGGTGTGTATATTTACCATTCCTCGGAGCAGGACGACTGTGGCAGTGTATATATTTACCATTCCTCGGAGCTGTAGGACTGTGGTGGTGTGTATATTTACCATTCCTTGGAGCAGGAGGACTGTGGTGGTGTATATATTTACCATTCCTCAGAGCAGGAGGACTGTGGCGGTGTATATATTTACCATTCCTCAGAGCAGGAGGACTGTGGCGGTGTTTATATTTACCATTCCTCGGAGCTGTAGGACTGTGGTGGTGTGTATATTTACCATTCCTTGGAGCAGGAGGACTGTGGTGGTGTATATATTTACCATTCCTCGGAGCAGGAGGACTGTGGAGGTGTATATATTAACCAATCCTCGGAGCAGGAGGACTTTGGCAGTGTATATATTTACCATTCCTCGGAGCAGGAGGACTGTGGCGGTGTATATATTTACCATTCCTCAGAGCAGGAGGACTGTGGCGGTGTATATATTAACCAAACCTCGGAGCAGGAGGACTTTGGCGCTGTATATATTTACCATTCCTCGGAGCAGGAGGACTGTGGCGGTGTATATATTTACCATTCTTCGGAGCTGTAGGACTGTGGTGGTGTATATATTTACCGTTTCTTGGAGCAGGAGGATTTTGGCGGTGTATATATTAACCATTCCTCGGAGAGGAGGACTGTGGTGGTGTATATATTTACCATTCCTCGGAGCAGGAGGACTGTGGCGGTGTATATATTTACCATTCCTCAGAGCAGGAGGACTGTGGCGGTGTTTATATTTACCATTCCTCGGAGCTGTAGGACTGTGGTGGTGTGTATATTTACCATTCCTTGGAGCAGGAGGACTGTGGCGGTGTATATATTTACCATTCCTCGGAGCAGGAGGACTGTGGCGGTGTATATATTAACCAATCCTCGGAGCAGGAGGACTTTGGCAGTGTATATATTTACCATTCCTCGGAGCAGGAGGACTGTGGTGGTGTATATATTTACCATTCCTCAGAGCAGGAGGACTGTGGTGGTGTATATATTAACCAAACCTCGGAGCAGGAGGACTTTGGCGCTGTATATATTTACCATTCCTCGGAGGAGGACTGTGGCGGTGTATATATTTACCATTCTTCGGAGCTGTAGGACTGTGGTGGTGTATATATTTACCGTTTCTTGGAGCTGGAGGACCGTTGCGCTGCATATACATACTGTTCCTCAGAGCTGTAAGACTGTGGCCATGTATATATTTACCGTTTCTTGGAGCTAGGAGACTGTGGTGGCGAATATATTTACCGTTCCCCCGGAGCTGGAAGACTGTGGTACTGTAGTTATTTACCATTCCTCAGAGCTGGAAGACTGTGGCGGCGCATATACTTACCGTTCCTCGGAGCCGGAAGACAGTGGCGGTGCAGTTGGTGAGTTTGACCCCTTCATGAGTTTGTTGAGAGCAGAAGATGACAAACGCCAGATCCTTGGAATCCACACGGACATGGATGACCTGAAACAGCAAACACAATATTATCAACACAATACTGTCAACACAGCCAACGCAATATTGTCAACACAGCCAACACAACATTGTCAACACAATACTGTCAACACAGCCAACGCAATATTGTCAACACAGCCAACACAATATTGTCAACACAATACTGTCAACACAGCCAACGCAATATTGTCAACACAGCCAACACAACATTGTCAACACAATACTGTCAACACAGCCAACGCAATATTGTCAGCACAATAGTGTCAACACAGCCAACAGAATGCTGTCAACACAGCCAACACAACACAGCCAACAGAATGCTGTCAACACAGCCAACGCAACATTGTCAACACAATACTGTCAACACAGCCAACGCAATATTGTCAGCACAATAGTGTCAACACAGCCAACACATATTGCCCTGAAAAAATTGTACTTCATCAGTCTTGCTGTTCTTGTCTTGCTGTCCGTACACAATTGTACTTCAACGGTGTTCATGTTCTACCCATCCCCCTCCGTACACATAATTAGTCTAGCTGTTATATCCACCCCCTCCCCACATGATTGTACTTCATCAATGTTGCTGTTATATCCACCCCCCTCCCCACACAATTGTACTTCATCAATGTTGCTGTTATATCCAACCCCCTCCCCACACAATTCTACTTTATCAATGATGCTGTTCTATCCACCCCCCTCCCCACATGATTGTACTTCATCAATGTTGCTGTTATATCCACCCCCCTCCCCACACAATTGTACTTCATCAATGTTGCTGTTATATCCACCCCCTCCCCACATGATTGTACTTCATCAATGTTGCTGTTATATCCACCCCCCTCCCCACACAATTGTACTTCATCAATGTTGCTATTATATCCACCCCCCTCCCCACACAATTGTACTTCATCAATGTTGCTGTTATATCAACCCCCCTCCCCACATGATTGTACTTCATCAATGTTGTTATATCCACCCCCCTCCCCACATGATTGTACTTCATCAATGTTGCTGTTATATCCACCCTCCTCCCCACATGATTGTACTTCATCAATGTTGCTGTTATATCCACCCCCCTCCCCACATGATTGTACTTCATCATTGTTGCTGTTATATCCACCCCCCTCCCCACATGATTGTACTTCATCAATGTTGCTGTTATATCCAACCCCATCACAACATGATTGTTCTTCATCAATGTTGCTGTTATATCCAACCCCCTCCCCACATGATTGTACTTCATCAATGTTGCTGTTATATCCACCCCCCTCCCCACACGATTGTACTTCATCAATGTTGCTGTTATATCCACCCCCCTCCCCACATGATTGTACTTCATTAATGTTGCTGTTATATCCACCCCCCTCCCCACATGATTGTACTTCATCAATGTTGTTATATCCACCCCCCTCCCCACATGATTGCACTTCATCAATGTTGCTGTTATATCCAACCCCCTCCCCACATGATTGTACTTCATCAATGTTGCTGTTATATCCACCCCCCTCCCCACACAATTGTACTTCATCAATGTTGCTGTTATATCAACCCCCCTCCCCACATGATTGTACTTCATCAATGTTGTTATATCCACCCCCCCTCCCCACATGATTGCACTTCATCAATGTTGCTGTTATATCCACCCCCCTCCCCACACAATTGTACTTCATCAATGTTGCTGTTATATCCAACCCCCTCCCCACATGATTGTACTTCATCAATGTTGCTGTTATATCCAACCCCCTCCCCACACAATTGTACTTCATCAATGCTGCTGTTCTATCCACCCCCTCCCCACACAATTGTATTTCATCAATGTTGCTGTTATATCCACCCCCCTCCCCACATGATTGTACTTCATCAATGTTGCTGTTCTATCCACCCCCTCCCCACATGATTGTACTTCATCAATGTTGCTGTTCTATCCACCCCCTCCCCACATGATTGTACTTCATCAATGTTGCTGTTCTATCCACCCCCCTCCCCACATGATTGTACTTCATCAATGTTGCTGTTCTCCCCACATGATTGTACTTCATCAATGTTGCTGTTCTATCCACCCCCCTCCCCACATGATTGTTCTTCATCAATGTTGCTGTTCTCCCCACATGATTGTACTTCATCAATGTTGCTGTTCTATCCACCCCCTCCCCACACAATTGTACTTCATCAATGTTGCTGTTATATCCACCTCCTCCCCACATGATTGTACTTCATCAATGTTGCTGTTATATCCACCCCCTCCCCACACAATTGTACTTCATCAATGTTGCTGTTCTATCCACCCCCTCCCCACATGATTGTACTTCATCAATGCTGCTGTTCTATCCACCCCCTCCCCACACAATTGTACTTCATCAATGTTGCTGTTATATCCACCTCCTCCCCACATGATTGTACTTCATCAATGCTGCTGTTCTATCCACCCCCTCCCCACACAATTGTACTTCATCAATGTTGCTGTTATATCCACCTCCTCCCCACATGATTGTACTTCATCAATGCTGCTGTTCTATCCACCCCCTCCTGGACATAGAGTCCCCTTATATTTAATGAATAAATTCATGCAAACAGTTCAAAACATGCCATATCTGTCTCCACCCAGCAGACCAATGGTGGCTAGATGCATGTGAGGAGGCATCCCCCACAACTCTGTACAGCGGCAACTACAGACAGAGGGTTCTGCACACCTCCTTAAATCTGACAGACATATCTACCAAGCTGTGCCAGGAGCTTGCTCACTTGAAGGTCAAAGGGGTGATCTCCAACCAGCGTTTTGCTAAATCTTGGGTTCTCAGAAAGAGGCCAGCAGTGTGTTTAGCCTCCTTGTACCGAGTCCTTGTACTGGGCTTGTACTGACTCCTTGTACTGGGCTTGTACTGACTCCTTGTACTGGGCTTGTACTGACTCCTTGTACCGAGTCCTTGTACTGGGCTTGTACTGACTCCTTGTACTTGGCTTGTACTGACTCCTTGTACTGGGCTTGTACTGACTCCTTGTACTTGGCTTGTACTGACTCCTTGTACTGGGCTTGTACTGACTCCTTGTACTTGGCTTGTACTGACTCCTTGTACTGGGCTTGTACTGACTCCTTGTACTGGGCTTGTACTGATTCCTTGTATTGGGCTTGTACTGACTCCTTGTACTGGGCTTGTACTGAGCTTGTACTGACTCCTTGTACTGGGCTTGTACTGACTCCTTGTACTGGGCTTGTACTGACTCCTTGTACTGGGCTTGTACTGAATCCTTGTACTGGGCTTGTACTGACTCCTTGTACTGGGCTTGTACTGACTCCTTGTACTGGGCTTGTACTGAGCTTGTACTGACTCCTTGTACTGGGCTTGTACTGACTCCTTGTACTGGGCTTGTACTGACTCCTTGTACTGGGCTTGTACTGAATCCTTGTACTGGGCTAAAAATGTACTGACTCCTTGTACTGGGCTTGTACTGACTCCTTGTACTGGGCTTGTACTGACTCCTTGTACTGGGCTAAAAATGTACTGACTCCTTGTACTGGGCTTGTACTGACTCCTTGTACTGGGCTTGTACTGATTCCTTGTATTGGGCTTGTACTGACTCCTTGTACTGGGCTTGTACTGAGCTTGTACTGACTCCTTGTACTGAGCTTGTAGTGACTCCTTGTACTGGGCTTGTACTGACTCCTTGTACTGGGCTTGTACTGACTCCTTGTACTGGGCTTGTACTGACTCCTTGTACTGGGCTAAAAATGTACTGACTCCTTGTACTGGGCTTGTACTGACTCCTTGTACTGGGCTTGTACTGACTCCTTGTACTGGGCTAAAAATGTACTGACTCCTTGTACTGGGCTTGTACTGACTCCTTGTACTGGGCTTGTACTGATTCCTTGTATTGGGCTTGTACTGACTCCTTGTACTGGGCTTGTACTGATTCCTTGTATTGGGCTTGTACTGACTCCTTGTACTGGGCTTGTACTGAGCTTGTACTGACTCCTTGTACTGGGCTTGTACTGACTCCTTGTACTGGGCTTGTACTGACTCCTTGTACTGGGCTTGTACTGACTCCTTGTACTGGGCTTGTACTGACTCCTTGTACTGGGCTAAAAATGTACTGACTCCTTGTACTGGGCTTGTACTGACTCCTTGTACTGGGCTTGTACTGACTCCTTGTACTGGGCTAAAAATGTACTGACTCCTTGTACTGGGCTTGTACTGACTCCTTGTACTGGGCTAAAAATGTACTGACTCCTTGTAGTGGGCATGTAGTGACTCATTGCACTGATTCCCTCACAGGTTACTATTAACAAACTTCCACAGCAAATCCTGAACAATGACCTCACAGACAACTACAGAAACCATTCTGTCTATGAATACTTCTTTCCAATTCTTTCTTTCCACATTCTTTCTATATTCTACAAATAGGGCAGAGATAATCTGATCCCTTTCATCAGGACCAAAAATACCAAAGTCATGAAGGAATAGTTTTATTGTTCCGTTACCATGGAAGCAGCGGAAGCATGGGTATCAGGAGAGTGTAAAGAGTATTTTTGTTCCTGAGTATACATGCCCCCCCCCCCCCCCCCCCCCCACACACACACACACACACACACACCCTCCCAAACTCGGAAGGGAAAGTACATGATATGTATGATGTGAAATGTTATGACTTTGCTGACAAAGTTGCACACATCTACAATATTGGTTGCCATCGAAACACAAGTGCTTATTGCTTCATGTTGCATAAGCAGAGTGTCAAAACATTTATACAAGTCTTCACACCACTCTTTGTATCCCCCCTGGGAGACAAACATTCCCTGAAGAACAATAAACTCCTCCAGTGTTTAGGTGTTGTAACGTATCCCATCTGTTCCTGCTTTCTTAATAGCCACTGTCAGGTGAAGCCAAGGATGAAGAACATGAGATCACATGGTATAACATGGGATAACATTGGGTAACATGGGATAACATGAGATAGCATGAGATAGCATGAGATAACATGAGATAACATGGAATAACATGAGATAACATGGGAGAACATGGGATAACATGATATAATATGGAATAACATGAGATAACACGAGATAACATGGGATAACATGGGATAACATGAGATAACATGGGATAGCATGGGATAACATGAGATAACATGATATAACATGGGATAACATGAGATAACATGAGATAGCATTGGATAACATGGGGTAACATAAGAAAACATGAGATAACATGACATAACATGACAAAACATGAACACTAATCATCCTGAATCTTCATCCATGTCGTCAGTGATAGATTCTGATGGGCAACACAATTATCAGCTGCAAAAGCAACCTTCACCACTGTCTGGTACCTGTTTGTTTCTGTGGTAATAATAAAAAGCGCACATTGAGAAAACCCAGCATTCCTGCTGTGCTGACTGTGTGATTTATGCCATGTCTCAGCATGGAGTTATGTCAGAGACGTTCTGACGACGTACCTCACTCTTGACGTTGATCTCTGCGCGTGCTGTCATCCTGGTGATTCCCGAGACGAAACACACGACCTTCGAGCTTCCAGTTACAGGACACCATGACCCGGGATAAGTCTTGGCTTTGATCAGACGAATGTTCTGTCTGAACATTCTGTATGTACGTTCTGGATAAACATTCTTGGATGTACGTTCTGGACATACTTTCTGGATGTAGGTTCTGTATGTAGGCTCTGTATGTAGGTTCTGGATGTACGTTCTGGACATACTTTCTGGATGTAGGTTCTGGGTGTAGGTTCTGTATGTTGGCTTTGTATGTAGGTTGATATATGAGGACTGGTCAAACACTTCTAAGCCTGACCAGCTTTCAACATCAATCCATAGAATGGCACCATTCCGCCAAAGAAATTCAAGTCTTCAAGATCAGGGAAGAAAGTGATGGTCTCTGTATTCTGGGAGGCAAAGGGTGTGATCCTAGCTGGTTACTTAGAAACCGATGCTACAATGCTGATTTGCTTCATTGCCTGAGAGATTCTATCCAAGAAAAGCGGCAAAAAATGTTGACTGCTGGAGTTCTACTGCTTCATGACAATGCCTCTTCTCACACCTCTTGACTTGCAAAAGCTGCTGTGGGACAATGTGGATTCGAAGAGCTTCCTCACCTTCCATACTCGTCAGACCTGGCACCAAGTGATTTCCACCTGTTTCATAAACTAAGAGAACACCTTAGTGGAAAGCGCTCTGACGACAATGATAACCTCAAAGCTGCCATTAATGGGTTTTTTTAGGGTGGCTTCAGAAAACATCTTCCTGACTGGAATGGAAAAGCTTCAGTATCGATATGAGAAGTGTATTGAAAAGCAGGGAGATCATGTTGAAGAATTAAATTCAAAACACTTTCACAATTGTTGGTTTTGTTTGTTAGGCTTAGAACTTTTCGACCATCCCTTGTACTACATTCTACAGTATGTCAATCACAATAGTGATTCTATTCCTGTTGCAATGAAACTTGAGAGTTGGAACTGTCTGGGTTTATGTTCAATATTCTTGTTGTCTGCTGTCTTCACGTCAGGTGAAGGCCATGAGGTGAATGTTTCAAGATTTTGTAGAAAGATCGTAACTTTTGTCACCTCAAATGTTTGTCGATTACCGTCATAATTCTTGGGATGAGAGAGGCAGAAACAGCCAGGAGGCACGGGTGGCCTAATCGTCTAAAGTGCGGGGACTAACTGGGCACTCAAGAAACCTGTGACCATGGGTTGGAACCATGTACTTTCCTCCTTCATGAAGCAAACACGCCGTGACATAACACAAATATTGTTCAAAGCGGCGTTAAACCCAACTCACTCACTCAGAAACAGCCAGAGAATCCATGTTGCCTTCATCTCTTATCTGACATCTGACAGCTCTGTAAACTCATGTTCATTTCCTTCCCTCAACACACCGCTTATCTCCCTTTGATTTCATCACCTTCAGGAAACACAGGTTCACTCAGTTTAATTTCACTCAAAAAGGCTTCAACTTTTGACTTGTTTACAGATCAGTACAAATCCAGAAAGATGAAATGGGTCTATGTAACCAGTTTTATCTACTACGAGTTCCCTGTAATGGAGACAGCATGTTCCTGTTGATAGCTTCCACCTTGATGAGGTATTCCGCCAGCACAGTGGTTGCCGCGGCAACATGCCAGGTGCAGCATGTCCGAGTAAACTAATTTCCTGTAAACTGCTAAACACGAGATGAAGATGGGGGACTTGTCTGGCCCTTGTTGGGGAAACACTGATCGTGAGCATGTGTTGATGGATGAGGAGGCAACACAATGGAGATGATTGATGACCAACAGCGTCATGGTGATGTGGGTGAGGTCTGCTCTAGACTAACATCTAGTCTCTGAAATCTTATATTACACAATATCCTTCTTGAGTCTAAAAACAAAACAAAATTCCCTATGCTGATTTGGAATAGAGCTAGCCTGAGCTGGCTAGACTTGCTTTTGTATGGATTTCTAGATTATTTTTTTTCATAAAATAAATATATTCCACGGTCATGGTGCAGGACTAGGTGTGCTGCTGCTGTGTGCGTCTGTTGGTGAATGTGCATGGCGCTGCACTCAGTGTCACACAGGCATGAGGAAAATGTATCATGCTGGCAGCAGTGATTCAAGGGCAGACGAGGATGAGAATTAGTTAGCGAGCGTAATCTCAGGCGATGCTGATTGGGGCACTTGACTGGGGCTAACTCCCAGAGAGATGAATTAAGATCCCCCCAACATTTGGTGTCCATCAGTTTGGTACATACATACCCTGATGTGTTCAATGCATGGCAGTATTAAGTCTGCTGGAGTGTTCAATGCATGGCAGTATGTAGTCATCGGGGTATGTATGTACCCAACTGATGGACACCATACGTTGGGGGATCTGAATCCATCTCACGGCCAGTTAGCCCCAGTCAAGTGCCCCGATCAGCACTATTTATGCAAGGCAGTATTTAGTCTGCTGGAGGGTGTTCAATGCATGGCAAATTCACTCTTTCAACACCAGTCAACCAGAAGCTTTAACTGCTGTGACACCGAGTTCCCAGAGAATCTTGTGTGATAGATGAAGCCAACATTTATCAAGGAAATGATCTGCTTGTAAAACATCTTTGCTACTACAACTCTCACAACAGTAAGAACAGAGTGTGAAACTAAAGCGCCGAACGTCAACTCACAAACTTGTCTTCTGGTGTGGCCTCGCAGGAGATTTCTCCGAACTTGGGCGGCAGACTCCCAGCCTGGATCCTCTCAAACTTTGTCTGCACAGGACCCTGGAACACATGACACATGACACATGACATGCTGAAGCAAGAACACATAACACATGACAAGATGGAACCAAACACATGACACATGACACATGACATGCTGTCATACGATACAGCCGCGGTTATACTGAAAACTTCAGTCTTCACCAACATTTAGTCTCTGAAATGAAAATATTTCAAGATCTTTTTGGTTAAGTTGTCCAATTGGTTAATCTTAATACATAATAGAAAGGAGCCATATGAATCTCTTCCTTTTCAGTTAAGTGAAGAGACTGAGACTGCTGAAGTATAGAAGACTTGCTTCAATGTAGACATGTACTTATGTTTCTGGTAGGGCTGGGACGAGTCCAAATTTACCTCCCGGGTATCCTACACCCTTTACCCGACCCTCCCTGGGTATCCGACCCCCTTTACCCGACCCTCCCCGGGTATCTGACACCCTTTACCCGACCCTACCCGGGTACGCACTGCAAGTCTCAAGAGTTTGGAACAAAATGTCTGATCATGCTGATTGGGAATTGTTTTACCGCACCCCTGGCCAAAACTATTTAGATCCATGTATCAAACGATCAGGTCATGGTACACGGAAGTTGACTGGAGCGTTATCTTTACTCAAGTATATGCAAGTAAACATAAACAAGGAATGTGTGTATCTTCAGAAAGAAATGTGATCATTAGCGACTTGTAGTGGAACCACTGAGCTATAGTGAACATTAAACAATACATCACATGACTAACCTCAGGTCCGGGTTTTTTGGGGGTACTCAGGTCCTACTCAGGACCCACCCGACCTGAGTACCCTAGTTTCTGGGTCTGTCTGCAGCGTTAGAAACTAAAAGTTTTAAACCACTATTCCTTGTTATGATAACATATAGCAATAATAATAATGGCAAGTTTCTACTGGTCCTTATGATACCTTAACTATTGGTCAGTTTGGCAAGGACTGCAGGACTAGTGCCAATGTCTAACGCTGATCTGGGAGGCTGATTTCAATGAGGCGTTTTTGAAACTCTGTAAAGATTGCAACAGATTTAATACCTTCAGATGACTGCCATACTGCCATGTGCCCTGCTGAGAAGACTATATAGATATGGAGGCACAGGATGAGGAGGCGGATTACAACATAAAGATTGTATTCGCCAGGGTCTGGGTCTGGCTGTTCTCACTGTCAGTGTAAGCAGGCAGATTGAACCCGGGATGATGATCAATGCCATCAGAAGACACAAAGCCACTAACCAATGTGATAAACAAAAAACAGGATTGTGGACTTCCTGCAAGAATTGCTGCCATGGAGACATTACAGAACAAAGAGTATATGGAACGTCTGCCTTGACAACATCATCACTTGGTGTATATATGGAACGTCTGCTCTGACAACATCATCACTTGGTGTATATATGGAATGTCTGCCCTGACAACATCATCACTTGGTGTATATATGGAACGTCTGCCCTGACAACATCATCACTTGGTGTATATATGGAACGTCTGCCCTGACAACATCATCACTTGGTGTATATATGGAATGTCTGCCCTGACAACATCATCACTTGGTGTATATATGGAACGTCTGCCCTGACAACATCATCACTTGGTGTATATATGGAACGTCTTCCCTGACAACATCATCACTTGGTGTATATATGGAACGTCTGCCCTGACAACATCATCACTTGGTGTATATATGGACGTCTGCCCTGATAACCATCACTTGGTGTATATATGGAACGTCTGCCCTGACAACATCATCACTTGGTGTATATATGGAACGTCTGCCCCGACATCATCACTTGGTGTATATATGGAACGTCTGCCCCGACATCATCACTTGGTGTATATATATGGAACGTCTGCCCTGATAACATCAGCACTTGGTGTATATATGGAACGTCTGCTCTGACAACATCATCACTTGGTGTATATATGGAATGTCTGCCCTGACAACGACATCACTTGGTGTATATATGGAGCGTCTGCTCTGACAACATCATCACTTGATGTATATATGGAATGTCTGCCCTGACAACGACATCACTTGGTGTATATATGGAGCGTCTGCTCTGACAACATCATCACTTGGTGTATATATGGAACGTCTGCCCTGAGAACATCATCACTTGGTGTATATATGGAACGTCTGCCCCGACAACATCATCACTTGGTGTATATATGGAACGTCTGCCCTGACAACCATCACTTGGTGTATATATATGGAACGTCTGCTCTGACAACATCATCACTTGGTGTATATATGGAACGTCTGCCCTAACAACATCATCACTTGGTGTATATATGGAACGTCTGCCCGGACAACATAATCACTTGGTATATATATGGAACGTCTTCCCTGACAACATCATCACTTGGTGTATATATGGAACGTCTGCCCTGACAACATCATCACTTGGTGTATATATGGAACGTCTGCTCTGACAACATCATCACTTGGTGTATATATGGAACGTCTGCCCTGACAACATCATCACTTGGTGTATATATGGAACGTCTGCCCTGACAACATCATCACTTGGTGTATATATGGAACGTCTGCTCTGACAACATCATCACTTGGTGTATATATGGAACGTCTGCCCTGACAACATCATCACTTGGTGTAATTGGAACATATGCCCTGACAATGACATCACTTGGTGTATATATGGACGTCTGCCCTGACAACACCATCACTTGGTGTATATATGGACATATGTCCTGACAACAGCATCACTTGGTGTATATATGGACATATGCCCTGACAACAGCATCACTTGGTGTATATATGGAACGTCTGCCCTAACAACATCATCACTTGGTGTAAATATGGAACGTCTGCCCTAACAACATCATCACTTGATGTATATATGGGACGTCTGCCCTAACAACATCATCACTTGGTGTATATATGGGACGTCTGCCCAGACAACATCATCACTTGGTGTATATATGGAACGTCTGCCCTGACAACATCATCACTTGGTGTATATATGGAACTTAACTTCATCAAATGTACCCTGACTTCAAAGTGTCAGTAGTATTCCAAGTTGTCAGGCGAGTAGCCTCTTCCAGCTGAGGTACATACTATCTTCCTAGCACCTGACTTCAATAAAGTCGCCCTGGTATCAACACTGAGGGAAAATGTTCCTTGCTTCATAAACACTATAAAGATCTATAAACAAATATCTTGTCAAGTCATGGCCTCAGACTGGAAAAGGATATTTTTATCTGAGGCTCCAAGCATTAAATGCTGCATTTAATAACATCATGGATATATACAATCACTACCAGTTGTCAGGAATATATCACTGCATGTATTAAGTTCTATACATGTTAATGACATGCAGATATACAATAAAGATTTATTGGAGATAACCAGTTGTTAGGAATATATCACTTAACATATGAATATCCATTCATTTAACAATGAAATGGAGTTACTGATGAAGATTTATCAAATAATGACCAGTTATGTTATGAACAACTATTAAAATGTTCAAGCTTTTTTTCAGTGAATGGTTTTAACAAAAAGCACCATTACCGCTGTATCTAGATGATATTGCAAGTTTACAGAGGGCTCGATTTAGCTATACAAGAGTCGTCAGAAGATGACAAATGCCCCCCTACCCCAACAATTTGAAAGAACAAATGATCTGACTGTTACTTTAAGTCCAACTTGATGAGACAATTTCGGCCGTTTTCAAGAGTTATTGAGCTATCAATCCAATCCCATGGAATTTGTATTTCTATGCCAGATACACACCACTATGAACAGAGTCAAAATCAAACTTGTTGACATGGAAACAGGAAAAATAAAAATTTAAAACATTCCTAGACAGCAAAAGGCACCAGGTGCAAACTGTGGAGCCGTTACAGCTGTATCTGGACGAGGTGCTGCACTCGGTGACATTGTTCCCCACGATACCAAACAATGGTTTATGAAGACTTCATCTAAATGGACACCTCCCTCAGCCAAGATAACCCAGACAACCTGCGACCTTGTCGCCCCCTTCATGCAGCCCATAATGTAATACCCCCTGACTCCTACCACAGGGGGAGACACAGACCCCTACATGCAGCCCATAATGTAATACCCCCTGACTCCTACCACAGGGTGAGACACAGACCCCTACATGCAGCCCATAATGTAATACCCCCTGGCCGACGCCTACCACAGGGGGAGACACAGACCCCTACATGCAGCCCACAATGTAATACCCCCTGGCTGACTCCTACCACAGGGGGAGACACAGACCCCTACATGCAGCCCACAATGTAATACCCCCTGGCTGACTCCTACCACAGGGAGAGACACAGACCCCTACATGCAGCCCATAATGTAATACCCCCTGACTGACTCCTACCACAGGGAGAGACACAGACCCCTACATGCAGCCCATAATGTAATACCCCCTGACTGACTCCTACCACAGGGGGAGACACAGACCCCTACATGCAGCCCATAATGTAATACCCCCTGACTGACTCCTACCACAGGGTGAGACACAGACCCCTACATGCAGCCCATAATGTAATACCCCCTGACTGACTCCTACCACAGGGTGAGACACAGACCCCTACATGCAGCCCATAATGTAATACCCCCTGACTGACTCCTACCACAGGGGGAGACACAGACCCCTACATGCAGCCCACAATGTAATACCCCCTGGCTGACTCCTACCACAGGGAGAGACACAGACCCCTACATGCAGCCCATAATGTAATATCCCCTGGCTGACTCCTACCACAGGGAGAGACACAGACCCCTACATGCAGCCCATAATGTAATACCCCCTGACTCCTACCACAGGGTGAGACACAGACCCCTACATGCAGCCCACAATGTAATACCCCCTGGCTGGCTCCTACCACAGGGTGAGACACAGACCCCTACATGCAGCCCATAATGTAATACCCCCTGGCTGGCTCCTACCACAGGGTGAGACACAGACCCCTACATGCAGCTCATAATGTAATACCCCCTGACTCCTACCACAGTGCGAGAC